AAAGTGACTCATTACGAGTCCTTGAGTAGTCGCACAGGTAAAGAAATTTAAAAGAGTCAGGTCAAAAGTAAAATAAAAGGCACGTTAAACGCGCTATCGTCTGTGAGCATAGTACCGAACAGGGCTGTTGTTAACACTGACTTAATTTTCGACCACCAGTTCGGTCAGTTCTTAGAACAAATGGAAGTTTGAAAACATGGTTGCTCGTGCGCCCTCAGGTATTGATAATTTTAAGCAAAAAAAAGAGTATGGCGTTAAAGGAGCTTATTTTGAGTCGAGATAAATTTGTTATTCTCGACCAACGAGTCATGAAAATCCTTGATTTCTGCATCTCTTTCAATTTTCTCAGGGGCACCGCTCGGGATACAACAGCACATCAAAGCACGGTGTAAAGGCGGTAAAAACAATTTTCACTCCCGTTAATAAACAAACATTACTATTTATTCAAAATATTTCGCCGTTTCTGATATAATAGCCTCCAATCTCAACGTTCCGTTTAATAAAAAGTCAAGGACGGCCTAGAGTTATTTTTCACCAAATTTTTAAATCTTCCTATCGTAAAAAATAGGAAAAGACCCCTTCAAGTGCGACTATCAAGGCACGCGTCATGACGCTGTCCAGTTACTTAGGCGTCTCGAACAGACGTCTTCGTAATCTTGGGAAGTATTCCGGCGTTTCCTTATTATTCTAGATGCAGCCCTCCCCAACAATAGCATTAAATGAACCCAACTTTGCTCTCCTCTCATCCATTAAGTTTCGGTAGATTTGCAGGTCTATTTCCCTGAGCAGTAAGTCCAGACCTGTTGTAATTGTTTCGAGGGACAGCTTTAGTGAACAGGCGTGTTCCACTTAAAATCTTTTTTACCGTCCTTTGTACTGTTTCTTTCTTTTCGCCATCTACCAAACTATTGCCTGGCTGATTTGATATCGCGGCTGCGTCATTCGCTCCTTCTTTCTCTATATCAACCAATTCGTTATCAACGACTGTAGTGGAAGTTGTGTTGCTTCTTGTGACATTGTCGACATGAGCAGCCTGGGGCGAGACAAGGTTTCTTTCCACTACTTTGTTGGGAGGAATAATCTTTGGAGCTGAGAACTTGACTACATCTACGTCACCTGCCAGTCTCGTTGCCTTGAGTTTTTCAGGACGCCTTTTTGCCAAGCTCAGTGTTCTGTTTGGCGGTATTTGTTTACCATATCCCGACATTGATAAAGACTCCCTAACAAAGTCCAGAGGCACTCGTCCAAGCACGCCATCAAAACGGTTTTTAGTCACCTAGGTGAAAGTGAGAAACGAAGAGACTGATATATGATGGTTGTAAAAATGCCTTGCAAAAATGATGAGATCAGCAAGTCAGCTATGCGAGAAAGATCCGAAGAAAAGAAGAAAGAAGAAGGCTTAAAACGTAAAAAGAAGGGAAGGAAAGGAGAAAGGAAGAAGAGGGGAGAAGAAGCCAGGATAAATTAAAGGAGAAAGAAAGGGAAGGAGAGAGAACGAGAGGAAGTCGTTTAAGGCAGGTGGAGAAATCGGAACTAACAATTTGTGGTCTCCTTTGGAGTCGAAGAGAACTTATTCACCCGCCTTCCTATTTCTGAGTAGTACGCGCTTCTTATTTTCCCTTGACCTGGTTTTCGCGACGTTTCTACAATCTAAGAGCCTGGGGCAGACTTGTCCCTCCAGGAACAAAGTGGAATGACAATAGGCCATGAAAATTTGGTCATATTAAACGGGTATCGTCACATTATAATACTAAACACTCCCAAACTACGTAATGAGATATTAGACAACAAACAGTTCTGAGTATCAATCTTCACGTCTTAATTTGAGCGCTCGATTACGCACCTGTAGATATTTCTGCGCTGTTCCTGTCTTACTCTGCAGGATGATCACATTGTCTGCTTCTTGACTTGCTTTGGCAGTTCCAAAAATGGACGCCGTTTGAAGTTCAACATCGTCATTCTCCTAAAAAAAGACAATAGACGTGAAGCCACATTCCGTTAAGACAGAAAATGCCGCCGTCATATTGCTAGCAATATTGCGGACAACATTTATTGGTCCATGGTTACAAACTGCATTATTTCGTACGACGGGCGAAATATAATTCCAGAGGTTTTGTGAAAATATATGTTACCACCCACTCCCCTCAGGACTTTTCAGTGATGGTGATTTACAATACTGGCTTGCGGACTTTTGCCAGACTGCTTATAGCGCACCGACTTTACAAGTAATGAAGTGACGAGTAATGATGCCTCCCAGATGCGAGTGTGTGAAGTTTAAGTGGTTGAAGATGAAATTTGCGTCACGCAATTTGTCGTACGGAGCAACGCGGCAGAACGTAGACACATGAAGAAATTCTTTGCGCGCAATATTCCAAAATTAAAAGGCGTTTGCACACCTGCAGTATTGCGGGAAACCATTTCAGAAGTGGACGCTTGATACAATTAAGCAACGTGCCCGAACCTTTAAAATGAAGCCTAAACGCAGAACCCCAAAGAGCACAAACATCAGAAATCACGAAGAGACATTTCCTCACTATAAATACCACTGTCTTCTAACACCCCAAAACCTTAATTCAAGGTTGAATAGGTGGGTTCATCTGCGAATGCGCTGGTGACACAAATTGTTCGAGAAGATGGGGATGTCACGAGCATTCGTTTTAGGAAAACAAGACCTTGAAAAGTTTACTGAACTCCTGCTGAATATTAGGCCAAGCTAATATTTAGAAAAATATAATGGTTCTTTTAATAGAGGTCCATCGGGTTAGTTTCCTTCAGTGTCTTTCATTCTTATTCCAGAACGTACGCTGTTTAAAAGAGCAAAGTAGAAAGTAGACTGCTTGCAGTTTTCAATTTTTCTGAAAAAAATCGCGAGATCAAGCGCTTACCGTTAAGCGCGGCCATCTTGTTTTCAAATGTACCGAGGGGGGCGGGCCCCGGGGTTTAGAGCAGTGGGGGAGGGGGGCGAGAAAAAAAGAGAAAAGATATTTCTCGCCTACTCCCAAACCGTCCTGCCCCCCGCCTTCGTAGATTTGATACTAACCCCCAGGCTTGGCGCGGTACTTTTGAGACCAAAATAGCCGCCCTTAAGGGTAGGTGTTCGATCCCGACGATCTTACGAGGAACAGGGGACTGTGAACAATCTAAGTGGAAAGTCCACAGATGCACCAGGATAAAAAAAACTCTAGCTTGAATGAATATAGACACACACACACACACACCTTTCTTGGGTGAATGACCAACGTAACATGAACATTTTTGGTACTTGCAAAATTTCTCAATGCAGCGATGACGTGATTCTGGGCAGAAAACCTGTCGTCTCCTCGACTGGAAAATATTGAACACATAAACAAATAAACAAAAAAGGCAGACAAAACTTTAATTTATGACAGAAAATGTCAAGGTTCAATAACCCGACACGGATTAAAAAGTAATAGCAAAAACCACACGAGATTAATATTTACTACTTAAACGTACAATGAAAAACACTTCAAAGACAGGTAGGAAAATAATGATTTTAAAGAAGTTTTTATGGGTTGCGGAAGAATATTTTAAAATTTCACGTTTAATGCAAACTCCAACCCCAAAAAGAGAGAAGCTTGTTTCAGGTTTTGAGATGGTAGGGCTGTCGCGAAAACAAGGTTAAGCAAGAATAAGACGCACGTGATCTGTGAAGAGGGAGCCACGGCGGCGGGAAAAGAAGGCGACAGACATCGTGGATTCACCAAAATCACACGCGCGTTTCGTGTTGGCCATTTTGCTGATGACAAACGGATGACTGATAATGATCCGTCCACACTATTGTAGTAGGTAATGATGCTTCCAATGAGAAGGTATACCAGGGGCTGGATCAGTAAGCTCCTACGCTTCCTCTCTCCACAGCCCCCAAGCGTTTTTTACACTGTACTTTTCAGAAGCGCTGTGCATCTCATCTTGGGGCCTGCAACAGGCTTAGAAAGAAGAAAAAAGAGCGGAAATAGAATGCATTATGGGTAAGTACATACCTGAGGTATGACGTCATGAATTGTAGGTTGTCGACGATGACGTGTTCAATGTCGTAAACATAAGCAGCGTGACTCATAGTCTAAGAGGAAGAAAACAACCTGTTAGAAATGTTGCTGATAAGGAAAATCAAAGTGCACTACCCAAGTTACTTGCTACCGATTAGAAGAGTGAGGTAAAACTTTTCCCAGCCTCAGCCTGGTTGTCTGTTATTAGAGAACCTATTACTTCGCCCGCATATTCCATGACATCAGCAATATCAGACGTACTCAGTTAATTTCGAAGATATTCTTGATAATCTCGAAGATAGCCCGTAGTATTCAAAAGATGACTTGTAATCTGACAAAGATGACCCGAATCATACCGAAACGTCCTCCATTTGTAGAAGCGATAGTGAAGAGCTGTTGCAATTTCAAAAATTTCTTGCACAAATATAATGAGCTATAAGCTGGTCAGGCTTCTTCTTGCGCCAAATCTTGGTGTAAATTACTGCAACGGTTTATCATCTCGTCAATTTTTTCGTTTGAAGTTCAAACAAGTCATTTCCAAGGGCTCGGTGAATAACAACTTACTTGCCAATATAGGCGCTGGTAAAACTCACCTCTATAACAGTGTTGATATTTTGAGCTCCGTAGAAACACATAAAGTACATGGGAAGCATCTCAAACTTATCCGCCCAGTACTGAAACTTGTCAACGTCTTTTTCCAAATTCAACCTGAGAACAAAATGCCCAGATGTTCACAACACTTTCGGTTGGAATTCTGTCACAGTATCAACTAATTCAAGTTCTATTGATGAGGTTGGTATTCTAATCGGAGGATCAGGTTTATCTCTGCACATACAAATTAATATTTTACACAATCCGGCCACCAATCCAGTAACACTACACACAAGTTTAAATTGATCTTAACTGATGAACAAGGATGGACTTGCTGGTATTGGAAAGCCGGAGAAAACGGACCGGAACACACGGCATTCAGCTTTTCAGCGATAATACCAATTCGCTCTTTCGTAACTTCTAATAATTCCCCGCACTTGAAAGCTGTTGCGCGGGTAGTGTACGGTGGCGTCATTTGTATACATTAAAACAAAGCGAGAAGAAACTGAATTGGGTACGTCATTGGTGTACAAGGCGAACAATGTAGGGGCCTAGCACTAACCGCTACAGATTGCCATTAAGTAACATTAAACACAGTCGAGAGTTTGCCGTTTACTACCTAGAATTGAGTTCGGTGAATTAAATACGTGTAGTCTGATAGCTACGATTCAAGGGGCCTCCGCACGCCAAATCGAGTAACCAATTAACGCCTTTAAATTTCGCGCGATACGCAAAGTACTTAGAAATTAAAGAAAACAATTACTCAGGAATATTCTTCAGATGAATAATGTGAGATTTGCAGGCGCGGACTGCGAGAAATTTACAATAAAAAAGAACTGAAGGTAAAGTGTTGATGTCCTACCTAAAATGAAAAAGCAGCGCATTACATTCCTTTTTTATCTCCAGAACAGCCATCAGCATTTAGCCTTTGTCAAGCTTGGGTAAAAGCTCGGCTCAAGCAATCTTTCCGAATCTGGGAGGGCGTTTAGATCTTACCAAGCTTGGTAAGATGGTTTCGTATTGTTTTGCTCCGTGATTAGATGACAAATTGCCCGCCACTTTCTAAACCAATCAGAAGCACCTAAAATCTCGCAAGCATTTTTCCGTGCTTTATATTTATTTTCTTCCCGTTCTGATTGGTTGACTGGTTTGTCTACAGCTGCTATGATAAGCCGGCAATTATCACTTTGGTTTTATTTTTACGTAACTCACCCTGAATACTGACAAAGCATCATCTTCACAAGACGAACATTACGAATCTCAAAACTCCCCCAAAGAGTGTTTACCTATCATCAAAAACAACAAAAATAATTTACACCTATTATTGAAGTTGTTTAAAGGCCGGTTTACACGATTCAGTCTGTCGATAGGATCTTTGGCCCAACATATAGGGGCCTGTTTACATGCTACAATTAATCGGGTTGATTTTTCCAAAGGAAAACGCGAGATGAAAATCGATCAAAATCGGGCTAAAAATTTAGCCTGTAATCAATCTACTGATTACTGTGTGGACCGTACTGACCAGTAAATAACAGGTAAAGGGAGAACTTAATAGTCATGTAGTACAAACAGACATAAACAAGCTACAAACTGCCAACATGGTTCTAAATCTCTCTGATATGGTAACTACTCACCCCTTGCATACAGAGGTCCAGAGACATCTCACTTAGCAGGGTGGTTTTTCCTGCTCCTGTTGGGCCAGTAAAAACTGTAACCTCTCCACGCCTCATTCCTTTTAAAATACTGTTTAACTGAGGAAATCGTGTCCACTGTGAAGAAAAAAAAGGGGTATTTTGGAATTAGAGTAGAACGTAGGGTAGAGTAGAGAAGATAACGATGACCAAGCCAGGGAATACCGTTTGCCTTTTTACTTTAGTTTTTGTTGATTTTGACAACAATAAAACACGAAAATCACCAAACCTTTACTCCAGCAACCTGATCAGCATTAACAAATTGGTCATATACTTCTCCCCTTAACTGTAAAAAGAAAATAAAACCAGGCGAGTGAATACACGCATGAGTCAAGAAATAAATTACTTGATAAACAAACGAAAAAATCCACTAGCATACTTTATGCTCTTCACTGGAAAAATGATGGTGATCTGGACAGACGGTCGCTTATGTGAGGTGGTCAAATATTGAGTCGACTGTATTATTACGAATTGTCTTGTTTTTGACAATCTTTAACTCTGGCTAGCAAATTTCCCACTGCCGGATCTGGGAAAGATGTAGGGAGAGTTTTAACGTGTAGCTGCCTGCATGGTGGTAAAGTAGCAGACCTGATGGAAGGTGGTGATTTTATCATGACTGATTTGTTGAGCAGACGAAACTAGCGACGCGAGATCACAACCCTGCAGAGAAAACAACAGCATCAATAAACAAAATGCAGAAATAACAAAGACATGGGGAAAGTTTGTGGTCTGAAACGTCAGCTGTCTCTTCGCCCGGCCAACCAACAACCATGGGGGTGGGGCAAAGAGACCACTGAAACTTAAGAACACTGGTGACAGTTTTCTCAAGAGAATCTGGATCCATTTAGTTTCTGAAAAACTGCCCACCTACCCCTCCCCTAAGCCAACATTTTGCCCTACGTGAGAAGTAAGTGTCCACGTTAGCTTAAGGAAGGGGTAGGTGGGCAGTTTCCCAGAAACCGAAATTTATCCGAGTATCTCAGTGTCCTAGTGTAAATGCCTCCATAGAAAGGAGAAGTTGTAGTATTTTCCCAGTTCCTCTTTTTTTTACTAATCAATTTTTCATGACCTGGAGACAAGTAATTATGATCGGAAGGCAAGCAAGAGTCGTAATTGAAATATTAGCAAACCCAACAAAGTCCAAGGGCATATCAAATAAAGGAAGCTATTCTTGGGTGTATTGTGTTATTAACATAACAAATAACTATTTTTGACCCACGGCCAACATTCCATAAACTCTCACGCCTGAAATGATCTAGTGTACAAACTGTATTACATTTAGCGCAAACGTTTGCTTAAAATACGTAGAGTGTTTGAGGTAATATATCAAACATGAGACGCAGTGTTTCATCACCAGATGAAACACCGAGAAGAGAGTTGAAAATAAGACGCGCAGCGGAGTATTTTTGACGAACTTCGAGGTGTTTCATCTGGTGATGAAACACTGTGTCGAATGTTTGATATTTCTTCTCAAACAAAATCATTTTTGAAGGAGAAATTAAGGATGCAAAAATGAGCAGTTTTTCATCTGATATCCAAACACTCGTTAAACATTAAATTCCTTTGAATTTTCTATATGAATTATTAATGAGTTTGAGAATGTACCCACCAGAAGTGAACAGTCCCAATGAATTTTAGGGGGAATTTAACAGTTGTTTCATTGCCGGCCTCTTACCGAATTCAAAGCGTCCAAAGCGTTCACAGGATTTGTTTCACCAGTAGGCCTGAAGAAAACAAAACATACACAATCAAAAGCAATGTTACATTCGGCAAAGGCTACAAAGAGGTAATGGACTGTTTTTTTTTGCATTCTTAGCCTGTGTTTCAGACTAACGGCGACGGCTACAAACACGTCACTTAAAAAGTGAATTCGCGCTGCTTCAAACTTTATCGCTTTTATTCAATCCCATACAATTGGAAAACAATGGCAATTTTTTTTCTGGAGTTGAATTATAAAGGATTGTATTGAAGTTCAGGAAAAGAAACAGAAAATTGTTGCCTCGTGTTCACGTCTCCACAAAACGTAAAAATAGGAAGTTTCACGGTGTAGTCAAGCAGCGAAGGCAAAGAACTGTACCAAAATGCGTGATGCACGTGCAAAGTTATCGTTTTGCCAATCAAAACCTATTGCTTTTTTGCTGTTCTTCTTGCCGTCACTGCTGTAGTCGCTTAAGCTCCCTAATATTATGAATAAAACTACGTTACACTAGAGGGTCATTTCAGTATGTTGCAAATTGCAGTCTTAAAACAAATTTGGCTACTCCATCAGGACAATCAAAGACTAAGAGGGGAAACTTCAACGTTGGAGTACACGAAACATTAAATTTTGTCTCACAACTTACATCCGTTAACCTTAAGTAATAAGCCATTTCCGAGTTCCAAAAACTCTAAAAAAACGAGGCTAAGCGCAAAACCTTTCTTGTGAAAATGTGTTTTGTTAATGCGAGAGAATGAAAAAAATATGTTCATATCAATGGCTTCGCACTTAGCCTCACTTTGAAAGAGACGCTTGGACAACTCGGAAATGGCCTATTACATCGACCATGGGTTTTTGGAATTTGATGGTTGCGACGGCTACATACCTGACAAGGAAACATCTTTTCAGATTTAGTTTTCTTGAGAACTGGTTGGCAGCTTGTCGTGAGAAAACATCATTTCCAAACCAGAGAATGATCTTTTCAAACTGTTCAAGTTGAGGAAGAACCTGAAAAGTAAACCATATATTTTCATGAAGTCCAGGTAACCTGAAAGAAGTTTCTGAAAATGAAGGGTGTTTTGACTAAGAAACGTCGAAGGAACAATGCTGCTTCTAAAAACTGTTGAGGACGCAAAAGTTTTCGGAATTGCAATGCATGGTGACGTTAAAGGCAAAAGTTGTACAGATGAGATTTACTACCTGGACACAACGAAATGTTATTGAGTTGACTCATTTCCAAGATGCAAGTTTTGCTGCCAAATCAATGTCTACTTGTTCAACCATGCTGGGAGAAACAATTAAGCCAGGCCCTAGAAGAGCCACTTGAAAGGTCAAATAGTGTCTATGTTGTAGTTAATTTTTTATTTCACGTCATTTTTGTTTTTCTTTTGTTTCAACTTCACTAGCATACATTACCATACCCAAAAACAAAACAAAAACAAAAATTACCTGAGATAAAAAATTAACAACAGCATCCACATTAGCTGCGATTATTTTGTATCTCAATCAAGTCGCAATTCTAGACCTAAGTTTGACCATTTTCACTGTATTTTGATGAGTTGTGCCAAGGTTGTTCCCAGTACATGTACTGTACATGAAATTTTCCAAGCAAATAACCTAACTCTACTGTCTCTACTGGCCTGATATAGGGGGATCACTAGGTGCCTGTTTGTCCCACCTACATATGCCTCACGACTTTTCACTTCCCCCATCTTACCCCAAATACCCCTTTTTAAATAAACTTTGCATCTGAGGTGGCTCCACCTGACATGTCAAACTTTTAGATAAACCCCTGGATCTTACAATCACAGTGCATCCAAAACAGTAAGAGGCCACATCCTGTGGGGAAAAGGCTAAGCATCACTGCAACATCTGCATTTTACACTTGGTGCATCAACCACACCCACCTCAGGGGGTAGTGAGTTTATTCCCATGGGTAGAGATATTGCTGGGTATGATGTCGCCTGATTCACAGCTATAGCATCAAACTCTGTTGATGTCAACACAACCTAATGAGAAGACAAAGATGAAGAAGAAAAAAAAGACATCAAGCGACATTCACTCAAAACTCCATGAAAGTCATGATTGATATTAAGTCTGATTGATGTAAAGGATACACGTAGCAAGAGCTGCCAACTCACAAAATTCATAGTCCAAAATAAAACTGTTAAGTTGGATAGTTGAGTTAACATTGATAGAAATGCAGAGTAAAACATAACAAACCTCCTTAGCTTCAGAATCTACTGTATTCCAGCCAAACAATCCCAGAAACCGCTGGCTGAATAAATAGCAAAATAAATAAATTGATTGCATTGTTTACTTGATTATGAAAGGGATCCAGGTTTATACTGAAAGATCTAAAGGTATGTTTAGCCAGAAAAAGCTTAGAAATGAGTGCAAAAAATTCCATACTGATAATGCATCACTACCCAAAATTGGGTGCATGCATGTATTTCTAAGTGCTTCTGATTAGCTGGGAATTTGCTTCAACTGATCAAAAGAACTAGATACAGTTCTAGATAGTGGCACAACATCAGTATGCAATTCCTGTGCTCGAACTTCAGACGTCATTTTTCAGGAAATGTGGCATCACCAAATGTCTGCAGGTTACACAGGTAATTAAGTCCAACGTTGAATGGATTAGGATGAATTCTTCCCTTTTTCAACATGTACATATGGCCCTTGATTCCTAGTAGCCCTGCTGACTTGTTTTACCTACTTGAATAATTTGGATGTATGATAACTGATATATTGCCCTTGTTTAAATATTAAACTCCTTACCGAGGCTCTATGGTGAAACTTGAGTCAGATGCAGAGTCTACTTCCAGCTTGACAAGTTTCACAGCCTTTACTGCTGACTTGTTGACATCATACCATGGGAACACAATACAGTCATGTTTCTTTGTCTTCCCATTAGGCCCTTTAAACTGGTAAAAACATAGTAGAGCACTTTAAAAGAATAGACAATGTTGAGTTAATGTCTGCTGCCTGTCTTGACTATGATCTACATGCAGGAAATACTGAAATTATTATTACAATACCTCTCGTTCAGTGAATCTTATTTGAAACTTTTCCAATATCTCTTGTCTCAGCTCCTTAAGAGGAAAAGAAGTTAAATATCTTACAAACTAGGAGTTTCAATTTGGAAGTAAGTGCTGGCATCAGAGCTGGAGGAAAATATATGGAGAACACTGAGTTTGAAAATAAATAAAGTGCATAAGAAAATGAAAGTGACTTCTGGGAATTAGGGTAGGTAAGCCTGTCTTTAAAAAAATTGTTATTTTTGTGTCTTTGTGATGTATAAAAGGGGAAAGTCCCTTCAATAAGTTCACAATGCAAGCAGATGATTATGAGGCCTGAGTTTTTGGTAATGCTTGTTTGGTATTTTCTAGATTTTTTTATTTGCCTATGGAAGTATTCATCAAGGTCACAAACAGTTTAGTGATGACAAGAGACAAGAGATAGTTTATAGGTGTTTGGATGCTTTTCAATGTTAACAATTTTTGCCAATTCGTGAATGAAGATGCAAAGATATTGACAGATGGATAACGAGTATCATTCACATTGATGAAACGTAATTGTTGGCTCTACACTGTATTTAAATGTCATAATCAAGCATTTGTTTGTCACAACTCAGGAAGTGCCTTTTGGCAATACTGATACATTTTCAGGAATATTCAAGGTCAATCAGGCGCCTTCCAATGCGACAGTCAAATCTGAATTTTACAATTGAATGGTCGTTAATTAGCCAGGGGATAACTTCAAAGAGCAATACACATTTTGAATCCATAGTTCCAAGCTTTCTTTCGCTTCAACGGACAAAAAATTAATGTGACTATATGGTCAAATTATCAGCTGAATTATTTACCTCAAAGGGCAGAGATTTTGATGATCAAATTTAACGCCTCAACGGGTGGAGAATACTTGATTTGCATGTGATACCGAATTTGCTTTAGACACAAAGCTGGTTTGCTCCATACCTATATTCCTCTGTTTTCTCCTGAGACCAGCAAGCTAGAGTTGGCCGTTAATTCCACGTAGAGGTATTTTTGCCTAGCACTTCACTACTGCTGAATGCACAGAGAAAATAAACTATGTCCATAAAAGAGGATTTGATCAACATCTCTGCACCTCCATTTATTCGCGAATCAGCAAATAGAGCAGTCACACATATAAATCTCTTGTCTTTCTCGAGATTCATTACTATAACGCTCTGGATCGAGTACCGGTACTTGATGAATAATTCAACAAGGAAATAAAGACATCTAGAAAATAAAAAAAGCAATCACTAAACACTCACCTCGTTTAAAATCTGCTTACACTGAAGGAACTTTACCTGAAATCTATGCGTGTTTTATGTGATGTCATCATGCAGGAGTGAATGCCCCGGATAAACATGATAAGAAAACCAATTGACTGTGCATACTTCTGATCTTAAATTCAACAAATTTCAAGACCTTGCTAGAAAGATGTAGGAAATTCAGGATCTTGACTGCCCAATGTTGAACCTTTAGATCTTGCTCACAAGATCTTGCAACAGAAAGGGTTAAGATAGCTTCCATCTATTTTTATCACAACAACCTGACACAAAGGATGAACAAGTCTAGCCTACAATTTCCATTAAAAAAACATTGCTGAGTTAGTATGGTCCAGCACTAGCTCGGACGACATGGATTCTCCCTCTCCAGTCACTTTGGTCTAGCATTGCCAAATTTACCTACTCTTATTAATTATCATTATTGAAAAAATCACCTTGATTGGAAATTGTGCCCTAAGTTTTTCCAACAAAACATCAGAGCACATTGATATTGGAGTAGAGTTGTCCCATATCTGACTTGTTTGATCAGCATCACTATCAGTCAAATTGTCCTGTAAAATAGGCCTACTGGATTCTTGGTTATGTTTCTCCTGGCAAGACATCTATAGATGTGCAGTGTACATGCAGGTAAGGAATACAGGGTAAATGCAAACTAAGGTCAAACTAAAAGGACGTTTACAATCATAATATAAGAGGAGTATTAAACTACAGCAAGCACCACTTTTTCATATGGTTGCACTTCTTCTGATATCATTTGTGACCAAAAGGCTGAGAGCAGCCAGTATGAGATTACAGATCACAGACTGCATGTGACAAAAACTATACCTCCAACAGTTCAGATGGTCTGCCTGTGTATTCACCAGTACTGTTAATCCTGTATTAAGCTCCCCACCTCATGAACTGAGCTCCCCCCCACCCCCATTTCAGGGAAAGAAAGTGATAAAGTACCCCCATCTCTTTTAAGCCCCTCTCCCCTGCCCCTAGTCACAGCTGTTTTTAGTGTTGTTTTTTAGGATCGATTCTCAGCAGCTGTTTGTGGGGAGGAGCGTTGCAAGATGACACTAGAAATAGCTGTGTAGCAAACTACCCTGCTCCCTCATATACTTAAATGATAGACTTCATTCATTTTTCACAACTGTATCACTTTACGTGGACTGGTCCTGTATGGGTTATTCACTTGCTGAAATTTTGAATCTGTTCTTGATCTTTGGTTGCAAGACCCCTAACTTCAAGTACCTGAGATTTTCCACTTTACATTCTAGTTCTTCATGGATAATCATCACTTTCGCTATCATCATTAAGAAAAAAGCACCCCCTCTCTGTTAAGCTCTCCCCCCCACCCCACCCTCAAATGTGCTTGAAATAAGTCCCCAGGGGGGCTTAATAGAGGATTTACAGTACTTATCAGGCAGGGAGTGTAAAAGCTCTCCTGTAAAAGTAAACTTTATATCTATTCTTCTTTGAAAATTCAGCAACTTTACAACAAGTTGGATGTAATGTTTTTTAGGTACCCCTGAAATTTTAGTTATCAAGTACACCCCTTCCCATCCCCTCCCCTTACCTCCCCTCTGATGAAATCAAAAGTTGAGTGAGAAATACCTTAAATTTCTGCCACGTTCCAGACGCGTTACAGTTCTTACAAAAATGGCTTCCAGTAGTCTTATTTATGTACAAGGTAAACGCTTTAGTCTTTTCACTACCATCGCCACCTTCCGTGCAAAATGGACAACAAGCAATCAGTGAAGTGTGTCCGTGTTCGAACAAAATTTTACGAGCTGACAAAAAATTTTCCATTTGCTTTACACTCGGCAAATGTGCACCGAAATCACTTGACAGAGTCTGATGGCCTCTCCTAGCGGTAAGTACGAAGCTTCTTTTGATAGGGAGGCAATCTCTCGGACTTGGTTTACATTGTATCGGTTCAAAGAGATCTTCCTTCACTGTGCACGTGCAAAAGCTTCTGCTTAATTTTTGCGTAGATCTCGAATTTTTGACGAGTCTTAATGGCGGACGAAGTAGCAACGTGCGGTGGAATCTATAAGCCATTGTTTCTAATCAATCCTCGAATAACAACTGTGTTTACAATCCGTGAGAGCCATAATAAAGCCGATGATGTGTTGATCTCCCTGAACACCCGCCATAACCGCAGCGATGTTGTCAGAGAGGGACTGGGCACCGCCTGGACTGCCTCTGGGCAGGGAGGAGTAGAAACTAGCTAGGGTAGGGGCATGTCTCGCTTGTCTCGCCGCTTACAGAAAGAACGCGGTTGACTACAGTTTTTTAAATTACTTTTTAACACAGGTCTTAAAATCAGAGTTGAAAAAAGGAAACTTTGTTCTTGTGTACAATTTTTCTTGCAGGGCAGGGCGAGAAAGGCGGCGGGGGGCAGTAGAAGTATTATTATAGGAAATTAACACTCCATGAAATTAACGCGAATCCTTAAAATTCGCGTTAATTTAAGTCGTGTTAATTTTGTTGAGCGTTAATTTCCGCGACGTTAATTAAGTGTAGCGTTAATTTCCGCGCTCTTAATTTCCAGTATTTTAACCCCAATTTTGGAACCTGTCCAGGGGTCCAGACATTCTTGACACCTAAAAAACATTGACTACAAGCTTTCTTTCTTTCCATTTAACCTTTATTTTTCATCTTTCACAAAAGCTAAGGCCAAGGTTTACAATATTTCGAGTTCATCTTCATCGTTGTCGCTGTAAGAAGTGATGTCAATATCTTCTCCTTTGATTTTGGCCACCAACTGTATCTTAATCGCGTTAATTTCCTTTATTATGAAATTGTACCTCCTCTTTCGCGTTAATTTTCTTTATTCGAAAGTCATTTTCCAATATATTCACGTTAATTTAAGTCGCGTTAATTTCCAATACCTTAATTTCATGGAGCGTTAATTTCCTATAATAAGGTAAATAACTATCACAAAAAAAATGGGTGCGTGCATAATATAGAAACCTTATCCTTTTCAAGAGGGGTTTTCTTTCCGGGGGAGTACTTCTTTCGGAGGGTAATGGTGATGTGCCACTGGATCTGTTCCACATTTTTGTGTGAAAATGCTAGCAGGAAAAAAAAGTGCTCTTAGCAAAAAGCTCTTCCTGGGAACTAAAAATAAAGATATCAATCACCCTTTGGGAAGTTCTAGACAACAAGGGTTGATCTTGAAAAGACTTGGGCCCACAAAGTCGAGGCAACAAGATACTTTGTTTTGGCCAGAGAGTAGTCCCCAGCCCACCCCTCTTCTGCCACTCTCCAATGTACAGTACATGCCCATAATACAGGAGGGTTCCAGTGTTGGTAGCGTAGCCTATGTAGCAAGCGTTTCCAATTGAGTCAGTGCGCAAAAGTTAGAGCAGGAGCAAAAAAAACAAAAAGGAAGGGAAAAGGGGAGGGGAAAGGAGGAAACGCTGTTTCCTTCTCTCCCCTCCCCCTACCCTGTCATTCCTTTTCTTTGCTCTCGTCTCAACTTTCTCGCCAAACTTGCGCGGAAACGCTTGCTACGCAGGCTATTTGTAGCGGAGTGGGGTGTGTTGGATACGTTAACTTCATCTAAAAGATATGGGAAATGACTGAATTCCAGGAAAATTATGCTTCTGGGAACCTTAAGTCTCCTATACAGCCATTGGCTGTTCTTTTTCTACAGACGTTAAAATCGTCTGAGACGTTAAAAGTGTCTTCAACGTCTAGTATAAAAGGGTAAATAAGACAGGTGCATTTAATATCTGATGACTGCTATGAGTGTCTGAACGACACACTTAGCAGACTACTTAAAAGTCTCAGACATCAAACGTGCCTAGCATAAGAATAGGATGCTGTAAACTGGGACACGTTTATGCTAAACTCACCTAGAAAACGACTGGAAAGATTCAACGTTTTGTCTTTTTTACAGAAAACTCTTTTTTTTTTCATTGTTGTCTTTTATGTGCCCCAATTTTTCTAGCATAAAATTATCACTCTTTGTCTCGCGTTGGTCTTTGGGGAATAGCAATACATATATCGAGGAATGGTTGATTGGGAGACTAATTCATTTGACATAATTCTGCACTAAAAAGCGGTAAGAAATTCAATAAATAAAAATATTATTTAATTATTGTACCACATTTCTATTGAATCAGAAAAGCAATATAATTAAAAGCGCATCGTAAAACATTCTCAACGATTCCTTACAACAGAAACTTTGGTGAAAGATAAGAACAGTGATCTTATCTCTGCCTATTACATTTATGACAAAACAGATTTCCTTGCTTGATGTCATGAGAATTTCCTTTTATAAGGAATTATTTTTTTCTCTCTTCCTTTCTCTCTTTAGGATAAATCAATCACCACTTTATTTTTCTTTTTCTTCTTTTTTGTTGATTTTGAGTGTGTTCTTTCATCAAGATCATTTATACCATTCATCCTTTCTAAATGTGTTTCATTTGTTCTTTCTGGTGTGTTGGTTCTGTCCTCTTCTTGATTCTTGCGTTTCCTTTTCCTAAACAGAGAAATGATTTATCATTTGAATGCACGGTTAAGCAACTACAATGTACAATGTAGTCTCCCACAAGTGAGAGTCCCTTGGGACCTACACTGGGAGCTGTCAAGTGGTGTAACCACAGGTGACCAAAGTGAAACACCAAAATTATCATTCATGCTATACTGAGGGGGGTGAAAAGGCGAACAGATCAGCGGATTTTGAAAACATTTTTGCCCGGATTTCGGATTCAAAGTGAGATTTTATCGGATTTCCGGATCCTGCAATTGCAGCAGATTGCGGATTCATCGATTTTTTAGGCCTGGATTTTGGAGTTTGCGTGTTATAAAAATATTTTTGCCCGGATTTTGGATTCAGGGTGAAGTTTTAATGGCAGATTTGGTCAATAAATCATAACGGATCAGCGGATTTGCATACCTCGATTCATCCCCCTCTATACTTTTAGCTAGGATGTGGTACTTTGGAAAACAAGAATCTATTAGTTAAACGAAAAGCATTTCTTGATTCTGTGGGGAATTAACTAATCTTTAGTACTCAGGGAATAGAACAAAATTGCTTACAGTTTGTTCATAGTGGAAAGTGCACTTATCTTATCTACCTAGTCAGGAGTTTACAGGCACTCCACACAAAAAAAAATTTGAAACAAACAATCCAAATACAAAATTTTGGGGATTAAAAATCCCAACTGGCAGGAGGCAACCTGTTGGTTATTTATGGATTTCAACTTGGGATGACCAAGAACAACATTTTCCAGCAAGTGGTCAGAGTGGGAATTGAATGTGGAACCACCAGATGGTGAGCCAGACATTGCTGGTCACATCGACTCCAATCAGTGAACTTAAATTTAGTCTTGTTTTTCATTTCACCATGTTCCCACCAACACTGCCACATGATTCAACTTGTCATCCACATTCAACTCACGATCTCTTGATTAGACTGATAGATGGTAGTGCTGGAAACATCAGCTGTGGAATACCGTAAAATTCCGAAAATAAGCCCCTCCAAATAAAAGCCCCCCAAACTCGTAACACAAAAAAACCCTCCGTTAAATCGCCCCTCCAAATATAAGCCCCCCGGGGGCTTGTACTTGGAAATTGCCCTCAAATACAAAGTAAAATGAAGCAAAAACGGTAAAATTCCTTTCAACTTTAAGGGTAGCACAATCGATTTTGAAACGTAAATTTCCCTCCGTAGATAAGCCCCTCCGACTATAAGCCCCTCAAAAAGGGCCTTTGAAAAATATAAGCCCCGGGGCTTATTTTCGGAATTTTACGGTATCTTTACAGTGAGAGATCTACTTTATCAAACTCACTTGATTAAACTAATTTTTTGTTTTATCATTACCTAACCTGCGTCACAAATAGAAACAAACTCTGGTCAAGTCCCTCTCTGAACTAGAGCAGAAATCCTTGGTTTTCTGGGCCTCCACCTGCGTACCAGGATTTGAGTATGCACAAAGTTGCCTCGTTAAAAAAGCCATCATTGATTTTCCAATCAAGATGAAAGGAAATTTGAAATGCACTTCTGGTAATTCATTGAGTCCGTTGAGGGCCCAGAACAAGGATATCAGCACTGTTTTGCAGAGGTTACTAACCGCAGTTAAATTACTCCTGCAAATTGTGGTCGTTTCGCCTGAAAGTTGATTCGCCTGAAGTTGTTTCACCCAGGTTTAAGTCGATTCACCTGATGCCAAACAATACTCTAAAACACGAAAAGATAATTTTTAGTTAAGTTTGGATACACGTACTATTTCTGCGATTGCTAAAAAGGTCCAGCAATCTGAAAGGTCTTTACCATCTCGATAATTACATTCAAGATACTTAAAGACTGTACATAAAACTAAAGTCTAAATGTATCTCAGCGATCGTAACACAACGATTGCTTTGTTGATCTTTGTTGATCCACATGTACGGTCACTGCTTTTTTCATGCTTATTTCTTTTTCCAGGATTTAAGAATGACAAATAAACATCGGGCGAATCGACTTAAGTCCGGGGGAAACAACTTCGGGAGAAAAGACCTGTTACCACTCCTGAGACGCAGGCTAATAATTACCTTGAATGTTTTCGATGATCTTCAACTTCCCCTGTTATCGACAAAACGCCATTCACGGCCTCAATTTCAATAACCTTAAATATAAAGTCAGACCCAATATCCAAACTGTCATAAATAAGTCCATTTCTGAAGTTAGATTTCGAGATTGAAGCATTAAAACAATTATGAACCAAACATCCCACGTGATCTACACCGATCTTGTTTACAACTCCAACAAGTGTCCTTCCGATCGTTGGCTTGAAGACGATGAAATTAACTTTAACATCGAAGTGTATAAAGGGAAGTTCATCAAGAATAGAGCCACTTCTTTGCAGAATGCGAAAACCCTCGTAGCTAACAGGGACACCTTCCAAAACATCAGAATATCTCATCAGTTTATTTGTCAACTCCTCGTTCACTCCTTTCTTTAGTTGCCCGAGATATCGTGGACTAAGACCTACATGTTCTATTGATTCAACTCTCACGAAACAAGAATGTTTTTCGGAGCATTTTCTCTTTGCTTCCTGCAAAGAGATCGAATAAACCGCGTGCTTCTCTTCAGTCGCCATGTTGAAATTTATCCGCTGACCGCTATTTTTCGGCGGCTCAGAACACTGCTGTTCTGTACCCCGTCTGCATAAGCATTTTTTTTCCTGTTGTGCATGAGCTTTGGTGGCCTAGACGGGTATGTGCCGCCAAACAGGATATGATTTTCGGGGTCCTGTGTCACAAAGTTCTAATATATGATTTTCATCAAGAGATTTTCATCTTTTCAAAACTTCAAAGTTCATTATCCCGTCTTGAAAAGGGTGTATTTTTGGACCGGTAATCTTCAACAGGGTGTGAACGTTAGCAGTGTGTGATATCAAAACTCCCTTTATAACGGACACTGTAGGGACCTTGAGTTTGTGTCCTCATCAGCTAGACTCTGTAATAGAGGGAGTTCAGTCAAATGCCCCCTCGTTGTTGTTTTTTTCTGCTCGCATCTCTTTGGGCTGTCTCCACGATCTGAACGCCTGCTGGCTGGTAACTGATGTTTATTTGTGCCTGGGACTTGGTAGCCTGCGCGCAGACGAAATTAAACTCTGGTTAACTCCGTCTGCGAAACAGCGCCGAAATCCTTGTTCTGGACTTCCAGCTGTGTACCCAGATTTGAGTACGCGCCACGATTGGCCAGTTAAAAAAGGCCTTTGTTTTGTTTGTCGTGATCGCCAATCAGGTTGAAGGGGAATTCGAAACGCACTTCCGGTAATTCGTTGAGTGCGTTGGGGGTCCAGAACAAGGATCTCTGCGCTGCTTCGCAGACGGTACTAATCAGAGTTTAGTTATCGTCTGCACGCAGGCTAGGGACTTGGCTGCTTTCCGTTGTTATCGGGGAGTCCGTTACCGCCGGGTGTCCGTAAGGCGAGGGTTGAGTGTAATTTGATAATGCTAGGTTAATCTTTAAACACTTCTTTCTGAATGCCGCACGAAATGACTCAGGATAATGAAGCAAGGTCTATTGAAAGTGTTAACAGGACCAGGGTTGAACGCCTTGATAGGAGCCTTCCCCTGTAAAACTTTGTATTCCCCGGGGAGGGAGCGTTGAGGTAACTTACCTAAAAGCCCGCAAAAGTACAAAAGTTACTTGTCTTAAGAACTGAATTAAAAGAGGAAAACGCTTCTCTTGGTGATTCAGTGGTTGTCATGACAAAGAGAAATCGCATGTTACTTGGGAGATTTGCATTGTTTACGTTACAGTTTGTCAATATAATTAATATAACGGGAAACTGAACATCAATAACACATCATTTACATAAAACAACAACAACAACAATAACTAGAGGATTAATCATGACAGTCCTGCAGGACTGTACATTCATTCATAATCCGCCCTCCGCGCGAGAAATTGATATTAAACGTATGCGCAAAAATTAAGTACAGTATATTGTTACGTTAAAATAAAAAGAATATCTGCTTTTGTGAGACTTTGTTGAGCTCTTTTCCGTGTTTGTAAGGTTTCGAGTACATTGCAGATCGTTCCAGTAGCCAGTATATTTTACCGTGGATCGAATTGACAAAAATATAATGATATATCATGGAAAAACACCACGAAATATAAGACACAGTGACTAATGTTCAGAACTTTTGACTTTTTGAACTAGTTGACCAGAGTGTAATATGACTAATATTTGACGATATGCTCAAATGCAAAAGTGTTTTTAACTTACTTTTACTTTTAAATAGTAGATGTTAAAAAGAGGATTAAAAATACGGTATTGTCTCAAATACTAATCTGCTTCCTAGAATCGCGTTTTACTAACTATAAATTCGAACGAGGATGTCAGTCAGAGAAACATGCATGAATTACTTGGAGTCAATGTGGAAAAGTAATTGTCTTTGCTAAAAGCGTCATGTTAATACATGAATTGGCTTTGCGGTATCACGGTTTTTGGCATTGCGCAGATTTAAACATATTAATCGTTTAGTTGCCATATTGTAGCATTATTCCATCCAGCTATATATACATTGTGCCATTTAATACTAAGCGCTTTGCGTGTGGCTTATTTCAGATCACGACATAAATAACGCATTACAAGTGTTCTTTTTTATTAACAATGTGGCTATGAAGTAAAAGGGATTAAAAAGGATTGAAGACTAGGCTATTCCAGATTTCAAGCTGGGAAACAAGAAAACTAAGGCCACATTGTCGTACATATGAAAGCGTTTGAATTACACAGAAAAGGAACTTTTGATTAGAAAGTTTTCACATTGCTTTGTGATCGGGTTGAAGGAGAAGGATCGTCTGATCTTGCAGCTTGTTATAGAGAGAGAGAGAAATCTTTTTTATGCACCATACTAATAAAAACTGCTGAAGGGAGAATATGTGGAGGTTACATCACTTCATAAATTTAACATTTCAGGCATTCGAAAGAACTCAAAAAAAATCTTAAATGCTTTAAATTTCTTTCCTGTTGGATAAATTATGACTCAGTTGTTTCTGTGTTGTTATAAAATTCCCGAAATTCTTAATATTCAAGCAGTCACTTAAACTCCTTACGGAACCGTATTGGTTCCCTTCTATTCGGTTTGTAAGTGACAGACGTCGCATAACCATAACGCCATTCACCTCAGCTCTCTGATTAAGTCGATTTACTTTTCAACATCACGTCTTCTTGCAACATTATTGTTTCTATCAACAAGTCTCTGGGAGCGCTAGCGTGCATAAGTCAGTCATCTTGCACTATGACAAAGTCATGATACTTATACTTTCCCACGGGTAGCTTTAAAACTGTTTATTTATCCTGACAATTTTCTAGAGTTATAGTAATTGGGCTCTTAGAGTTTAACGAGCTTTAACGATCAAAAGAAGGGTGGAAAATTTCGGCGTTTACCAAATAAGGCGTGATGCTTCTGAAATGAAATAATTCGCTGAAAATAAAATCGAACACGCCTATTAACCATAACCTACCTTCCACCAAATTCCAAAGAACACGTTAAAGCTGTAAACTTAGTGACTACTCGTCGATGTTTCATCGACAATACAACATTTCACTCTTAAGTTACACAGTATCAAAAGTGCGTGCCTCTTATATACTGTCTAAGATATGCAGCTGTCTCGAACTGATACAAGTTACATTTTCTAACTTTTTTATTAAACTAAGACATGCACCTTTGGCAATAAAGAGAGGAATATATAGACTGAGGCGTTGGTGGATATTTTCTGTTCTTTTTGTTGTTGTTCAGTTTGCTGGAATGCACAGGAATCAGTGAACGAATCGCCCTGAAGAACGAGAAGAGCTCACTCACAGTGCTTGGGAGTCAGTGGTGTGTGTGGGAGCCAGTGGGACTGCTTTGAATATCGAATTGTTACAATGTGGCCAAATTATCAGTTCACTTAGTCGACTCATCAGGTAAGACTAAAATGAGTGTAATCGAGGAAGCCATGTTCAGTAATAGCTGAAAGAGCTACGGGGATTTTGATAGGATATTGCCCATTTCTGGGAATGACTACTTCGTGTCTGTTAATATCTTATGTCCGTTGCGAACTGAACAAATGCAATACTTATACAATATGGGCTTTCTGCTTTTTAGAACGGGCAGTTTCCTTAAATAGAAAAATGAACTTCGAATTAGTTATTTTGATAATCAAAACCACTGACAAAGTTTATGTTACTTAAAATGTCGGTTTTCACTAGGGCTGACTTAGCTCAGGTGAAAAATTCATCCCAGGCAATATCAAAACACTTCCTTCACACTTATTTTTAATGATCACGAGTCACTTAGCAATAACCTTTTTTTTGGGAAAAACAAAATAAAACTGGTCTGAACTTTGGCAGAGGTACGTGAGTAGGTTCGCCCCATAGTAGCTACGGCCCCGTTTTAAAAGCTTTATAGAGGGTGATATTTCTAGGTTTCCAAAAACAATGTAACTAATTGTTCGCAAGGTAAAAAATATAAGGCTAGCCCTGTAACTAACACATAAACGAAGCACAATTTCTCTTTCGAGTTGTTCAGTCTTCCACAGAATGATCGGGCAAAAAAGTCCTTATTTTGAGAGTCTAGGGTTAAAGGTATTTGATTATATTGCCTTGTACTTATTTTTTCTTGTTCGAGTGACGTCATCTGTATAATCCGACAACGAAAACTGCTATGGAAAGGAAGAATGCCGTCTTTGGAAGTAGGGAACTCACTAAAAACCACAAAAAGACTAACCGAGACTACGAACGTGGCAGTTTCATGGGAAGCAAGTACATTCATAAAAGAGATCACTCGTATATCAAATTCAGTTGTGCTCGATGCAGTGATCTCAACGCAAATAAAAGTCACACAAAGATAAAGGAACCTTTGTGTATACGGCCACCACGGTCTAATTTAATTTTTACCCTGGTTTCGTTAATATTTTCCCTTGCAGTAGTGCAATATACTACTCCATAAAGAAAGGAGTAAACAATTACTTTTGTCACCATAGCAACATGTAGTGTTTATCCGAAACAGCTAACACGCAAAACATACTGAGACACTGCAATACTGGATACCAAAAACGGAAAAAAATCGGCTAATAATAGCGAAGGGTTTCGATGCATTTTTTCTTCTCGTTTTTCGGACAGCCGGAATATGTTTTTCCTTAGAACTATTGTTTCAATCGCAAAAACACCACAATATATCCATTAAATATGAATTGCTATCACTTTAAACTGATGAAAGTTTCATGTGAAAAATAAGTCACGAAACAATATGCTAACAAGGCCTGGAACGTTTACGGACTAATATCAAATACTAAGTACACGTCAAGGCATAATTAATTGGTTTGTTCCAGTCTATAAAACCTGCGCAACAGTCCTAGTAACTTTAATTTACTGTAACTGTCAACAAGCCATGGCGATCTCTTGCAGTTCCTTCAAAGTTTTAGTTTTCTTCTGTTGCGGTAAGTCATGCATAATCAACTAAGGGTCAAATGAACAGATTTAAAAGATTTAAGCGCATAGCTTTTCAAAATATAACTGCTAAAGAACATTGCATTAACTCAGATTTGCGAATTGAAGCTCCGACTACTGTTATACAAACTATGCGGGGATTACTCGATCCCGAAAGGTTTATTTTCCCTTTTTTGACCCGGGAAGTTCCTTTCCTCTGAGCAGAACCGCTCCTAACGAACTTCCACAACTGAGCTCAATTGCTATGCGTCCACAACAAGGAATCAGTGCTCTGGGCTGTTTTATGTTCAATGAAGAATATTTCGTACGGAAAAAATACCGACAGGAAAATAGAACGATGTGGATGCAATCGAAAGTGAAGTAACTTCTTCGACAGTCATTACATCCTTTCCTTTTTCGGAGTTATCTGCACCTACTTGTGCATAATAATGGCTAGGGAGCGACGTATCCCTAATCTATATTTGAACTGATTAATGTCTCGTGCAGTCAGATTTTCTTCTTTTCGTAGTTGTCTCTGAAATGATTTCCAATCCGGTATCCATGTGTGTTAAAGAGGGAATTTTTACTTTTGGCGAGCTTGCATAAAATTCCTTTAATCGTCAGCATCACACATTGCAAAAGTTGTGAAGTTTCATATATGCAGTCCTTGGTAGAGGCATCCTTTAAGGTGTTTGGGACGAATTATTCCCATTTTTAGCCTTTTTAAAGTTTATATTTAACTTCATTTCCTGGTTAGTTATTTCAGTAGCACTGCACAGTCACTCACTTATTGACCATGTTGAATTTTAAGTATAACATCAATGATGCATTTTCTTGTAAATATCGCAGACTCGGTGTGCAATATCGCGGAGTGAAGCGATAATCTATAGCTTTACGCACGGTCATTTCAGCTATCTAGATCTGTAAAGCAATATTCTTTTTCAGGGTAGCTTTATCCCCATTAGTGAGAAAATGGTCATGATTGAAATGTTTCAGCCATTACTAGGATTGCATCTATTCCCCCCCCCCCCCCCCCTAAAGATCTTTCTGTTTTCAGTTCCAATATTATGCCACTATAAAGAAAGACGTCATCGATATTTAAAGAAGGAACTCACGCAAAGAAACCAGTTTTAAGCAAATCTATTTTTGTTGCATTTATCAGTGGAACCTTGATCTATTAAAGTTTCTGTGATGAGTTGGTTTTACTTTAAAATTAATAAGAGATTGCAGTGGGACAATAGTTTGTGTCAGTTGAACACAGGGCTTCATGCACTGAAATTTCCATTAATGCGACAAGGGGTGGTCAATAAATAGAACTTATCCGTAATTTTCAATTTATTTGCAAAATCACTGACTTTGTTTACAACTGTCAAAGGAGTCGTCCAAGACTCATATTGTATTAAATAAAATCCAGCATTTTTTTTACATAAAACTCGAGGTTTTCTTTCATTTCACTTCAGTTACACTCTGCAAGTACATGCACCATTTTTTTTCACTGTCTTCCTATTTGGTGCCAATATGTCTAGAGGAAAAGCTGAAAGCCACTTAGCCCAAATTTTGTTCAAATTTACGGCTTATGCAATGATTGGCAGCGAGAAGTTAAACGTTTAAGAGAGAGCACTCTTTGAAAAATTTCAAATGACAAGAGTTTAATTGAAGAGGATTTTTTCTTTCTTTCATTCAACAGCACTTTTTTTCTTGTGCGTCGCTGATGAAGTGAATAAAAAAGACGACAACACGAAAACAATTCGTGACGATGATGTCAAGGTCAAAATTCATGGTGCTTCTGGAAAAATCAAGATTGCTCGGGCCGAGAAGGACGACAAAGATGATGATAAAGACGGCAAAGATGATGATAAAGACGACAAGGATTCGAAAGATAGTGATACCCCAGATAAGACCGACGATGTTGACGTAGAGGTTAAAGATAGTGTAGAAAAAAAGGACAGCGACAGCGATAAAGATGACAAAGACACGGACGATGATAAAGATGATGATGACTTTGAAGACACCAACGATGATTTGCTGACTTTTGAACTTGATGACATTAAAGAGAAAGATGACAATGATAATGATGTGGCCGACGACAAGCATTCAGTGGATTCTCTCAAGGATGTACAGTTTCAATTTTCTCCTGTACAGACAAACGACAGATCCTTCGGAATCCCGGCCATCAATGTGAACCTGACAGGCCGACTTGAAGATACCGATGCCAACGTTCAGATCATGGTCTACTTGTTCCGTCAGGCAGGATCCATCACGTTTGGCAACGAAACGTTTCAGGTTCAGCCAGGGACGGTGAAGTTCAACATAAAGGTACGTGGCCAAAAAATGTTCGCGTACTATGCTTTTTTATGCGCTATTTTCTATAAAAAAAACACTGGGGTAAAGCAAAGAATATGTATAGATTTAGCCAGGGCTAAAAGCGAAGCTCTCATTAATATACTTATACTTTACTCAAACAAAAAATAAATATCGAGCAATGCTAAACGGCGAAGGCAACAAGAACTGCAAAAAAAAAAAAAAAAAAAAAAAATCAGTAGTCTACTACAACATGAAACATTCTAGTTACACATTTTATGGCAAAAAAGTGTCGTACCAAAGATTTTGTTGCTTGTGTTCCTGTTCGGTTTTTTTCACTGCCGCTGGTTTTTACCTTACTGGCTTCTTGCTCACCGCTAGCATTTCTCATTTTCTCACCGCTGATATAAAATTTTCATGTTGGTTTTCCAACAAAATTCGTCTCTTTTGTCTTTTTATCTCTCACTCTAGCTCTTTCTGTGTTATCCACGTCAGTGTAAACATTCAAACCAGGAGCTAATCGGCTCCTGTTCAAACTTAGTCGAAAAAAGACTCGATCTTGTTGTCGTGCTGTTGTTTTTTCTCTATGAGGTGGCCACCCGATTTCGCGCCAAAAACCCCGAGTTCCATTTGGGTTGCCATACCTGTCGATTGCGTTATTTTACATTGGTATGCCTGTGGTGCGGACGAAAGCGTGGACGGGTGGACATACGGTCATGTGACTACCAAAATTTCTCGGATGCATAGATAGACAAATTTTTTTACCCACGGTGCTCCGCTGCGCGCGCGAGAGCTCCGCTATCAAACAGTGGCCGATCTAGGGTAGGAACCCGGTGGGGGCCAGCCTCGCTCCTTATTATTTTATAGGCCCCCAGGGTCAAGAAAATGACTTTTCAGGCCGGTATCTCCTCTTGTCTTAGGAACTGGATGAGCGCCCCCTCACCCCCCCACTTCACCACAACCACCACCACCACCACAACTAACTTAAATATCTGAATCTGCCACTATGAAACCAGTGCACATGATTAATCTCAAGTCTCCCTGTTGGTAAAGGCACTCAGTTATCAATAAATTAGACACCATGCCATGAAAATTGGCTGCGACAGTTGAAATATAATAAAAATTTAATAAAATAAAAGTTTTCCATATGATCACGAAAGCCATTGCAACCACTATAGCCATGGGAGTAACGAACAAACAAACGTTGTCCCATGATACAATGCATATCCACACTTTTCAAGGTACTCGATTGGCCCTAGTTATTTCTCAGGTAACCGAAAATTATGAACCTGTGAATCAAGGCCCTCTTTAATCCTTTATCTCTTCGTATTTTTCATTTTATAGATTAGCGAGTGGGATTTCTGTGAGAATAATACTCCGGGCTGCAACAGTGTAGGCCAATTCCTGGATCTCAGTATGAGAGTCAAGAGCAAGGGAACTCCATCTGAAGTAGACGACGACGACGACCGCAAAAAGGCTGTTTGTAAGGACGATAAGGATGATGGAAAAGATAAAGATGATAACGATGATGATGATGATGATGATGATGACGATTGCCCTCATCTATATGACATGGGAGGGGACTCAGAAATGCTGCTTAACAAAGGGGTAGGTTTGAAGGATCCCATATCTTTGTAAGTCTTGTAAGCATCATGCATACGTGAGGTGCTTTTTGCTTAAGGTCCATCGCGAAACATAAACGAGCATAACTGCAAAAAGGATCTACGATCACTAAAAGCACTGCCATTCCTGTTTAGAGAATCTTTCAATTGCATCAATCCATGATGTCGCCCACACTGACCTCCCTTTTGAATCATATCCAATTGTTTTAAAGTTCTAGTAAATCACATAGGCTATGGGTTAATGAAGATGTAAAGGTCATATGATAGCTACTTAGGATGGTGTGTTTGGGACTCCATTCTACTAGATAATCTCCCTGATAGCAGGGCTAAAGTAAAATTATATTTTAAAGGATTCCTCCTCGAACGTCAACCTTTTTTGTAAGAAAGTAACTTATTTTGAAGCTTCCTCTGCCATTTGTTGTATCTGTTTCAATTTATATGGCACTTTCCGCCTCGTCTGAAAAGAAAGGAAGCCGTGGGTTAGAAGTGTAACAGCAAAAGAGGGCGGCCAATTCCAAATTCAAAGTGGAAAACCTTTATCGTGGTAATGAGTTTCATTTGTATGAGAAAGACATCATTTTTAAGTCAATGGCTTCGCACTTTGCCTCGCTTTGAAACAGAGGCTTGGGGCATCTCGAAAATGGCCTATTTCGAGTATCTCTGTTTAACTTGTCACTTGTCATTTTCCAGGTGGAGACCGATGATGGCAATTACTCACCCATGCCGCAAGGATATCCCAAAGTGGAGCGCGATGGTGACGCGTCAAGATTTGTTTTCCGCATACCCAAATTCAACAAAAATGTTCTCTTGGATCCAAGCGTGACACCAGGCGAAAAGAAAGTCAAATCAGGAAGCGCTGCGTCGTGGTTGCAGGTCAACTTTGTCGTTGCTATGTTGCTTCAACTGGTTGCGATATTTGCAGCTCAGTAACATCACAATACTGGAATTATATTGACTCAATATTGAGATTAAGGATCACATTGAAGACAAACTGCAAACGGCAAGAGACGTTCACGTGATCATCTTTTCCCGCCTTTTTACGCTTGCGGCTTATATTTTCCGTTTCCAACCTAACATATTATAGAAACAGCGTTGTCAAACGAAAGTGATAACTGTATTTTATATCGTTGTCGGTTATATTGGAAATCGTACGTTTATCTCTGCCATTTGCTGTTTGCTGTAAAGGTAATACTTAACCTCTCTAATATCGCTAATACACACCACATAAATATTACAACATTAATATAATGGACATTCCAGCTTCTAGTTCAAGATGCAAGAGAGAAATATTTCGAGACGAATCGTTTTAAGAACAACTGCACATGTTAAAAGCAGTAAGACAAGAAAATGACGTTTGTTTAGTGACAACACGCAGAGGTGTCAAAATCAAGAGAATTTGGCAGTTTTTTAGCGTGGCATTATTACCGAGACAATTGATAAGAAGCTTAATTCATGCTAAGCATTTAACCCAATAAAGATCAATGGAATTATAAGACTTGGATGCTTTGTACAATAAATAACCTTAAAGAAAAGACAGGCTTCTTTTAAAGAACTTGATATTTTACAACTGAAACACATTGCAAGGGGAACAACTATAAAAAACGGGCCAAATTTGTCAAGATCGGAGTTCTTTATTTTTTAAGTGGCGATCACCTTGGTCTGCAACAACATGCTAGTCGGCATTGAACCAATCAGCAACAACCTTTCAATCAATAACCAATCTAAGCTCAGAACAAATGCCAGTGTCGTAACTCTTGCCAAGCGCGGGAAACGGCATGCGAGCAAGTCACGTGTTATTTTAACCAATGTTTAAAAATTCATTGCTAATTCATAAAGCAAAAACAAAAGAAATTAATATTTCATGAGTGTCTTAGTTTATATCTGATAAAGACATGGCATGGCTAAACTTTACGCCCAAGTTTTTAGACCGAAATAACCCCAATTCTCAATACGAGTGCAAGAATGAGTTGATGTATATCAGAGATTTTGAAGCCGTTCAAAAAACTCGCAGTCGTGTATTATCAGGTTTAAAAACTCTCAGCTTCGCCTCGAGTTTTTAAACCTGCTCGTTTTTTAAGCAGTACATACAGCACTAGGACGCAAAAATACACAACCCTTTCAACATAACGTAACATAAATTTTATTTTGACTTGAATTTTAGAGTAGCTGATGGGCTAATCTCTTCGAGAAAACGTTCAGATAGTGGTCTTCGTGCACTTTATTGGCAATTTTGCAACAACATAGCGAAGAGACATCATTCCTGTCATCTTTTCAAATTTGCCCCATTGTCATTCAGTGCAATGTATAACTTAGGCTACGTCTTGCATAGTCCCTGTACGACGTTTTTCCAGTTCCTCTCGTTCAATTGACTTCGGTGACGTATCCGAGGCGAACAGGCGGTAAACATTTTCGCTTAGACCACGTGACCCGAAACGCTTCGAGCACGCGGAATAATGAGGCCTAGGGACTAGACGAGGCTACGTTCACACGGCACCGAACGAATTTCCAACCGGCCGAAAAATTTGACCAAATACGGAACACACGGAACCTTTAAATTTCAATATTTTCGTTTTGTTCACACGGAAAATTGAACTGCTAGGCGTCTAAAGTTTCGTACGGTTAAGGTGGTACCGTCTGTGAATGGAACACCCAAACTCACGAATTTTCAGCCAGTCTCGAAAACTCGTCCTGTACCTTGCCTTGATATTAATGACAATTCATCCCCTTAATTTTGAAGTTGATCTGTTTCGACAACATCACTCTTAAAATAAAGGTAGTACAGAATATACATCAAAAGGAACTTGTTCTTTAAAAATTATCATGCAGGGGCGGATCCAAAAAAGTCAGAAAGGGGTGGCCGGGACACTTAACAGCTCTATTCTAAATACTTTTTATTTTTCTGAGACCGAATTCTATAAAAATAATACCAACTTTCAAGGGAAAAGGGGTAGCCGCGGCCCCCTCGGCCCACCGGCCCCTACATCCGCCCATGTTATGTTCTTTTAACACAATTTTTGGCCTGTCACTTCATCAACGATAGCGAAACTCACTTAATTATGGCGGCGTCTTCAACTGACGAAGAGCCTTGGTAGCGGTTTGATTCATCTCACAAATCAGATATCCAGTTTGTTCGTCATCCCCGACTTTGCAGTAGTCCCTTTTATTCTTGGTAGAAAAGACTTGTCTTTAAGGTAAACCTAAAAATTTATAGAGATTTTCAAACTTAGAGTCCACTAAGGCTTTCATTCCTCAAGTAAGAGCAAGCTGAAATGGACTTTTCTCCCATTACAGTTTTATCCGTATCATATCTTCATGCTTAGCTCACTAATGCTCGCTTCACCCCATCCCCAGCAGCCATAGGAGAAGGAATTTGAACCTTAGAAAAATGCGTTACATGATGAGAAAAAAAGGAACTTACATGGGATAATCCAAAGGGTCTTTTGATTTCCCTCTCCATCGTCATGAACTTCACCTTTACTTTCATTCAGTTCGTTATCGTCATTATCACCGTCATCATCATCACCACTGTAATCATCATCATCAACATTATAATCCTCATCATCATCGTCATCATCATCATCATCATCATCATCATCACCATCATCACTAACATCTTCAACGTCGTCCTCGTCGTCATCATCATCGGAGGCCATCTTTGCTCTGCGTACTGTTTTCTAAAGAGAAAACAAACTTGCGTTGATTGCAATAAATAACTACTGTTTTGAAGATAAACCTCAAAAACTCAGAGCCGTCTATACCTTGATCAATAATTCTCTATTATCGCCGAGATGAGGCGAACATTCTGAAAATAAAGCTTTTAAACCATCATGGTCAATCTGCGCGTTTGGTCAGCAAAAGACTAGAGATCCTTTTCGCGCACGTGGCCTGCAGCTACGCAATATTATCAAGAAAAAAGAGAGTTTTTTTAAAAAAGGTTCAGTTCCCACGGGGATGAATTAGGACACCCCCATGACCGGCCGCCGTTTCATTGTTTTAGGACGTCAATTTGGCGCATTGTGACGTCATGTGAAAACGCTCTCTATATATATCACTCAACTATGGTAAAGTAATTAAGGTTGCTATTAAGTGCCAGCGTCTCTAAAAACCTATTCGAGAAACTTACCTTTTTCACTGGAGAAGACTGTTTTGTGGTTCGCTTTCTTTTCCTTGTTACATTACCACGCTATTAAAAAATAAAACTGGAATTAAAAATGCACACGGAACTAACTAATAAAATTGAAAACACAGTTCCACATCTCCTCAAAGCGAATTTTTTTTATCCTAAGTACACACAAGACCACTACAACAACACTAGGCAAACGTAACAAATGACAAAGGTGAAGTAAATAAAGCTTGGGTAAAGTTCATGGAAGCCTGGTTTAAAACCAATCGTTGGTTTACAGTTTTTACCATAGGGATCAGTAATGCTATACGATCTTCGCGCGAAATTAATGTCCTTAAAATATAGCCTGTAGTATGATAGCTACCTTTCTTAGCTTTCTTTTCAAATATTTCCTTATTTCCTCGGTCAGCCTCTCGTTCTCGCGTTCTGCAACCATCAATTGATCACTTATCTACAAAACGCAGAGAAAACATTTTTAATTAAATGTCAAGGTATTTAGAGCAAAACTGCTGATTGAGGGAAGTGTTTTAACCATCCCAGTCGCCCGTGTTGAGATCGCCAAGTCTGCGTGGCCGTCCGAGCCACGCGAAGGTCCGACCAGGCAGGGTACAGGCAGTATTTTCATCTCTGGATCTTTAAAGACTTTGAGTACTGTTTTGGCCCAATCGGGAGAAGCACAGGAGACGCGCGAAGGCACGGGGTGAAAAGGAGGGAAAAAATGGAAGCGAGGGGGGGGGGGGGGGGACTTCTCAGGCCCCGCTCCTATTTCGCGTTTCCCGTCCTCGTCCCGCTTGGCCCAGAGCCGGGAATTGCACCTGTACCTTCCGCTGTCGTACAGACAGGTGCTTTACCAGTCGAGCTTATTAATCTCACACGAGCGATTGACGTCAGTTTACTAAAACGATATGGCGCATGTGATATTTTCAGCGATATTTCAGTTCCTTCCTTTTTTCCATTTATATTTTAGAGGTTTATTCTCTAAGTATATGGATGAAGTTTTTCGAGCTGCGGATTGAAGACGATGCTAGTCAACTTCAACTTAAATAAAACAATTTTTCCAATGAGAAACAAAAAAAAATAACAACTGCAACTTTTCAAACTAACTGCTGTGTTGGACCAAGTAACAACAATAGATAACTTATCAGAATTTTTTTGTCCATGCCCTATTATTTAGTTAAGCTTTATCAACAATGAGCCCTTTGCAGCTAGCCATTCACGTGCTACAAAATCGCCATGCTGGAGAACAAAAGTAGCACTGGGACAAGACAAACAAATGAAATTACCATTTCAAAATTACTGTGTATGCCTTTTGTTTGTCCCAGTGCGGTGACCCTTGCTCTCCAGTATGGTGGTTTTGTACCACGTGAATGGCTAGCTACACTAGGCTCGGTTAACAGCCACTGCTCGGGAAATGAGCGCGCGCGAACAAGATCATGCCTACTGTTATACACACCTCTTTTATATTGCCCCTTAGCCGTTCGATCTGCTCATGTAATTTCTTGTTGTCTCGCTCAAGCTAAAAGAAAGCAACAACGGGAAGCCATGCTTCTGAAATAAGTTGATCGTTTAGTAGCTTTACTATATTTTACCCGACTCATCCTCGCTCTTAGACCAGGTCAGGCTGTGATTATTTGTCACTCTAAATTCAAAAAAGCTGTGGACAAAATCCTATGGTGTTGTCATCAGGATTAAACCTCATTAACATAACTTTAGCACGATTTATCTCTTACGATCATTATAATTTTACTAAAAGATATTTTGACCTTTCTGTGTTTTAGCGGCTATTTTGGAGAGAAAGGACCTGTAAACGAACCTGAATTACCGCTGCTATACTTCTTTGCTCTTCAGAACTGGTTTGCTCGGAATCTTTAGAGGGAAAAAACTGAAAATAGAAAAATTTGCTAAAAATGACTAGAAATCATCACATGAAAAGATCACGCACTACAAAACAGCGGGGTTGACCAAGGGACTAATAGTATGACATTAGCCAATGTACCCTAAATTCCCTTAGTTTTCTTTCCAAGCATCCCAATCTGGAAAAGGTGTATGATACAGTATTTAAAATAATTTGAAACAACCAAACAAAAACCAAATATACCGTATGCCCCCAAAACGCTGGCTCACCCTGACGAAAGCATAGCGGAAACAAAGTAATATCTGGCAATATTATAATGTGGCGTTTTTTTTAGGATCAGAAGGCAAGGGAATGCAACTTCGTTCCCAAGGTTCTCTGAGAGAACCCTGGGAACGAGGTTGAGGGGAATGATGATAAGCAGAGGGACTCCCTCATGTTTTGGCGCCCCTACCCTTTTTCAAAATAAAAATAAAGAAAATAAAACCAAAATAAAAAATTTTGTCTACTTACTTTCTTGATTTCGGAAACCTTTATTTCTTGATTTGCAAGTTTTTCCAGAATGCTATACTTTTCCGCCTCGGAACGTCCATATAAGGTTAAGAAGAGAGCCTGTGATAATTCTTTCGATCTTGTTATCGTCGTCTTGCCTTGCTTAATTTGCTCGTCGATCTTCTCAACTAAAGCAAAACATCGTCTTGAATATTTTGCCACCACCTTGTAGTGTTGCAGTTTCTGCAAAATTGAAACTTAACAGGATACAAGTTGCCTTCTTGGGTGATATCTGTAGCCCCCTCCCCCACCCCCTTGACATCTAGGATTAGAAACAGGGAGGAGTCATATCAGTGGTGCGAGGAGGGAGGGGGGACAATAAACAAGAACAAGAAGAAAAAAAACTACAGTACGTCAGTGTGGGGTGTTCATACTGAAATCATGCGGTGGTAGACAAGGCTGGTCATAGTGGTAATGCCTGTGTAATACTAATGTTCAGCGTGACACAGCGTACCAATCATAGAGACTGATCAGTGCAGTAGATTATTACGCTTATTTGTTTGACTGCCACCTTTGTGTTTTAAACAGTTTGTGTGCGCACATTGTTGTCCCACCCCCCCCCCCCCCCGCTCAACACAACCAGACAGTGGCTGCGGTCACATATGGGTTACTAACTATAGATAAGACAGGGATAACTAAACTATAGTTAGCTATTTCGGCAATGCGACCGCTTCTCTGTCCGCTCTAACTATAGTTAGAAAATTTACGCCTCGTTATCGGATCCAAAACAATACAGACTAACTATAGTTATACCCAAGCAGGGTTCGGGGGTTAGTCTTAAGTTTACAAACAAACAACCAACCAGAATGTGACACTTCTTTTCGCACGCGAGAGGTGAGCATAATTATATAAATATGCAAAATAAAAACCAAGCGTGAAGCGAGGGGGAAACCAAAAAATTTGCATAGGCTTATTAGAACTAATTGTTGTTAACTACGTGGTGTGACCGCAATGTCGACCGAAAGCACTAACTACAGTTAAGTATGACATCACGTAACTTGACACTAAAATTTAGTTACGTCGTAGAAGTGACCGCAGCCAGTATAAGGTAAGCGTCGACGCCACCTTCCCCCTCCCCAGATCGCGCGCCCGTTATTTCACTTGGCGTGATTTATTTTCGGGACATCACTACAATTGCTATTCTTTGAGTCCACAGTACAAACAAAAATTACGATTACGGTGATCTGTTCTGAACTGCGTCCTACTAACAAAAATAAAAGAAAAATGAATCCACATCCAGTCGTTGATTCAGTTATATTTTGGGATTTGACCTATTCGCTATGTCAGCTACAAAACACGCAAAAACATTTCAGAACAGATCACTGCAGAGATCATTTGTCGGTTCATGATACTTACGCTTCCGTGACAGAATCTGATTTCACTTTCCCACAGCTTATTAGATTTTAGCTCTTTCCTCTCATCATCTTCTTTTCCGCCGAGATAGAAAAGTCGCTCCCTCAAAAGTTTTACTGTGGAAAGAAAAGGTGGGGCCCCATATCGTTCGTTATGGGTACCCGGTTTAAGAGTTTCGTGGAGTGATTGTGACCCAGCCGGTGGGAGATGCGGCGCTTGTCGTCCATTCTGGGGAACTAGTGACTGTTGGTGTTCCACTCGAAGTATTATGTTTGGCTGGGGAAGCGTTGCAGGAAGTCCATAAGGATAAATCGCGAACTCGTCGGAACAGATGTTAAACGAGGCCGGAACAAGCGAAGTCATATCCTCGGCGCTGGTAAAAATTGACTAGACACTGCGAAAAGTTGCAACTTGCAAGAAGCTAACTTCGATGACTGTTTATAGGTTTTGTTTAGCTGTGATCGCTAAGCTGGACTCATCTTTCCGGGGTGTTGAGATTCATCGACTTCATTTTTGGACCTAATTTGTGCATTGGCGCAATAGTTTTCCTGAAAATCAAAGCAGATGTTCAGCTCTTGCATACGATTCTCTGGTTTATCGATCGACTTACGAACTGAAAAAGATACCTTTCACATTCATGAGAAAATAGATAATTGTTACACTCTGGAACCAATCAAATTGCCTCTTTTGACATATTTGCAGTTAATATTAACTCAACAAATCCGCCGGAAAATATCACTTTAACCCATCCCCCAAGAAAACAAATTGCAAGCTTGATTGCCAGAGTATAGTATGTATTCTTTAATTGCTCATTAACTGCCACTGAGCCCCAGAGCTTCATTTGGGCCTAATGTGCGTGATAATGAGGAGTACGAGTTTAGTTGGGCTTGTAAGTGTTTACGTCAACTCGTAGCACAATAATGTCACGCCGTAAGGGGTTCGTGACACTCCCTTTCTAGAAACACTAGAGAAGATTCCACCAAATAAGAAATTCAGTCCTGAGCTAACTGCGGCACCTTTCCATGCCTTTCAAAGCGCATTTGATCAGTACCACTACTCTTCTTAAACCAAGATAGAATTTCAATTTCTAGATCACGAATAACTACGATTAGAGACGAGAGACCCCCCGGGGTACTCCCTTACATTACCCATATGGGTATGTGCCGCCCAACGGGGTCGTGATTTTGAAGCTCCTGATTTAGAATGGGGTATCCATTTCAGAGGCGTTTTCTAGAACGGGGTATAATATTTCGAACGCACGAAAGCTCCAGTTTTGTAAGCAGCCATTTGAAACTATTCAAGGACAGATTGCTTTTAAAAACATGGTTCAATGCGTTTACAAGCAAACTGTTGTACTCTTTGCAGCTTAGAACGGAGTATAAAAAATTGGCCCATTTCTAGAACGGGGTATCAGTTTTAGGGCGAATTCTAGAACGGGGTGCAAATTTGGAGTTCCTGGCGGTACATACCCACCCAAAAAATACCCAAGTGCCCCCCCCCCGGGCGAGAGACATCACATGTAAACCCAGCCGTAAACCTATATGAGTAATTAACTGGGTGAGGTTAATGCTTAACTGACTTGTATCAATAATTTTACCCTGGTGCCTGAGTTCTTTCTTAAACTTTTCACCGCTTGAGAGAGAACGAGCTAGAACGGTGGTGGGGCTGAATGATACACCAACTTCTCCCAAATTTCCCTGCTGAAAAAAGAGAAAAGAGAAAAGTCAATACTACCTTTGAGGCATAATACCCGGCTGTCCCATCTCAACCCTGACCTTTGAGGAGCATTGGCTTACGCATTTCCGGTTACGCATCACAGGCAGACTGATCTGTAACGCAAAGGAAAAAACAACTATGTCGGTAAAACGAGGATTTTTTTTTGCCTTACTTTTTTTGTTATCATAGGTAGAGTGGAGGGGAATGAATATCGAATTATTTTGCGGCGCCGGTGGTATTCTATGAATTTATTTGTGCATTTAAAGTGATAGGTTTGTGCAACACCACAACACCGCCTACGATCATCTACGTAAGAGGGCCAGGGATAATTTGTCAAACGACCAGCTTTTGCCAAATGATCGCAAATAGCATAACTGCAGAAGTAAGCCATATATTTAAAGCAAACACCAGTGGCTACGTCCTGGCGACATCTTACATGTAAAAGTATTTTCACTTAAAATTATATTATTATCTGATGAATTAAGCGATGCAAAACCATCTGGGTCATAAAGGATTATGCATACAACGTCAGAAATGCAGGCGGTATGTCACGCTAAGCAGGTCCGGCCGGCCTTATCGTGCACGATAACACGTGCTGGATATTTGGACGTAATTGATTAAAAGAACGGAAACTCGGAATATACCAGCAGATTATTGATTTACAGGTAAGCAAGACAAACGAAAACAGTGCCACTTTAGTCAAATATACTCGGGCGTTTTAAAAAGTATTTTGAAATTTATTCGTGAATGAAACCCAGTTTTGGTGATGTTTTGTTTGCAGAGAAAGCCACCAGGCGAAGTTTAATAATTTCAGAATTTAAATTAGTTCGTCAAGCCAATGCTTCCGATTTTGGAATTCATCGAAGAAAATGTCGTTGGAGGGGATACAAGAATTGTAGGCCCATATGGAGAAAAGAAAGGTAGGTGAGACATTCTATTTTTCCAGTTTTATTTGATATTGCGTGATGAAAATATCGAAATCGTTCGATGTCATCATTCTTGAGTCAGTTCATCATTTATTGAGTTCAAATGTTTTCCATTTTGTTTGTTATGAAGGTTCCAACCTCGTTTTAAGAATTTTATATCACACAATAACTAGGACTTTTTCTTCTTTCGCATAGAAACCGAAGCGCCTAACATTTATCGTATTTAAATTCTTACAAAATGTTAGGATTCTGTCTACAATTATGGCGCGTGGTTATACAGTCACTGTCATTTCGATCGAGTAAATGAGATGTGTGTGAAAAGTTAGAAAGTCATAGTTATTCATTTTATGATCAGCAATTGCAACGATTTACTGGATTTAGTTTCTACAAGCTTTTCAGTGAACCTGAACTACATCACGATATAGCCATTTTGGTCGTGATAGAATCCATGTTGTGACACGCAGGCTAAAAATAAATTTCAGGCAATAATCGTGCATTTGACAGTTGCTTACCAACAGACTTTCATCGATGTGCACTTCTCATACAAGAAAGACGGATTGTGGAAAACTGCTTGAACCAAAACATAAATTAACTGCTATTGTGCAATGGAATGAAACCTACTTGAATGGATTAAGTACCCATCGCCAGAGTCTTTGAAACTTTATGACAGTAAAGCCTATGAACTCTTTGATTAAACATTCGATTAAAAGAATTTTTATCAAACTTAATTAAATCTCCAGGCTAAGAAGGTTTGTTTCAACAAGTGCGAGTTCTGTCCCAGATATAACATGACACGCATGAATTCCGATAGACCGGCATCGACACAAATTTCACATGATGTATCAGGTAAATTTTTACCGCGGAAGAAAAAAAAACATAAGCATCACATTCTTAAAATGAGGGAATCATTTGTGTCTTTTGTAATAAAAAAAAGTGTATTAATGTAGCGACCTAAAATACTTTTTTTTTTTCTGAAACAACAAAAAAAAACTGAATTAGTTTCCTGTTGCCACACCTCTTTGTTTCAGCGTAACTTCCGTTGCCCAGTGTCGCTTTCGCCAAAATGCTTTGACACCCGACAAACTGCAGCCGTATGAAGGTTACTTTCTTTCGGAGAAAGTTTTTCACAATTTCACGACTTATGAAATTTGGTTACATTAAAATCAATTTCCGCGTTCGAGAAAGATCTAAAACTACTGTATCCTCCCACTCACGTTTTTTCCGTTCAGCGTAGGCGGATTGCATTCTTCATCGGGTTTTAGATGGTTCATTTGATCACAGTTGATTGGGATTTCATTTTTTACAATACTTGATAGAAAACAACACTTACTGACTGACTAGTGTTAAATTCGGCATCAACCTCACCAAATTAAAGCAAGCCACGTCAGTATATGGATCTAAACTTGAATGCAAAAACGGCGTCATCTTTTACATATTAGACCGCAACTGTAACTTCAGCACGTTTAAGCATTTTAAAAATTTCAACAAGGAAGTTTATATATTAACTCCTAAATTTTTCTTATAAAGCCAAACTAAGTTGTGATCGTAGTACTCGAGTGCTTGCTTTATTCTTTAAATTTTCAGACCTATATATTCAGTAATGTTTCGAGACAAGTTTCAGAAACTGAAAATTTATGTTAATATTGTGACAGCTTTTGGTTCTGTATAAATTTAGTGTTAAAAAAATTAGTAATTTTAAATAAAAACTAATTATCAAACCTTTTTCATTTTCCAGTTATTTATTGTGACTACACAGCATCTGGCAAGTAAGTAACAAATAATTACTGAAAAAATCAATATCGCTAATTTTGTCAGGAGCCACTATCAGAATTAAGTGATGTGCACGTTCCATGTAGATTAAAAATGTGTTATTTACTAGGGAGTTAACTACTCCAGTATTTAAACTATTTTAGATTATCAGAAGGCTTATATCCGGAATTCTTACAGCGGCTATGGCCAGGGCTGTTATCATTTAGTCAAAATATTTCTTTGTTTCTTGTTGGTTTAAAAAAAAAACCTGCTAATGTTGACAAAAATTGAAAAAATTGTTCGTATGATTCGAGAATTGTCAATCATAGAGAAATTATTGGACGATTGACGTCACACAAAGACAGTGGCGCATCGGCTCAGCTGTCTTGGCAGTGCAGAGCTCGAAAAAAAGCTGAGGATTGGAAGAAAAAATCTGAAATAATGCACATATGTAAATATCACCTGCAGGATGACAAATGCTATTTGAAAAACATCTGCAAGGTAAAGCATCCTAAACTACAGAGGTACTATCAAAGAATTTCTATGCATAAATTATTCTGTGATCAGAGTGGAAAATTTTTTTTGAATGATTATGGTGAATGATTTGGCTTTCACATGATATGACAAATTCCGCTGATCTTAATGGGTATCATATCACCTCCCCAGCTTTTGGCATCTGCTTGTATCACTCACCCTCTTCATTTGGGCGTAGGCGTCCGAGGACCTACTTGTTGTCCAATTATAAACGTAATTGTATGTTTGTCTCTACAGGCCCCTCCGGTTTATTGAAAACTACATCCGGGACTATGTGCTCCCGTTTTACTCCAACACACACACTACAACAAGTGCAACATCGCGACAGACTACAAAGTTCAGAAACGAGGCTCGGTAAGTCAAGCCAACTTTCGGCTTAAGTTTGGAATTTTTTTATAAGTTCGGGAAGTTCTCAGTTACAGTTACAATTCTCTTTGAGCGCTTATCATTTGAATGGACTTTTTGGACAGATGGAATTGCACTTTTTCATTGAGCCGTATCATTTGATCCGTTTTGTTGATTTGCTAACAGAGGGCGATGAGAATTAAACATAGCTGTCACATCCGATAGTTACGATTCATTGACTCTAATCCTCCACTGCTTTCCTCTCAGGAATAGCTTGGCACTGGTTTTTAATTTTGTGGAAAATGGTACTGTAGAAAATTCCGGGAACTGGTAGCCTGAGTATCAAGCGTTTCTGGGGAAAAGGGGAAAGATGGAAGCGAAAAAAGGAGAGAGCTGAAGGACAGAAACCTTCCTTTCTCTTCTCCCCCTCCCCCATCTCAAATCTCCTCTCCCCTAGCCACTTAGGAAGGCCTGATACTCAGGCTAGGGAACTGGTCGAGGCGAGGAAAAGGCAATTACCTCGGAAGGTATTACCATTTTTGCCGAGAACATTTTACAGAATGAACCGTTTCATTTGAATTCCCCTGGCCCAGAATTACTGGGTTTTCCATACAAATGGTTAGCGTTTTCTTTTCAATGCGTTGTGCACAAATTTTAAAGCAAAATTGTTCCGATGACATGTACAGGGATTGCTACATGATTTTGTCACTGGGCATTGCTGCAGCATGTTCCAATCAAGGCTGTTTGATCATTAAGCAGGCTAGAGCCTGCATGGTCATGGTCATACAGCAAATCTCTTGATCTCAAAGAATTTTCCATAGTGCATGTGGAGCATTCTTATGGCAGGCCTGTTCCATCACAGGTAGCCAAAGTTCGAAATTTGAGCATCGGCGAGCATCGCCATTGTTGCGTAACATTCGAAATATAAGTATTTGTATGGGAAAAAACCTATCGTTTCTGTAACCTACGAAAATGAAAGGATTTCAATAAAAAACAGCATACCTTACTTAAAATGTGTGTTGCGTCTGTCCTGTGTAGTCCACGGGCCGATTTATGGCCGTGTTATCGGTTTTTATGTAAACTGTTTTCTCTCTACCTTGGGTTATATATAGAAATAAATCCATTTACATAAAAACCCATAAAACGGCCATAAATCGGCCCGTGGACTACACAGGAGAGACGTAACACACATTTTAAGTAAGGTAAGCTTCATTTTCGTACGTTACAGAAACGATAGGTTTTTTTTCTCATACAAATCCTACTTATATTTCGAATGTTACGCAACAATGCCGACGCTCGCCGATGCTCATATTTCGAGTTTGGGTGGCCTGTGGTTCCATTTGGCGTTCATTGCTTTGTAATACTCTAGAAAATCTGCTTGACATAAGATATGCCGGTTATTGTAGCGTGGCCCATAAAGCAGCGAACAGAGATTTGCAACAAAACTTTGGTGTATTCTTATTCCGGAATACGATCAATCGAAAGTACCCTAAGAATCTACTTAAAAGAAAAATGTTTAAATGCAGAGAAGATCATAACAGTTAGAAAATGTTTATTTGTAAGGACGTAGAAGCCCAATGATTGCCTAGAGTAGGTCGATTGTCCGGGATGTACGTGTCTACATCTACCAGTGACTCCAATGATCTCCTTTATCCCTCTGGATTGTCTGGTCGTGAGAACGCGCTTCAGCCAAAACGCTGAAAGCAACTTGATCCATCGGGAGATTACCCTCCGGCTCCAAGCGATCTATCAGAAATTAGGAAAAAGACCCTCTGTTACCCAGGGTATCGGGAGATTTATTTTGTGTTGCAATCAAGGCAAAAAAATCTTAGTTATTGAAATTGTCAAAAGCTATTTAAATTATGTATTTAATTTTTATATTTTTGTTTTTCTTTGCAGCAACATAATAAAAAGCTGTGTCAATGCCACGGGTGAGGACTGCGTTGTTTTCACAGGAAGTGGCACAACAAGTGCTATTCACAAGTTAATTCACGCTCTTGAGCTGGAGCAAAGAAGGGACGAGAAAAATGTGAGGACAAAGCATGTTAAATATTTTTAAGTACCCACTAGCTAGGCCGTCATGCACTTAAGTGCTTTACTGCTTTACGAGGTAGTGTATCGAAATGATATGATTATGCACCGACTTCTTGTCGACCGATATGCCTTTTCAGAGCTCGCCCCGTCGTAAGCAATCGATTCCTGTATTTTCTAGAATACGCAGCGCTTATTAATTCATTCACGCCTTAAATGCGGCGCTTATTTGGGTGCGGCGTATATTGGAAGTTGGACGTGACAAAGAATTGTTTTAACTACGGTATTGTTATTTTCGGTATATAAAATAACAGGATGAACGCCTTTTGATTTTGTTTATATTGCGGCCGCGGAGATGATTAACATTTTTTTGTCCCAAACGCGGGGCTTAATCGGGTACGGCACTTATTCGAATAAATCATATCTGACCCTGCAGAGTGAGAATATCTTAAACGCTGCAAACTTACTTACGGCCCCACCCTCTTGCGCTCATGCATGAAATAAGCTGTTGTTGCTACTATTGTTAATTTTTTCAGGTTGTTTTTATCGGGCCATTTGAGCATCATTCAAATATTTTACCATGGAGGGAAACGGGAATCAAGGTAAGATCAGTAAATGTTTCCGCTTGCCGCGCGTGCGGGTGTGTGAGTTTTAAGGGAAAGCGGGGGGTGGCTCTCAGTTTTTCAAACTGTTTTGGGATGGAGGGAATTGGAAGAACCCCCCGGCAAAGGTTTGCATCCTTAAAAACTAACACTTCCAAATTCCAATTCCATCTGTAACGCACGGATACGTTTCAGCTAGTTCTTATGAACTCCTAAGTGCTCCGTGGGTAAACAAATTATAATTACAATTACAATTGGAAGGTTACAGAATGAGTTACCAAGTGAACTTGTTTTGACTCTAGGCTTTCTAACAACACTTTTCCCACTTGTTCAATCAATCCATTACCACAATTGAAAACATACCAGATAAACCAGAGTATCAGTAACCAAAAATGACTTTGCCTCCTTCTTATTGGCTGAAATTTTACGGCTTGAGAGAAGGTCGCCTTCTTGTCTTTTAAGGGATGGACAATTAGAAACGTAATGGAGGAGGTGGGGAACATCGCGCTCCGTGAACTTTTTTTTCGGTAACATTTGTCTTGCCTGAATCTTCTTTAAGCCAGTGTAGTCTATTTTACTGGGCTACTTGGCCTTGCACGTAAATCTTTCTTGCAAGAATATTTTTTGGGTACTTTGCCTTCCTCCCCTCCCCCACCTCACAACTTTGCCCATGGTCCGTCCGTAAACAAGAGTTTCAGTCGCCTATAGATTCTCAAGTGGTTGGGACATCAGAATTCGAAAGCTCTTTCATTCTGCTGATCTTTGTTATTTACAGATTGAAAGAATAAACGATAATGAGCAAGGAACAGTTGATATGGATATGCTTGAGGAAAAACTGCAGGTAAATTCTGACCAACCTTTATGTAAAGCTTTTTATTTCTTTTTTTTTTTTTCAAGAGATAAGACACTTTTAGACTAATATACGATTACAAGATTGAGTATACGGGGGCGAGTTTTCAAGTGACTGTTACTGAGTATTAGAGAGGTGTTCACCTTATGTAGAGTCATAGCCTGCTGCAAGCTCCACAAAGCGCCCTAGAGAGCTTGCACGCAGGTTGAAACTGTCAAGGAAAATGAGTGAAGAAAGACTCCGTTTTCGGGAGGTTTTCTCCGTTCAAAGGCAGAGGAACAGCAAGGGGACAACTCTAAGGTGTCCGTGTTAGGGAGGTGTCCGTCAAAAAGAGGATTGTGTTAGGGACGGACCATTAGAAAACCTCTGAGGGGGGTGGTTGGGGAAAGCCTCTGAATCAGCCTCTGCCATATAATTAAACCCGCCATTTTTTTCTTGCTTCAGATGTATCGCTCGGCAGATTACAACATATACGTAGCTTTTTCAGCAGCCTCCAATGTCACAGGGATCCTGACTGATACAGTAGCTGTAGCTGAACTCTGTCATAGATATGGCGCTTTATCCTTCTGGGACTACGCCTCTGCTGCTCCATACCTTAAAATTGACATGAATCCAACACCAAACGGGTAAGTGTAGAATTGTAGCTTCTTTTTTTTTTTTTTCAAGGCGTAGCCGCGTGAACGCCCTGGAATACAATAGACCTTGACTCGGACGCTTTTTAGCAGTTGCAACCATTAAGCTTCTGCATTTGACCCAATTAAGTTTTGGGGACTGATCTTCATTGTTATAGGTGTTTCTAGGGACCCGACTGTAGTACTTTCCTGCGAGTCCTTCAGTTCTCTTAAAAGCCAAATTTAATTGTTGAATATTTATGCAGGAGATTAATTTCAACCAGAGTGGTTTTTGTAACTAGTCAGGCCCCTATACACCATAGACTCCTCGTGTTATAGAGTAACTTTTCCTAGCCTTCTTATTGAACTCCTCGATCGGTAGAATTTCGGTCAGTTACACACTGAGCCCATACTTATCAGAAAAATCTCTTTCTATCCGCTTCACAGGTACAAAGATGCGGTTTTTCTATCTCCTCACAAATTTGTCGGCGGACCGGGTACTCCAGGTTAGATTTTGATTAGTTTGACTGTGAACTTTTTTTTTGGAAGTATTTTTGCATTATATAATTTTAACTGAATTATAGTTTCAGTGATTTCTATTCCTTTCGCCTCTTTTCTTAGGTTTACTTATTGCCAAGAAAAGCGTGTTTAGAAACCCGGTTCCGGGCGGTTGTGGAGGCGGAACAGTTTTATTTGTAAGTTAGGATGACACAACAATTTTCCTTTTATTGTAATTACAGAGATCCTTCTTTTGTTAAATTGGCTGTTCACCTTTGTTATCAGGTAACACGTGACACGCATTTGTACCTGAAAGATATCGAAGAAAGAGAAGAGGGCGGAACACCAGCCATAGTGGAGTCAATACGGGCTGGTATGGTCTTTCAACTGAAACAGGTGAGGTTGGAGTAAATAATGTGCAGTTTGTACGTGCTGGTATGGACTTCCCACCAAAACAAGTCAGGGGCACCCAACGATAATTTTCGGAAAATTATGTGTTCGGAAGACGATTTGAGATCTAGAATTTTCGGATCATTTTCTGTAAAATTTCTTGCTTGCCTGCCTCTCCTAGGATTTTCGAACATCAAAAAATGGTATAATTGTCACTTTAACAGATTTTCACCCTAAAAAGTTCACCTGAATTTTCAGGTTTTTTCTGGCGAAATTTTCGAAAAGGTTTTTGATCCCTATTATACTTTCACCTGGTTTTTTTGGGATAAAAATAAGCCTTTATCTATCGTTTAAATACTAAATTACGTTCAACAATGCCAAGGAGTCAAACAGTCACTGATGCGAGTTGTGGTCTAGGCGGAGTTTCTTTTTTAACTTCACCTGGTTTTGGATTTTATCCGTACCAACCTATAAAGAAAAGTCGTATTGTGAAAAGAATCGAAAGCATACTTTAAAAGCCCCAGTCCTTTGGCAAAAAAAGTAATTTAACTAGTTGTTTAACAAACGAGACATTTTCCTTAATCCTTTTGTATTCGTTTTCTTTCTTGTTTTCTTTAGTCTGTTGGAACGGATGTTATCGAAGAAAGAGAGGAACAACTTTGCAAGTAAGTTAACATTCTTCACCTCGCAATAAGCAGTTTATTGGTTTTAATTAGTGTATGTGAATAAGATATGTCGCGGCTTAAAAAGTGAAGTGCTTTTGTGGTTTGACGCAAACTAATTCCAGCTAATACGTGGAACTTGCTTATCTTAAAATTATTAGATCGTAGATAGTTAGGTGAAAATTAGGTATTGCATTTCCTCTTTTATTCAACTTCAAACAACGTGGTTAAATATTTAAGTCCGTTTGTTGTTTCTCAGGAAAGCTTTTGACGCCTTAAACGACAACCCAAACCTCACCATATTAGGAAATGACATGGCTCGCCGGCTTCCTATCTTTTCCATGATATTTTACCATCAGGACAGCGGTAAACTTGTTCATCACAACTTTGTGTCCGTGCTTCTGAATGATCTCTATGGTATCCAGGCTCGAGGTGGTTGCGCATGTGCTGGACCGTACGCTCAAGTAAGCCTTAACTGATTTATTTCAGACACTCGTTTTTTTCTTTTTATATGATTAATTCCCTACCGTATGAAACTTGTTTTCTCTTATTGCCTTTAATACCTTTACTCATGTACCCAATTGTGGGAACATAAATTTATGTTCGACAGTAATTTTGCGCAGTATTATCCGTTCTTTACTGCACAGACTACCATTTAGATTACTAACTTTTTAAAAAAAGAGTCCAGGTTTGAAACAAATCATAAAGACACAAAACACTACTTTTTTTTAACGTTCACATTCGAGCTGAGAATCAAAACAGCCATTCATATGGAACTTAAGGAAGGCTACCGGCCTGCTACCTTTACACACTTATAACGAATGTTCTCGAATGCACCGAGTGGATTTGGGTAACTGAAAAAAAAAATCGATAGTTGTAACGCGAGATATAGCCATTTAGGGACAATCAATTTTCTCTCCATTAGATTTTTTCTTCCATAGTTAATTGTCTAATTAAATCTGCTAATATTCTAAATTTAATAATAAGCCAAACGTTATTTAATTAGTTTCATGCTCTATACTTGAATTCAAACCATAAAGACAATTATTAAAATGCACCTGTGTTTTAATTTCAGGAACTGTTAGGCCTTAACGAAACATTGTTACGAAAGTTCATGTGGTTTCTCGAAAAGCACGAAAAGTAAGTAAAAAGCAAAGTAAATTTCCTTGTTGACATTTGCCTAGAAGAAAAAAAGTTTTAGGGTTGCATTTCTTTTTAATAATTAAAAGGCGTGTTTAAGCAAGACATTAAACCTTTGACGTGTTTTTCGTTTCAGTGACAGCTTAGGAGGATTACTGAAGGAACCACTCGAGATAATGAAGTGAGTATAAAGAAAAAGTTGACTGTATGAGGCGTCAGCAATGATATATAACCGAGTTTGCATCTCACTGCAAGTGTGCTAGTTTCCTATGTCTCATTCTTTTCTTTCAGACCCGGATTTGTCAGAGTTGGTCTCCCTTACTTTATGAATGACAAAACAGTCGATTTTGTGCTTAATGCAGTGAACATGGTAGCCACTCATGGCTGGAAATTATTACCGCAGGTCAGTAAGAACTTTCACTAAAATACAGATCTCAGTTAGTTCAAACGTACTAAGTCACAAAACTCTTTATTTTCAAGTTTGATTTATGATTATTTTACGTGTGGTTGAAGAAACAGGGTTTTCCAGAATCTTCGGTGACTGGCTCGTCGACACACAGAATTGCGGTTACTCACAGAAATAATGGGATGTGATAAAATCCACGGCCGTATTTCATTTAGTTTGTTTTACGACACTTTCGTTCGACAAAATTGGATATATGATGCAAATGTCGATGTGCAGCTTGATCTTATCTTTCACCGACTACTTAATTTTTTTCTCCTTCTACCCTCGACATTTTCTGGAGAACCCTGAGAAAACTAAAAATGCCTGGCCTACAAAGTCGTATATATAGGCTTGCGAATTCTTGTTTAGAAGTTGTGCCTCCTTTGTATGGGCTTAGTTAATCCTATCATATTTTGATTAAATGAGATTTTTTTGCTTGAGTTATATATCCACATCTTGAGATGTGGACACCCCAGGTCCATGAATTGCGTTTGCTTTTTATAACGATGATGAAGTGGTTTGTTAGTGGACCGATGAAAACTGGCCCGTAACTATCTAAAAACTTCTTTAACTATCCAACTTATCCAACCTCAATCGTCATTATTGTTGTTTTAGTATCACTTTGATCCGCACACTGGTGCCTGGGAACACAAACAGTTCAAAAAGGACAAGGGAGAAACACTGTTTAGTTTATATGACTTATCTTACGACGAGGTTGGCGTGAGCATAAGCAGCAAAAGCATCTGCAAGGACTACGAGGGGACACTCGATGTAAGCTAAGTTTTGAAAGATCGTAGTTATGTTATTTTCAAGTTGAAAACATTTCGTGACATTTGCGATTCCTCAGTGTCGTGACCACGCAAACGAAACTCTCAGGCCGTACTTAATCATGTGTGGGACACACCAATCTGTATTTGGGCCACTGCTTTTTAGACTTGACGGAGAGTGCCAAGGAAGGGAGGGTTGCTAGGTCGTCACTTGCTTTCATCCGCCAAACTGACATTTTCCTCTCAGTGGCTCTCACAAGACATTTCACGTTTCTTACATGAAATTTCTCTGTCTCCTTCAGTTTCTGTTCATAAAAGTTTAAGTCTCTTTAAATTTAAGGAAAAAAAAAAATTCAGGGTGGCACGATTAGGATTTGATTTCGGAGCATCGGCTCTGCAGTGCATTACTTTATCCCCTACACCACCGAGGATTTGCAGACAAGGAATCGTTTGATTTGAATATATATAGCAACAACCCCGACCCTAACCCTAACCCTAACCCTAACCCTAACCTAACCCTAACCCTTACTTTGTGTACGAATCATTAATCTGTCAACGTCAGTTTGGCGGATGGAAATAAGTGTTGACCGGGTTGGTAGATGTGATTGTCTTGACAAGTGCGCAAGTTCGTGATGGTCGAGAAAAACTGCTCTACAGTGACGTGCCAGTGACGAGTCCCGTCCGTCTATTGGGGTATATGTGCGATTCGCGTGGTGATTGTGAGCACTCAATTTAAGTTTTGGCGCTACAATCTTTTAGGATATTGCAGAATCAGCAAGACGAGTTTTCGAGGATGCTGTAAATGTAAACAAGGTAAGGGAACTATTTAATATTGTGTTATTGTAGAGATGTGCGTTTGGTTAAGTTTCAGGGATTTCAACTGCTCAGATGTTAAATTCACTTCAGTTCGGGCTTCGGCAGAACGGCAAATTATTGCAAACTCGCGTCAGGCGTTTGTCATCGCTCTTTAATGAACGCTAAATATCAGAGAATCAATAAGACTAAAGATAACAACTTTAAACTTAAGTAATCTTTGACAAATTTTAATTTAAAAAAAATTTAAAAGATATCAAGTTTTATTGACCCTTATAAGATCCATAATTGAAGCTGAAAAGCACTACAAATTTACTCTAAGTTTGTGTCTGTTATGTTTGTTGTTTTTATCTTATTTGTTTCTTATTCCTCCATTTCTTGTTATTTTATTGGTGTAGGAAATCTCAACAGTGGAAGATGAAGTAGTGGAATTCACAGACGACAAAAACCAATTAGTGTGGTTTCTTCAGCCTTATGAGGCTCAGTTTTTCCTAGCTGCAGAGACTTTGAAATACAAACCGAAACCTTTCGGTAAAGCCAAAACTCCCTTTACGCCAATACATGGCCACTCGCCGCAAATGACCCCAGCCAGCTCAAATCCAAGTCTGCATTTGTATACAGTAAAGCCGGACAGCGATACAAGTCGGTCAGCGGAGTCTTCGGAATCCGAAGATCACGTGCACAATTGCGTCGCTCGTGAGGCCTGGGGTCCAGGAGAAATAACTGGAAGTTATTCCGGTGGAAAGAAGAAGAGGAATTGTTTCTGTAAATTGAAACGTGTATTACAAAAAATTGGCAAATAGTACTGTAATTGCTATCAAAGCGAGATAGATCATTTAGTATCGATGTTGCTGCGTGTTATTAGTCAAAAGGATAATTGGGCAATTAATCTATTTATTAATTTATTTATTATAAGAGTGGCATCCACAACGTTAATGCTTATTTGATAAGCTGTATTTAAAACCGGCTCGCAAGTGTTCGAAGTTGTGTTATAGGAAAAGAACTCGGTTGAGCTTCACACTTTCAACTGAGTCTCGATAAGAGACGTCTGCACGCATTTGTAAGCCATTGATTTGACAATTACTTTGCTACGTTTTCATCACACGCATCACTTTGTTGTAGCAAATTGTGGGTTCAATGCTTCATATTTTGGTTTGGTTACTGTTCAGCGTCTTTCCAGTCTTTTGTTTAACGTCATTTAGTCATTACATCAGCCTCAATACCAAGAAAGTAAATAACACTAAACCTGGAAAAGCTTGCATTTATAAACTGTTATTTATATAGCGAGGTCGAGCAAACTTTCGCAAGTCTCTAAATAGGTGGAAATGATTATCTATTTATTTCTAAAGAATGTTTGAAATTATTAATATGGTCCTGAGATAAGTTACTGAAAAGTAATAGAAAACTAATACCTCACGATATATAAATATCTTCCAGATTTTTTCTAATTGCTCTTTTTATATCATTTTTTTCTTTCAAAATTAAATTATTTTGATCAGTCAGTTGGTGAAGATAATCAGTAGGGTAATAAAGTTTAATACACATAATAAAGAAAAAAACGGATCGATTTACGTTTCTGGGAAACTACCCACCTACCCCTCGGCCCAACTGAACTTTGACATGTAAGTCTTACTTAGGGGCAAAATGTTGGGTTAGGGGAGAGGTAGGTGGGAAGTTTCCTAGAAACCTGAATTGATCCGAAAAAACGTTGTTTGTCTTAAAACTGTATTGATTCCTCTGCGTAGGGGACGGGACGGTAGACGCAAGAGGGTGGGATGGGGACTGTTTTATGGCTACGACTTGGCCCATGCTATCATTGAAGCAAATCGCGTTGAAAAACGATATAAACGTTATAGGTCGCTAGCTAGAAAACTTGAAACAAATAAGAGGATAATTATTGTGGGGGATAAACGTCAGTTTATCGTGGGTTTTAGTCCGAAGCCAGCCTGACGTGACATGGAATATTCGCAGAGTATGAACGTTTATGAATTCAGCTTATAGTCATGTAAAGTCAGTGGGGCAAGCACAGGGGCGTAGACAGGATTTTTCAAAGGGGGGGTCACAGCAGGGACAACATCCGGGGATCGCCGACTATATATGGTTTATACCGCTGCTATCCCTCGTGTATCAGCGGGCTCAGTCGTATTATCGCGGCATGAAGGTTCATATTAACTAAAGACAAGAGCCGTTGACGAAAATACTTTACAAGAAAACAAATTTTAAAAAAGTGGTCTTTTCAACAATGGTTTTTACGGCCAAGATATTGTCATGGCGTTTTCACCACCTGAATATTGTAGGTTGTTTGCTCAAAACATATACCTGCCAACTCTCACGCCTGCGGGTTGAAAACTTCGACCTCACGCCGGCTCACTCCTGCGGGCCAATTTCTCACGCCTGATTGAAAAATGTGAGTTGTTGCCGTCCTGCTTGACACAATTTCCAAAAATATGTTAACTCAGACCCATGTAAGGAAAGAAAACCATGTGTAAAATGAATAAATGGCAATACCTTCCTCGCGATCTCTGAGTTTTGAAGTGAAAAGCACTGGGAGCGAGCTCGCCTTTGGCAGACTTCGGACGTCTTCGGAAGACTTCGGACTTCTTCGGGAATCTTCGGAAATGATCGTGTCGTCTTCAAAAATCCCAGCACTCCCAGGATAAAAATCTCACGCTTATATCTCAGTAAAAGTTGGCAGGTATTAAAACAAGGCCTACCAAGGGGGGGTCACGGGCACCCTAGGACCCCCCCCCCCCCTAGCTACGCCCCTGAAGCACGCGGATATAGTTGTTCTGTGTTTGTCACCCTACCTCCCACCCGGATTGCATTTGCCCCCATACAGTCAACTCTGTCTTAACGAACACCTAGAGTTGACTTCTTTGACTCGAGCTCTATAAGACGGACATTACTCTTAGACGGACACTTAGTGCCGGTCCCAAAGGTGTCCATCTTAACCCTTTATGCCCTAAGAGTGATCAGCATCAAATTTCGCCTTGTAGTATCAATGCTTTGTAAAACAGAGTGGTCATGAGAATTACGGACATGATCACACAAGATGAACTTGCTTGATATTTTATCAACTTCTCTCTACTACTTCTGTAGGAAATGAATAGGGCAACAAATGAGAATTCAGATTTTGATCTTAGGGTTTAAAGAGTTGACTGTGTCTGTATCATGTGGTGTTGCCCCACCTCTTTCCATCAGAGGAAGAGTTGAGGGGACAAATTTTTAAGAGGAGTCCTTTCTTACTAACAGCAGGTGTGCCGCCAGTAAACGTTCTCTGAACTGACACCTCCCTAAAACGGACACGCCGTTCTTCAGTCATTTTGAGGCGGACAATTTAACGCAAGAGTGAACATCCATTTCCTCCTTGACAATCATCAAAGGGACGATGCTTTTGACGGTCATCAGATTTCTCACCTAATTCCTTAGGGAAATGTGGAAAACAGTTAAGTAGACAGTAGATCTGATTCAACTGGGAAAGGGGAAAGATGTAAGTATGGGCTGTTTGAGAAAGTTTTGTCGTGAATTCCGGAGAAGAAGAAGTTCTTGTCTACGAAAGAAGAAAGGAGTGAAAAGAAAGAATAGGTTCTCTTAAATGACTGTCTTAAATTTTTGGGTAAAATAAAGTCTCTCTGCATGGTCGTACCTTACAAGACTTTCTTACTGAAGAGACCACCTCACTAAACAGGCAAATGCGTCTTCAATTAACGTACACGTTACTCCAGGAAAAATGAAGAACTTGGTCAGTAGGCTTCATGTACTGTAGGTTAGCCCTGCAGTAGCAGTATCTCACCCCTCCCCTTACAGGGTTCTATCTAGGATTTATCGTTTGGGGGAGAGGTCCCAAGAGAAGTCCCTAGAGGCCGATGGCATGCATCCCCCGGAAATTTTTGGAAATAAATATGTGCTCAGATGCATTTTGAGACACAATTGTGTCCTTAGACAGGGAATACTTACTTCATGTGCACTGACCTCGTTGCGTCTGGATGATTTTTCCGATATAGTTACTTATATATTGTTACAGTAAAGATAACAATATTTTTTTTGGGGGGGGGGGGGGGACTTCTAACCCCCAAATACCCTAGATAGAACCCTGCCATAGCAATTTAGCCGCATTTGTATTGGCGGTCTAAGGTTAGGTAAGCAAGGACTTTTTTTCACATACAGGACAGAACAATCTCATCACTTAAATAACCGAAAAGATTCAACTATATGCATTTGTCTGCTTCAAATTGACACCAACCAACTTGAAAAAGTCGTGCCAACTATTGAACTTGACAGTCATCTTTCCTTGTTTCTGCGATAAAATTGGTACTTTTATATTGATTTCTTGGGTATTCCTTGGAGGACCGTGTTTTCAGTCGGCTAAGAAATTAACTGCTGCTTTTAAGCCCTGGGATTATACATCTTCATAAAGAGTTTTAGGAGAGCTAATAAAGTAGAACGGAAGGGCTTAAGGCCAGGATAGAAACTGAAAAGCGCTTCAAAAAAAGCAACAGCAGTGTTGATCAAAATACGTTTTGTATTTACTCGGGTTTTTAAGTAAGCTTCAAAACAGCATACCAAGTCGAATTCATGTTAATAATACATTTGAAGGGGGCATACATACACTGTACCAATTGGAGGGTGGGGGGGGTGGCTTACAATCGGATGTAGGGTGTCTTATAAACTTATAAGGCGGCAATTTACAGTATACTATTGATCAGTAGAAGTAGACAATGCACTATCAGTATCTTGCTGAGGAGAAGCTTTCTCTTCTTTAGCAGTCCGCACTGGTACACCACTGATTTTTAACAGTTCCCTGAGGCCTTGGTTCTCTGCCTCAATGGAAGCCATTCGTTCTTGTTCTTGTTGAATAGCTTCATCATCGATGTTTATTGCTTGTGCCATAACTGCTGCCATTTCACAAATTTGCTCTGTTTTTGCTTGTAATTCCTAATCAAAGAAAAACATGTATTTAAGTTCAATAATTATTGTACCTTAACCACTCAAAAACACCCTGAAAATGTATTTTTTGGGGGATTGAGTATTACACGTATTCTCTCCAAGAAAGATGAATTTAGGGTGCTTGTGGCTGGTTAAGGCACTTACATTGTGTTCTGTAAACTAGGCAACATTTCTGGTAACTTGTCTCTTGAAATCATCATACAAGTTTCAAGAAACATTGCACAATGTATCAAGTTTCAAGTTTATTTATTATTATATAACAAACTTTTTTTTTTGCCATCTGTGCACTGAGCTGTGCAGGCGTGTTTTGTGTACTCTGATCTCAATTCAAGAATTCTTCTTCTTCTAATGCTGCAGGATTGAAACCTCCAAACCGAATTTTAGGAAGTGGGCAGGTTGCCTTCATGGTCAAAGCAAACAGGGCATTTTATCCACTTTTATCAACATGGCAAGCAGGTTATGAGCAAAGTATGATAATGCATTAAATATGTAAAACAAACCCAGATAAAAAGGACCATACCTTGTAATTATTTAACTTCATGCAGCTGGCATCTAGTCTGTTTGCTTTGATGAGTCCAAAAACCTACATTAGAAATTAGATTAAGACGGAATTAAGTTAAAAATTGTGTATCCTATTTAACGCATAGTTGTGTCGTAGTTGAAAAGTGATATAGTTTATCATAGGGTTAAGCACAAGCTGACACTGACCTGCTCTCTGTACTTAGCCATTATAAGCTCCAGTGCTGACTGGTATTCAGCTAGCGAGGTCTGCAACTCAATGTTCTCTTGTTGTAGTTCCCTTATACGAGCATTCTCTTCCTGGCTTCCTAAAATAAGTGTACTGCGGGGTCTGTGGTGTGCAATGTCATTAAGATCACTCACCACATCACGATACTAAAATAAAAAGAACAGTTACTTAAAGACTAGTATAAAAAGTGTACCAGTAGAGATAAGAGATACATGTCTTTTTTAACTCTTCTGACAGATTTCAAATTCTTTGAGCTACGAACATTTCCATGGTCTCCAAGTAAAGTTAAAGAAGGTACATTTTACCCCTTCAAAGACTAAGTTTATATTTGTTGCATTCTTCAGTATTGAGCATTCATTTTACACTGACTAAGCTTAAACTGAATGCCGAACTAGATGAAGTGAATAAATGGACTCTCAGTAATTTTCTTTTCATCAACAAAAGAAAAACAGAATTTGTAATTTTTGGAACTGATGCTAGGCTTTCTAAAGCTACTGACACAGTAGTTATCAAATCAGGTGATTATGAAATTAATAGAGTTTATGATTTTAAGTATTTAGGCATCGTTCTTGACGATAGTCTTACGTGGAAAGACCATGTTCGTTAAGTTATTTCTAAGGTTGGTACAAGAGTTGGTGTCTTAGGGCGCCTTAGAAGGAATATCACTATACATGCAGCTTTCGAGATGTATAATTCATTAATTTTGCCCATTTTTGATTATTGTGATGTTGTTTGGTCCAGCTGCAATAAAGCAGATATGGAAAGTCTTGAATCTTTGCAAAGGCGGGCCTCGAAAATTATAGTTAAATCTAAATGTGGTACAACATCCACCGACTATCTTAAATTTCAGAGTTTAGAAGATCGCCGTAACGCTCATATTTTAGGTTTAGTGAAGACGTGTTTAAATAATAATGTACCACAGTTTTTAAAGAATTATTTTAAGTTGAATAAGGAAGTTATTTCAAGAGAAACAAGAAGAAGCAAATTTATATACTTACCTGCAGTAAGAACTGAGACCACCAAGAAAAGTTTTTATTATAATGGCTCAGTTGTGTATAATAATTATTTAGTAAATAAGAATTAGTTTTAATTGTTATACTGTACTATTATTAACTTATAGTTACTTAGTTTCTTATTATTTATTTTAAACTTTTTTATTAGTCTTAATTTAGGGCTCCTATTGATAACAGATATACTTTTAAGTATTCTGAAGGGATTACCCTAGTTAAATAAAGGTTAACTACTACTAAATTGAAAATTTAAATCGGCCTACGAATGTTCCATCATTCGATTGTTTATCCAACGGTAGAACCAAAGGCTGTGGCTAACGAAATGTTCTAGGGCTAGTTTGCGAAACGAAATGGAACGAAACAAAACGAAACGAAACGAAATGAAAATCTGTAGTTTGCGAAATGAAACTCTGCAGTTTGCGAAATGAAAATCTGCAGTTTGCAAAATGAAAATCTGCAGTTTGCGAAATGGCAATCTGTAGTTTGCGAAATGACAATCTGTAGTTTGCGAAATGAAAATCTGCAGTTTGCAAAATGACAATCTTTAGTTTGCGAAATGACAATCTGTAGTTTAGGAAATGACAATTTACTTTCTCGCTGCGTCTACTCGGATATTCTAAACAGAAAATTCCCCCCAATAAAGTCGTTTCGCCCAGTAAATTCAGATTGCGCGGAATGCGTGACATTTTTGTTGCCACGTATAAAGTTCAACTTAAGCTCATGCGTCAGCAAACGGAAGCAAGACCTCTTCCCTTTTTATAAGCCTTGATGCCACCACATTTGTATTTAAAAGTGTCATTACTCTTATAGAGACGATCTGCCTGAAAATTTGCCCTAGAACCACTGCCCAAGAATGCAAAAAGTCCACTTCCGGTGGCCGTTGAAGCGCCTTATCTTAACCAGAAACGTCACACGATATTCAAACGAGCCGATAAAATACATCATTGTGGCTTGCTTTGTTGTTTACTTTATTCAAATAATTATGGTGGTTTTAACGTTTTGTATAGATAAACAAATGCAGGAAAAGAAAGTATTTCCAGCAGAAGTTTTTGTGGTTTAAGTGTCATTTGACGGCAGGGATTCCGTTTGGAGGAAAGTCATTGTTTCTTCTTGATCGCGAAGATAGCTGCAGCCTGTTCATCCGACATAAAGAATATCACAAGCAACTAGCTACAAATACAGGCTAAGGAGCCATTCACTACAGCAATCCAGGCGTAAGTTTGGCTTCTTCTCTAGTTCAGCAAAAGCAGCTGGCGGCTTCAAACAACTTCATAACAACCTCTGCATGAGTTTCTGAATGGCGACCGAGGGAATAGTTTTCCTCTATTGTTCTTCCGTTTGCAACTGCGCCAAAAATCCAAATTTCGCAAACTACAGATTCTCATTTCGCAAACTACAGATTTTCATTTCGCTTCGTTTTATTTCGTTTCGTTTCGCTCCATTTCGTTTCGCAAACTATAGTAAGCCATGTTCTAGGGCAGTGGGATAACTTGTTCGTTTTGAAAGTTTTGGCGATAAATACATATATTTCAATATTATTTTATCAAGCTTAATCCTTGATTATCTTTCATTCACTTTACCTGTTTCATTGCGTCCAATTTGAACTGTAGATTTTTCGCTTGGTCAATGAGAGTATCTGTAGAGCCACTGTGTTCACGAAGACGGGACGCCAAACGTTTAGCATCCAACAGCAACTGGTCCATGTTTGTTTCCGATGAAAGTTCACTGTTTGATGTCAATGTAACAGTCCGCCATTTTGTTTTCACAGTTCACCACAAGAAACCGCTGGCTCGTACTGCTGCTAATGAAGGCGACTGTTATTGAAACATCTTCAAATCGCCCTTCCGTAAATCGTAGTCAGGATGGCCGAGCGGTCTAAGGCGCTGCGTTCAGGTCGCAGTCTACTCTTGTAGGCGTGGGTTCGAATCCCACTTCTGACACATATTTCTTTTTTTCCATTTCCCCTTTTTCTTTTCTTTTTCACGAAACTTTTAAAATAATTTAAAAAAACTAGAAGACCCACTCATTCAGGAAAGAGTGATTTGAAGTAGTTAACTGCAATTTAATTTCTCATTCCCAGGACTACCAGAGAAAGAAATAAACTGGAGTTTGTGGTACGGTTCACAACTTTAGCACATATTATGATAAGCCTAACTAAACTTCTTTCAGAATGTATAAGTAACGTTATCTGTATCACAAGAGTTGTTTAACAAAAAAATAATAAATAAAACAAATAGCGAAACAACGTTAATAAAATAAAGCCAGCTTTCTCTTTCATCAGGAGCCGATTTTACCGGCTTTAATATACTTTGCAATCTCAAAGTCAAACTCTTCAATTTTAACTTGGGACTTTATATTTGGGGGTTGGTGGGGGAGGGCCTACTGAGGGGTATGATAGTGTTTTATTTTAACTGTTACCACATATAATGACGGGCTTGATCTTGCTTGGCTAAACAAGTTTTATATTTGTAGGTGAACGGGCAAATTTCTTCCAGCAGGTTCTTAAACCACTACCAGGTTCTTCGCGCCGGGTTTTTACTGTAATGTACCCCTTCAAGTGAAGTGAAGTGAGGTGAAGTCAGTGAGTCAGTGAGGCGAGTAGCAAAAAAAACCGCATTTTTCACCAATTCCTCGTCTTTGGACTGATTTTCGGCAAATTAGCATAAGAATGGCTAAAAACGAGTTTTGCAAGAAAAAAGGCATATTTTCCGACTACGTAACCTGACGTAATTAAACAGCTTTTTTGCTTTTCACGCATACGCAATCGATCTTTCTCTCTCGCTCTCTTTTTTTCCTTCTTTTCTTCTTTATTGGCGGTTTCGTTGCCCAATTTTGGTCTTTCTTTTGCATGGAATTGTGGCTGACTAGCTTTTTAGGAAAGGGACAAATTTAGTAGTATGTATAAACAGCGAAATTGGCAGTGGATTTTTCTCCAAAATGTTACCTTTTTTTGTAAGTGTAACTCTGTCAGGGTTGCACTGCCGGATCCAGACCTTGAGATAAGTGGGAGTGGGGGGAGGGGGCTCCCCGGGCCCCTCCCCTGGATCCGCCACTGGATTGGTCAGAATATCAAAAACGAGGTATCGCTGGAAAGATCTCAGAGTCTTTGCTGACGTTGTTGCTTACCAATGAATTTATTAACTTAAACTGAAAGCTAAATGGGTCCAGGGAGAAATGTATGCATCGTTCCATATGGGTCGTATACGTCCTTAGCCGTCCGAAAAGGGTTAAGTAACAAATTATGTACAAGCAAGGATTTTAAGAAGTGAATAAAAGTGGAAATTGAAATTACATATCTTCATAGGAATCACAATTTCTTTAAGATTAAGACGATTAAGGGAGCTACCGTGTGTTACTTGGGTATATCAATAAGAGAAACTCATGGCTTAAGAGTTCCTAAAAACGGAAAGCGATGTAGCTTCGTTTGTTAATGTGGGTACATTATCGAAAAGAACCTCACCTAAGTAAGCTAACCTAATCGTCGCAGTGAACGCAATTTATGCAATTGCGTAAAGAAGCCTGAAAAAAAATCAGGACTTAACGGGGTTTGAACCCGTGACCTCGCGATTTACCAGTGCGATGGCTTCTTTACGCAATTGCATAAATTGCGTTCACTGCGACGATCATTTCTTCACTTTCATTTCATTTCCCCAGTTCATATATGATTTATTTTATATATCATTAACACTCATTTCTGTCACGGGAACATATGAACCCACAATTGACCTGCTCCCAACATCAGTGGCTTCATAGCTTAGTTGGTAAAGCAGTCGCACCGGTATCGCGAGGTCACGGGTTCAAACCCCGTTGAAGCCCTGAATTTTTTTCAGGCTTCTTTACGCAATTGCATAAATTGCGTTCACTGCGACGATCATTTCTTCACTTTCATTTCATTTCCGCAGTTCATATATGATTTATTTCATATATCATTAACACTGCTCCAAAACTGCTGTTACATCATAACGGCGATGATCATATCTTCATTCAAATCTATTTTCTATTACTACTATTAATAATTATTATCATAATTATTGTGCACTACCACTGGGCTTATTCAACAGGAGGGCATTTTGCATGCGCATGCGTGAATCCGCTGAACGACAATAGCGTGGGCGCATCAAATCGGATGGCGGGAAATCGAAAACTCGCGCGTAAAATTACAGTCCTTTTAAAAGCCATTTCGTTGGTGCTTTGAATACCGTACTTTCCTACAAAAAATATTCGCCATGACAAAAATCGGACGTTTTCTACGCGAGTTTCCACTCGTAGATTTTTCAGCAGTAGGTTTTCTTGGCCTTTTAAAGACTTTCAAGACTCAACGCCAAAAAGTCATGTTCCTGTATAAGTATGATTTTCACTGGCAAAGCAATGCATTTCTATGGTTTGATTTCGAAATCCGTGGTTTTACTTATCAGGGAGGAAATGCATCGTAGCAATGTTCAGCTGCTTTAAGACAAAAAGCGAAACAAAAAATTGCCACGCGAGGTTTATTTATTAGCGCAATGTCTCATGTTAAACTGATCGCGGAGACACGCGTTTATATTTGCCACAAAAACATGAAATCTATGGGGTTTTTACAGTTTCTCGAAAGTTTTTGCGGAAAAATTTATAAAAAAATATTCTATAGGAAATGAAGAATGGATTGAGTTTGAGACAGCAACAGTTACAAGTGATTATATAGTACATAATCATTTGAGCATTTCATAAGCCGATGGGCCCCCAAAACGAATACACATACTCCGAAAAAACGAATGGTACTTTTATTTTTCTTTCACTCTAAAAGATACGGAGATTTTCCCAAGCTACTATTTTGAAGCGACTCTTGACTAACAGCTCCTGCGTTCCACAATCGATTTCTTGTTATTAAATTAAATTTGATGACAGTAGTGATCCATTTAAAACAAAGAATGGCCATCACTCCATAAATCTGACGATGTTGTTCACCTTCAAAGCCTGTTTAAACATAAGACAGGAAGTTTGTTAAAGGGGTGCAAATAATGCTGTTTTCTCAAAAAATAAATACTTCTGCTAAAGGACCCAAATGAGCTGGGATACGACAACAAACATGGCACAAATGGATGGATAAATTTGTCTGTTATTAATGTTTCTGTTGAGAGCTTTTTATTGTATCCAGATGAACCCCTTACGTAAGTTGTACACCATGGAAGAATTATCAAGCAGAAACTGATGCATTAAACAAGAATGTGGATCAATACAGAGGAGAATATGGTCTCAGTCAACATCCTTCGTGAATGAAATGTCTCGCAAATTAGCATATCAACAAATGTAGTATCCACAAAATGATATCATTTAGGACTAAATGCGATTTTTCTGCAGCAGAAGCCAGGATTTATTTAAAAGGTGTATTGATAACGCTTCATTTCGTGCTATTTTGGGGTTGGGGAGTTAGGCTAGATTTTCTTTAAAACACCAAAATGTTATATTTATTTGCATACTGAAATGTAAACAAACAGTGTAGCATCAAAATAAGGTGGAAAAAATCAGAATTCAAACCGATTGCTGCAATTTTTTTTCCTTTGTATACCTAAACGATAGAATATGCGTATTTTCAAAACACCATCTTACTGGCATTATTATATTGATTTAAATTTATAGTTGAAGGGCGTGTATTTTATTTCTCAACGAAGACGTACCGGAGAAGAAAGCTAAAATTACTACAGAAGGCGATTTTTCACAGCCTCCATCAAAGCGCCATTCATTCGCGGAAGTATTCTTAGTTTCATTAATCGTTAACTTAATCTGGGGAGAAAGGCAAGATTTCGAGATAAACAAGCCAGAGAAAAGGGGAAAAACAGTTTCACGGCAGAATGGACACTTAATTAACCACTGTATTCCTGAAACGATTAAGTTCGAGTTTGGAGTTATACTATTGAGAAGAATTAAGTATCTATAGGATAATTGTTTGACGAAAAACTATCATACTGACCTTTTCCTCCTGCTCAAAAAATGTCCGCGAAATGTTAGTTGATAAGAACATTCAGCCGCCATCTTGTCTTCGATGTACTGATTTACGAAAGGAAAGACTGTCCTCTCAAGGACGACAGCGAAGGTACAATAAACTCACTTTCATTGTAGAAATACCTAAATACCTTAAAAAACATGTTTGTGGAACGTAGCACCCAATACACGTCATTCAGCTCCAGAAAACAGGGGCGGATCCAGAATTTTTTTTAGGAGGGGGTGCACTCGTCTCTTGCTCTACTTCAACACCAATAAACCACATAGTTCTTTTTTTTTTTTTTGCAGAATACCAGTTGTATTAGAAAACCGCAGGTCATCTCAGGGAGGGGTGCGCACCCCCTGCACCCTCCCTCTAGATCCGCCCCTGGAAAACAGCCTGCAAATGCTGGTACTGAATGTAAACAATTCATAGAAAATGCCTCTGTGGTCGCTCTGTGGCACTTCAACAGCCCATATTGACGCATGCGCATACAAAATGTCCTCCTGTTGGCTTATTCAAAACGGTAAGAACTTAGTATTACGTTTAAAACCATTTTTAATATATACACAGTATACTAATAGCTACTAATATATTTTCTATTGAATTAAATTAGGATGACCGTTACACATAAATTTCGAAGTTAATTATTTCAATATTACTCTTCAGATTTGAAATGTTCATCCCAATTAAACGTTCCATTATTTCATCCACTTGACAAAAAATGGATTTCGACAAATTTTCTCCTTGCAAACATGTCGCAAATATGTGAAAACTGCGGAATAAATATGGGGCAATGATGGTAAATGCCACGTTCGCATATTAAAAAACAGTGGGTTTATTGTATTGGCGTAACTTGTATCTATGTCTTCCATTATAGTTGCACGTGATTTTATTCCTTCATGTATTCAGCTGTGTGTATGCAACTGAACAATATGCTTTGTGAATATATATGAGTTCTTAAGATTTTGTGTTCGCAGGTTTTTGACTGTAAAGAGTTTTGAACATACTCATATTACCTTTTTCCTTTCTCTCAAAGGACATTTAATATTTATTACACAAGGGACGTTTATTAAGATAAAGCATGTCTTAGCAGCATATTATAGACGCCCATAGATTATTAACTTATAACATCACCAAGTGACTGAGCTGATTGCCTTGGGATGGTCTCGTACCTTATTTGTATAATAATACTAAAACACTGCAATTTCTTATTTGTTGGTCCCCTTAAAGAAATTTGCAATTTCAAAATGTTAAAAGATTTCTAAATAAACATGATATGTTATGCTCTTAGACATAGATGCGTTTAACTTTGTGAATTTATAAGAATTCTTTTTCATACATCTTTAATCGCTCGCCATTCAAAGACAAGCAATGAATTAAAACAGCAAGTAACGTTCCATATAGTAAGTTCATTTTTCTTCGTCTTAAATCAGTGTAATTGTCGGCTGCCCTGACAAAAACAAACCTCAAACTACACCACCGGCGCCGGTTGAACTACACGTAAAGCCCATTGCAGACTTGTTGTTGTGCATATACTAAATTACAACCTGTTCTTATTATTACAAAGCTTTGCACCCTTCGATCAAAATGTTCAGAAGACTTAAATAGCAACAACAAGTTGCCTTTCTAAAAAGCTAAGATATTAACGATGGAAGGAAACCCTCATATCTCAGCTACCACATTAATTATGAAGTTAATATACGCTGTAGCTAATTTTTATTTTTCCGTTGTTTTTGGGTACGGTAAGGTATGATAATGAATTTAAAACAAAGGAAAAAAAATAACTGAAATAAAAAACTAACTGCAACATATTATGTCAAAGAACAGTGGATTTGCCTTATTGTGTGTTTAACAGCCTGTCTTACTTCTTTGATTTTCCAGCAATAAAGAAATGGGTTTAATGCTGAGTTTAGAAAAACAAAAGTAAATGAAAAAGTCTTAACAAGATATACTGATGAAGATAACTTGACGCTTGTCAGATCAGTCAAGGCCTCTATTATAACAAATGGTATATAACAAATAAATAATGTAACCTGCACCCACAGTGCACTGTACACTGCCTTTCTGTATCGAGCTATGTTCAGTGGAATTGCTTGCCTCGGTTGGTCTTGAGCCACATTGATCTCAGCTTGAATTTGGTAATGACGGAGCGTGAAGAAGATTTTCATGTAAGAGAATATTATAATAGTCAAACAAAAAGACAAATTTATGAAAAGAAGCAATGAAAATAACAGTTCATTCCAAATGAGGCTTGTTGTGACGACAATGGACAAAACCGACATAACGATTAGAGTTATATAGACACTTCTCAAAGTTACAACTTGTCTGTATCTGAGGCCCAACCACAAGGCGAGAAGTCTGTCCACGCTTATTGCAGTCAATACTAACAAAGACACCGAACACAAAATATGACTGGCGATAAAAAGCGCAACGTTAACATTATAACAAATATCCCATCTTTTACTCTTCACCGACATCAAGTAAACAACATACAGAGGTTCGACAATGATTCCCACCAAGAGATCAGTTATCGCTAGGCTACGTAGCAGGAGTTTGGAGGGCGGATGAAGTGAAGATTCTTTATATAGAGCAACTAGGATCAGAGTGTTCCCCAAAAATGCTGTAATGGACAGAAAAGTATTTAGCACTAAAAGGACGATTAGCTCGTCGTGAACTCTGGCAGTGACATCTGCGACATTTGCTGAACAGTACAAATCTCTGATCGTTTTCTCAAGGGTTGGCACTGCCATCTTTCACTGATGTTGAGCGGTACGTGCAAGTGATTATAAGATTTATGTTTTATATTGTCGCTTCTTATAAGGGGATCATCGTGCTACAATCACTTATCTCTCGGCGTAGTCAATCGAACGAAACCGAACCAAAAATCAATTGAACCCAATCGAACCCAATCGGTCCAACCTTGTTTGATTGGTTTGGTGGAACTTTTCGGCGAGTTGATTAATCGAACTCGTGTGTTCGATTACCGAACTCAATCGAACCAATCGAATTCAATCGACGAGATTAGTTCAATTTCGTTTGACAGAAAGACAAAATGCATCCAGTTGAATCGGAAAGATCTCCCTCTAGTATGTATTTGAAGCAGCTAATTGGTTGAAAACAAAATATTACAATTAACCCAGAAGTAACTAAAATCTTTATTGGTTAAGTGATTTAAAATCGATAAATTTACAATTAATACTGGGAAACATGCAAGCACGAGGCACCAGGTCACGTTGCAAATGTCCAAGTTGGCCGCGGTCATCGTCAGTTACCTTCAGAGCTGGATTTCCCCTTTGTTTGAAACCAGATGAAACTGGTTTTATGTTCGATTGTTGCATGCAGTGTTCGAGTTTGTTCTATTGTTTAAGGGTTCGATTTCGGAACGTTCGATTGTGTTCGATTAGCAAAGGTTTTGGGTAAGTTCGATTAAGTTCGAATACCGAACCCAGTCGGAGTGAAACGAACCATCGAAGTTCGATTGGGTTCGATTTCGGAACGTTCGATCGACTACGCCGGGCTTATCTTCATGATTAGTCAAATATTAGTATGTCAAGGCTTTTATATAATTAACTTCCGTTGGTTTTATTTTACGTTTGACATGGGTTATAATTACCCTTCCGGTATACTCACTTCGGTGATTTATGAGTGAGGTTCCTTGCTTCGATAAAATAATATTGAACTTGACGAAGATCACGGGATATTGGCCGCCAACAAATTACCCCTACTCGGAATGCTAATTACCTCCGACAGTGATTAATGAGTTCAGCTTTCTTCTTTCAATATAATAAAAGTGAATTTGACGGTGAGGAAAAAACCGGAAATTAAAAAACTAACGAAACGAGTTGAACAAAGTTGTGTATTGTACATGGATTGTATTTTATCGTTGATAATGTTCAGTTCAGAGTAATGAATCAAATAAACATTAAACTAGTCCGTAAATGCAAAATGATCTTTTATGCATAAGGACGGAAATATTTACTCGGTTGGTGGTTTTTTCTTTCCATATAACGTCTCGGCGGCCACGGCCCAGCAATCCCATGATCAATGGGCCAATCCGATCCTCGTGCCGTTGTTAAAAGTACCTTACTTCCTTCCTTGTTGATAATTTTTTTATTCCGTTTCTGCAGATGGATTTCAGGATTTGTGTCCTAATTGCTACAGGAGTAATTTTGGGTAAAACATCTCAGCGCCTAGAGAGACGCCTTGAAAGTTTTGATTTCGAGATTACTTGAAGTATGAAGAAAGCTTTTGTTAGTTTTACGACAGAAAATGGAATGGTTATAGCAGAGGCTTGAACTCCCATACAAAAACCGCCCCTTGGATTTGATGCCAAATAAAGCTGGGAGAGATAACCTGAGACTTTAGAACAACATACTGGCAAGCTAGGAGAGTGTTTTCGAAACTTTGGTCTAGGAAAAATATTTAACATGTAGCCTTCTTTCTGAAAGTTAGCTCGATGATTTCATGATGATTATTTACAGTACAGTCAACTCTCGCCTGGCGGACACCCCGATAATACGGACAGCAGCTAAATCCCGGGCAAAAACAAATAACAGTCAACTGCCTTTATAAGAGCACCACGGTCCTCGAGTTAGTGTCCTCACTAGCGAGAGTCCGTAATACACTCAACTCTCACCTTGCGGACACCCCGCTATAACGGACACCCTGATAATACCGTCTGCAGCTAATATAAATCCCGGGCAAGAATAGATTACAGATGTTTGACTGAAATAAACTCCCTCTATTACGGACTCTCGCCAGTAAGGACACTAACTCGAGGTCCCTACGATGTCGGCAATAAAGGGAGCGGGTAATTATTTCAATATGCGCGGCGTCGACGCTCGCGCGTTTTCCCGCAGCTTGCTTCTGGCCTCGCAATAATCATCGAACTTGCCCGTAGGCTAAATTTGGGAAGAGGTCAAGTTTAATGACCGAGACCCATTCACTGGCACTCTCCTAGAATTAAGGGGCTATTCACGTAATACTTCACCCTAACAACATCAACAGAGGCAGTGGAATTGAGATTCCTGAAGCGTGGATACCTACCATCAGACATCACATTCCAATCAATTTATATAACAGTTTCGACCCCTCAGTTAGTTACTTTACAGCTCCGGCTTAAAACGCGCAGTAGACAGACTAATTGATGGAACCCCTATTATGGGGATCTTGTTAATTTGAGTAGTATAGTTGGTGAAACGCTATGGGCGATTAAGATCGAGGAATGGAGATAACGCAAAATAAACTTATCATTGATCTATTGCGAAATGAAGATAAGATAAACCGCGGAAACTACAAAATTCAACGGTGGGATTATATCATATAAATTTTGTATTTCCACAGTTCATATCATATTTATTTCAGATATGTTTCATTCCTTTCACCTGGTTAAGATATGAAATCAGCAAATTGGCCTGCTCCTAATGTATGTGTCTTCATAGCTTAGTTGGTACTGGGAGCCGTCTTCAGCCCAAACGCAAAGGCAATTTGTCCGATTCCCTTTTGAGCCCCAAAACTTTATTGAGGGTTAATACGCGATTGTTCCAAAACTGTTGTTACATCATAACGGCGATGATCATATCTTGATCATTCAAATCTCTTTTCTATTACTACTATAATTATTATGATAATTATTGTGCACTACCACTGGGCTTATTCAAAACTGTAAGAACTTAGTATTACGTTTAAAAACATTTTTAATATATACGCAGTATACAATACAATATAATTATTTTCGCTTGAATTCAATTAGGAAGACCGTTATATATAAAATTCCATGTTAATTATTGAAATATTATTCTTCAAATTTGAAAAGTTCATCCCACTAAACATTCCATTTTTTCAGCCACTGAACGAAAAAATGGCTTTTCACAAATTTTCTCCTTGCAAGTATGTCGCAAATATGTGAAAACTGAGGAATAAATATCGGGCACGTACGATGGTAAATGCCACGTTCGCATATCAAAAAACAGGGGGTTATAATAACGAGGCCGGGAGAAAATTTGGGCAAATCCATTTTTTCGTCCAGTGAGTCATTCGACCTCAAATTTCCCCGAAGTATGAACTGTTATATTGGGGCAATTTTTATGTAGGTTGTCCGTTGTACGTGATTTTATTCCTTCATGTATTCAGCCGTGTGTATGCAACTGAACAGTATGCTTTGTGAATATTTAAGGTTTTGTGTTCACAGGTTTCTGACTGTAAAAAGCGACTCCTTTCCAGCAAAACTTTTCACTTAATTAATTCATTCATTTGTTCTTCAAATTTAGTGTTGTGTTTCACACCTTCGTTTCCTATATATATTGGTTCGTAGTCTCTTTCATTGGCATTTGATAATGGTGACATGTCGTCGAAGCGTTGCTTTTTATCCTTAACTGTTTTACAAAATCTTTCGTTATCAAACGTTTTGAACATAGTTCTCATATTACCTTGTTTCTTTCCCCAAGCACGTTTAATATTTATTACACGAGGGACCTTTATTGACTGATAACATGTCATAGCAGCATATTATAGACCCTCAGTAGTAGACTTACATCACCAAGTGCCGTCTCAGCTGATTGTCTCAAGATGGTCTCGTTCCCTTTTTTTGTATATAATGCTAGAAGTCCTACAGTTTCTTAATTGTTGGTTCCCTTAAACAAATTTCCATTTCGGCAAATCTATTGAAATATTTGTCAATAAATATGATATGTTATGCTCTTAGATACAGGTGCGTTTAACTCTAAAAATTAAAACGCGATTTTTTTTCACACATCTTTGGTCGCCACGCAAACTAGCTGCGCAAGCAGTGAAACAGCAATTAACGTCTCCGAGTTCATTTTTCTTCGCCTAAAGAACTATAATTGTCGGTTGCCCCGACAAAATCAAACCTCAAACTACACCAGTCACCGGTCAGGCCGTACCATACCAAAGGAAAAACAATTAACTGCATGCAACATATACATAATTCAGATGCTCAGTAATCAACTATGTCAAAAAACAGTAGATTTGTCTTATTACGTCTTTAACAGCCTGTCTTACTTCTTTGATTTTCCAGCAATAAAGAAATGGGTTTAATGACGAGTTTAGAAAAACAAAAGTAAATGAAAAAGTCTTAGCAAGATAAAATGATGAAGAAACCTTAACGCTTTTCAGATCAGTTAAGGACTGTGTTATGCCAAATGGCAGATAACAAATAAATAATGTAACCTGCACCCACAGTGCACTGTACACTGCCTTTCTGTATCGAGCTATGTTCAGTGGAATTGCTTGCCTCGGTTGTTCTTGAGCCACAGTGACTTGAATTTGGTAATGACGGAGCGTGAAGAAGATTTTCATGTAAGAGAAAGTTATGATGGATAAACAAAAAGACAAATGTATGTAAAGAAACAATGAAAGCAACTGAGGATTCCAAATGTAGCTTGTACTTGTAGCGACAATGGACAAAACCCACATAACGATTACAGTTATATAGACTCTTCTCAAAGTTACAACTTGTCTGTATCTGAGGCCCAACCACAAGGCGAGAAGTCTGTCCACGCTTATTGCAGTCAATACTAACAAAGACACCGCACACAAAATATAACTGGCGATAAAAAGTGCAACGTAAACATTATAGCAAATATACCATCTTTTACTCTTCACCGACATCAAGTAAGCAACATACAGAGGCTCGACAATGATTCCCACCAAGAGATCAGTTATCGCTAGGCTGCGTAGCAGGAGTTTGGAGGGCGGATGAAGTGAAGATTCTTTATATAGAGCAACTAGGATCAGAGTGTTCCCCAGAAACGCCGTAATGGACAGAAAAGTATTTAGCACTAAAAGGACGATTAGCTCGTCGTGAACTCTGGCAGTGACACTTGCTGAACAGTACAATTCGCTGATCGAATTCTCAAGGGTTGCAGGCACTGCCATCTTTCTTTACTGACGTTGAACGGTACGTGCAAGTGATTCTGTTGTCGCTCCTTAATTATAAGGGGATCGTCATGCTACTGTCACTTATCTTCATGGTCAGTCATGATCAAATGTCAGCATGTCAAGGCTTTTATATAATTAACTTCCTTTGGTTTTATTTTACCTTTAAATGGGTCACAATTACCCCTCTGGTATACTCACTTCAGTGACTTATGAGTCAGGTTCCTTAATTACTTCGACAAAATATTATTGAACTTGAAGATCGGGGGATATTGGCTGCCAACAAATTACCCCAACTCAGAATATTGTAATTTTAATTGCGCTGTAATCATTTTAATGATTACAGCGCAGCTTTCTTCTTCCAAAATAATAAAATTGAATTTGACGGTGAGTAAAAAAGGGAAAAAAAATAACGAAACGAGTTGAAGAACGTTGTGTATCGGTACATGGATTGTATTTTGTCGTTGATAATGTTCAGTTTGGGGTAATGAATCAAATAAACATGAAACTAATCTGTAAATGGAAAATGACCTTCTATGCTAATCAGGAAGGAAATATTTACACGGTTTTAATAGTTTTTTCTTTTCTATGTAAAGTTTTCATAGACTTCACGGCGGCCACGGCAATCCCATGATCAATTGGTCAATTCCTTGCTGACGGTTGTTAAACATGAGAACCTTCCTTCCTTCCTTGTTGATAATTTTTTTATTCCGTTTCTGCAGATTGATCAGCCAGGATTTGCGTCCTAATTCAGGCAAAAAACTACAGGGGTAATTTTGGGTAAAATATCTCAGCGCCGAGAGAGACGCCTTTTCCGTCTTAAAGCCCCTAGGACTAGATTTGCAAGTTTTTATTTTGATATTGAAATATGAAGAAAGCTTTTAGTTAACGACAGAAAATGGAAAGGTTATAGCAGCAGAGGCTTGAACTCCTGCATACCACCGACCCTTGGATTTGATGTCAAATAAAGCCCTCGTTCCCGGCTGGAAGAGATAACCAAGACTTTAGAACAAGAAGGTGCCAAGCTAGGATAGTGTTTTCGAAACTTTGGTCTAGGAAAAATATTTAACATGTAGACTTCTTTCTGAAAGCCAGGCTCGATGATTTAAGAATGAAGATTATTTACAGTACAGTCAACTCTCGCCTTGCGGACACCCCGCTATAACGAACACCCCGATAATACGGACAGCAGCTAAATCCCGGGCAAAAACAAATAACAGTCAACTGCCTTTATTGCGGACACCGTAGGGACCTCGAGTTCTCTTTTAGTGTCCTCACTAGCGAGTTAAGTCCGTTATAACGAGAAATTATTTCAGTCAAACATCATAATTTCCCGATAAAGCCGGTCAACTCCCTTTATAGCAGACACCGCCGGCATTGACTTCGAGTTAGTGTCCTCACTAGCGAGGGTCCGTAATAGCGGGAAATTATTTCAGTCAAACATCTGTAATTTATTTTTGCTCAGAATGTAGCTGCTGTCTGTACTATCGGGGTGTTCGTTATAGCGGGGTGTCCGCAAGGCGAGAGTAGACTGCACTACGGACTCTCGCTAGTGAGGACTCTAAGTCGAGGACCGTGGTGTCCGCTATAAAGGGAGCTAGTTGACTGTATTTAGCCAAATAGTGCTGAATAACTCCTTTCCTCTAGGAACCCAAGTACATTGATCTCTACTTTTATAGTATAACACCGACACTATGATGTGTTCTTCTTGCAAGAGCTCAAGTTACTCTAAGAACGCCCGCGGAACATAAAATCTGGGTGGCTTTTCAAGGGAGGAGTCCTTCTAATAGAGATTACGGTATTTTTTGCCCAAAAACTAATGACTAAATAACGACAGGGACCAACTCAAGGTGCCTTTAAACAAAATTTGTGGAGAGCGGGGAGGGATGAACTCTAGGTTTCCGTTTTAGGAGGGTTTCCTTCACAGCAGATTCATATAGAAACTGACTGAAGATCGGCGTTCCTTGTCGCATTATGGGTGACTGAGGAATAACAAGGAACCAATTCCATGTCTGCTCAACAAAGGTGTCTAATTTACAGCGATGCCTGATAAGAAAAAGAAACGTGATTGGCTTCTCCTAAAATGTTCCACAATCGGGGAGAAGTGTGACGTCACTTTACCATGGCAGCTAAATTTCTGGATCGAATCTCAACAATCTTTCTTGACGGAGACAGCCATTTTTATTGTTGAACGATGGAAGAAAAGATTGAGCTACCGTTTTGTTCCTGAATGCAGCCATGCACTTGAAAGTCATTTGTCAATTTTTTCAGTTTCACTGCCATATTTGTAGGCCACAGTTTGTTGAGATCCAGAACTTTTGCTACCATGGTAACAAGACTTCTCTATTGGTATAAGATTTAATGAAGCTGAGACCATATTAAATTTAATTTATTTTAATCCATATTTACTGCATACAATATAATAAATACACGGACACAAGTTAGAAGCGGGCAGGGGCGTAGCCAGCAAATGGACCTGTAGGCCCGGGCCTGCAAATGTTTTGGTTTGGTCCCGCTACCGCTTGTAATAAATTATGCGTTGTTGGGGTCAGCTAAAAAGCTTAAGAGCTCGAAGTGTTGGTGAGGTCAGTTCGTACAGGATATGTGAAAATGAAAGTCAGCCAGCCCTACAAATAGTCGAAAAGCTGGCCACGCCCCTGGCGGGGAACGACTAGAAGGGAACCGAGGAACCATAGTTTAACATATGAACTTTAAAACTGAACTTATCCAGATTTGTTTTCAGTGTTCAGCTGATTTCATTTAGCCTTCTTTCCATTTGTTTTGTAATGTTGTATAATGAGTTGATCGGTTAGTATAAATAGAGCACAGTGTTAATCCCTGTTTTTGATTTACATTGAGGATTTACATTCCTGTACGATTTACATTTTGGATGTACATACCTGTATGATTTACGTCCACGAGCTGAAGATTATAACTGTTGTAGTCCAAGTTTGAGTGCTGTCCTGTTTTCCAGTTGTAGCAGACCCTAGTACCGTGGAACAGTGACGAGTTCCTTTACTAGTAGCCAAGCGAGTTGCAGAGTTACTTTTCCCCCTTGTTGTTCACGCGCCGAAGTCGCTCGAATTCTCTTAAAGCTTATTTCCCCAAATTTGTGCTTGGAAGAGCAAAGCCTATCGTCACCCCACCCAATTTAAAATTACCTTGTATTGTAAAAAAAAAAAAAAAAAAAAGAAATTGTTAGAAAAAGTAACACATATGAATTGTTAATTTGTATTTCCGCAAATCATATCCTATTCGTTTCAGTCACTGGACGAAAAAAATGGATTTGCCCAACTTTGCTCCTTGCAAATATATCGCAAATATTTGAAAACTGAGTAGTAAATATGGGGCAATGATGGTAAATGTCACTTCGCATATTAAAAAACATTGGGTTCAAATAACGAGGCCAAGAGAAACTTTGTGCAAAGCCATTTTTTCGTCAGTGTGAGACATTCGACCTCAAATTTCCGCGAAGTATGAACTATTATATTGGGGCAGTTTGTATGTAGGTTTTCAGTTGCAATTGATTGTATTCCTCCATGTATTCAGCTGTGTGTATACAATTGAAAAATATGCTTTGTGAATATTTATGAGTTTTTACATTGAAATATTTTTAAATAGATATGATATGTTATGCTCTTATCTCTTATATACAGGTGCGTTTAACTCTAAGAATTAAAACGATCTTTTTTTCACACATCTCTGCCCGCCACGTAAACTAGCTGCGCAAGCAATAAATCAAAACAGCAATTAACGTCTCCGAATTTATTTTTCTTCGTCTACAGACCTATAATTGTCGGTTTCCCCGACAAAACCAAACCTCAAACTACACCAGTCAACGGTCAGGCCATACTATACCAAAGGAAAAAAAATAACTGCAACATATACATAATTCATATGCTCAGTAATCAGCTATGTCAAAGAACAGGAGATTTGCCTTATTGCGTCTTTAACAGCCTGTCTTACTTCTTTGATTTTCCAAAAAAAAAGAAATGGGTTTAATGACGAAAAACAAAAGTAAACGAAAAAGTCTTAGCGAGATAAAATGACGAAGAAACCTTAACGCTTTTCAGATCAGTTAAGGCCTGTGTTATGCCAAATGGCAGATAACAAATAAATAATGTAACCTACACCCACAGTGCACTGTACACTAGCTGCGTTTCTGTATCGAGCTATGTTAATGCATTCCTTGAATGTTGTATATTTTTTGTATGCTTCTTCTGATTGTACTATGAAACCTGTACATCAAAATTAATCACATATTTTTAGTTTGTATCTGTTTATACTTTTTTACACATCCTCTTACTGCTGTATACAAAAAGAATACATCAAAATCAATCACATTTCCTGTGTGTATTTTCTATGTATAAATCAAATATACATTAGGTACAATGGAGTAGATATGTGTACACTTTTTGTATACAAATTGTGTACAAATCACCTCCATATTTTTGTAAGGGGTATTACCTCTCTAACAGCCTCTCTTACTTCTTTGATTTTCCAGCAATAAAGCAATGGGTTTAATGCTGAGTTTAGAAAAACAAAAGTAAATGAAAAAGTCTTAGCAAGATAAACTGATGAAGAAAACCTAACGCTTTTCAGATCCGTTAAGGCCTGTGTTATGCCAAATGGCAGATAACAAATAAATAATATAACCTGCACCCACAGAGCACTGTACACTGCCTTTCTGTATCGAGCTATGTTCAGTGGAATTGCTTGCCTCGGTTGTTCTTGAGCCACATTGATCTCAGCTTGAATTTGGTAATGACGGAGCATGAAGAAGATTTTCATGTAAGAGAAAATTATAATGGATAAACAAAGAGACAAATGTATGTAAAGAAGCAATGAAAGCAACTGAGGGTTCCAAGTGTAGTTTGTTGTGGCGACAATGGGCAAAACCCACATAACGATTACAGTTATAGAGACACGTGTCAAAGTTACAACTTGTCTGTATCTGAGGCCCAACCACAAGGCGAGAAGTCTGTCCACGCTTATTGCAGTCAGCACTAACAAAGACACTGCACACAAAATATAACTGGCGAGTAAAAGCGCAACGTAAACATTATAGCAAATATCCCATTTTTTACTCCTCACCGACATCAAGTAAGCAACATTCAGAGGCTCAACAATGATTCCCACCAAAAGATCAGTTATCGCTAGGCTGCGTAGCAGGAGTTTGGAGGGCGGATGAAGCGAAGATTCTTTATGTAGAGCAACTAGGATCAGAGTGTTTCCCAGAAATGCTGTAATGGACAGAAAAGTATTTAGCACTGAAAGGACGATTAGCTCGTTGTGAACTCTAGCAGTGACATCTGCTGAACAGTAGAAATCTCTGATCGTATTCTCAAGGGTTGGCACTGCCATCTTTCTTCGCTGACGTTGAGCGGTACGTGGAAGCGATTCTGTTGTCGCTTCTTATAAGGGGATCATCATGCTACAGTCACTTATCTTCATGGCCAGTCAAATGTCAGCACGTCAAGGCTTTTATATAATTAACTTCCTTTGGTTCTATTTTGCGTTTAACATGGGTCACAATTACCCCTCGGGTATACTCACCTTAATGATTTATGAGGCAGGTTCCTTAATTAGTTCGACAAAAATTATTGAACTTGAAGATCAGGGGATATATGCTGCCAACAAATTACCCCTACTCAGAATAGTAATTAAAGAATACAGCTTTCTTCTTTCAAAATAATAAAATTGAATTTGACGGTGAGGAAAAAAGGGAAAAAACTAACGAAACGAGTTGAAGAAAGTTGTCTATTGGTACATGGATTGTATTTTGTCGTTGATAAAATTCAGTTTGGGGTAATGAATCAAATAAACATTAAACTAATCTGTAAACATGGTAAAAGGAAAAGGATCTTGTATGCTAATCAGGAAGGAAATATTACTCGGTTTTAATGGTTTTTTCTTTTCCATAGAAAGTTTTCATAGACTTCACGGTGGCCACGGGAATCCCATGATCGATTGGTCAATTCCCTGTTGACCGTTGTTAAACATGAGAACCTTCCTTCCTTCCTTGTTCATGATTTTTTTTATTCCGTTTCTGTAGATTGATTTCAGGATTTGCGTCCTAATTGAGGCAATAAAACTACAGAAGTAATTTTAGGTAAAGGATCTCAGCGCCGAGAGAGACGCCTTTTCCGTCTTAAAGCCCCGAGGACTCAGGGGTACCCAACAAGAATATAGTTCAAAACCACTTAACATAGCTTGTTAAACGTATTTTAGTATTTAAACGGTAGATGTAGGCATATTTCTATATATATCTGTTCGGACTTCCTAGCTGCAAGTCTAGTGATCCGAAAATTATAAGGATCAAAACTTACCTTTTCAAAAGTTTTAGCCAGAAAAAAGACTTCCGAAAATCCTAGGTGACCTTTTTAGGGTAAAAATCGGTCAAAAATGGGCAATTATGTCATTTTTTAGACGTTCGAAAATCCTGGGAGAGGAAAACAAGCAAGAATTTTACAAAGAATGTTCCGAAAATTGCAGATCTCAAATCGTCTTCCGAACAGATATTTTCCGAAAATTGACGTTGGGTGCCCCTAAGGACTAGATTTGCAAGATATTATTTTGATATTGAAATATAAAAAAAGCTTTTAGTTAACGACAGGAAATGGAATGGTTATAGCAGCAGAGGCTTGACTTCCTGCGTACAACCGCCCCTTGGATTTGATGTCAAACAAAGCCCTCGTTCCCGGGCTGGAAGAGAGAACCAAGACTTTAGAACAAGAAGGTGCCAACATGTAGCCTTCTTTCTTAAAGCCAGCTCGATGATTTAAGAATGATGATTATTTACCGTACAGTCAATTTTCGCCTTACTGACACACTTATGTCCAGGATCGATCTTGTTAGCAAAAATTTGCAAGCAAATTGTTTTCGCAATTTTAGCAAAAAAAGATTTTAAAAAAACTGCTATCAGAAAAGTATAGAAGAAATAGCAAATGTCGCAAAAATCGCAAAAGTAAGAAGAATTTTTCTTGCTAAATGTGAAAAGATTGAATAACAAATATGGCAAAAATAGCAGGAATAACAAAGTTCACAAAATTCTACTACACTTAGAAAGAGAAAAGGTCAAGAAGGGCTCCGAGATGTCCGCAAATTTCGCAAAAATCGCAAAAGTAACAAGAATTTTTCCTGCTAGGTGAAAAGATTGAGCAACAAATATGGCAAAAATAGCAAAAATAACAAATTTAACAGAATTCTAGGGTTAGAAAGCTAAGGAAAAGGGCAAGGAGAGCTTTGAAATATGGCAAAATGCCACAAATTGGCTAGAGTAACAAGAATAGGCAAGAATTGTTAAAGGGCAAGAAAGGGGCCAAGAACACCTGCGCATCAATGTGTTTCCCTAATACTAATGGTTATCTCAACTGGAATACGTTCTTGTCCAGTAATTTTGTAATGCGTTAGATTTTCGCGAAAATGAAATCATCAGTTTCCTCAGTAGCGAAAGTCCGTTATAACGGGAAATTATTTCAGTCAAAGATCATTTTTTGATAAATTCCCGCTAAAGCCGGTCAACTCCCTTTATAACAGACACCGGCATTGACCTCGAGTTGGTGTCCTCACTAGCGAAGGTTCGTAATACCGGGAAATTATTTCGGTCAAACATATGTAATCTATTTTTGCCCAGAATTTAGCTGCTGTCCGTATTATCGGGGTGTCCGTTATAGCGGGGTGTCTGCAAGGCGAGAGTTGACTGTATTACGGACCCTCGCTAGTGAGGACTCTAACTCGAAGACCGTGGTGTCCGCTATAAAGGGAGATAGTTGACTGTATTTAGCCAAATAGTGCTAAATAACTCCTTTCCTCTAGGAACCCAAGTACATTGATCTCTACTTTTATAGTATAACACCGACACTATGATGTGTTCTTCTTGCAAGAGCTCAAGGTTTTTGTCAAGGAAAATTACTCTAAGAACGCCCGTGGAACATAAAATCTGGGTGGCTGTTCAATGGAGGAGTCCTTCTAATAGAGATTACGGTATTTTTTGCCCAAAAACTAATGACTAAATAACGACAGGCACCAACTCAAGGTGCCTTTAAACAAAGTTTGTGGAGAGCGGGGAGGGATAAACTCTAGGTTTCCGTTTTAGGAGGGTTTCCTTCACATAACAGATTCATATAGAAATTGACTGAAGATCGGCGTTCCTTGTCGCATTATGGGTGACTGAGGAATAACAAGGAACCAATTCCATGTCTGCTCAACAAAGGTGTCTAATTTACAGCGATGCCTGATAAGAAAAAGAAACGTGATTGGCTTCTCCTAAAATGCTCCACAATCGGGGAGAAGTGTGACGTCACTTCACCATGGCAGCTAAATTTCTGGATCGAATCTCAACAATCTTTCTTGACGGAGACAGCCATTTTTATTATTGAACGATGGAAGAAAAGATTGAGCTACCGTTTTGTTCCTGAATGCAGCCAAGTCATTTGTCAATTTTTTCAGTTTCACTGCCATATTTGTAGGCCACAGTTTGTTGATATCCAGAACTTTTGCTACCATGGTAACAAGACTTCTCTGTTGGTATAAGATTTAATGGAGCCGCGACCATATTAAATTTAATTTACTTTAATCAATTTTTACTGCATACAATATAATAAATACACAGACACAGGGGCGTAGCCAGCAAATGGACTACCGCTTGTAATAAATTATGCGTTGTTGGGGTGAGCTAAAAAGCTTAAGAGCTCGAAGTGTTGATGAGGTCAATTCGTACAGGATATGTGGAAATGAAAGTCAGCCAGGCCTACAAATAGCCGAAAAGCTGGCTTCGCCCCTGGCGGGGAAGGACTAGAAGGGAACCGAGGAACCATACAGGCTAGTCCACTGTAAGGAGAGATTTCCCATGAATTCTTTATTTGTCTCGAATTCATTATCTAGCTTTTAAATATTCCCCTTAAAGTTGTTTCAGCCGTAATTTACATTGAATTTACATTGAGTTGTTTTTAATTTGTTCCCTTAAATTATACACATTTTACTTCAATGTTTACTTTTAAAAGGATAATTTGTCTCTGGGTAATTATCAGGGGCGGATCCAGGATTTTTTTTAGGAGGGGGTTCACTCGCCTCTTGCTCTACTTCAACACCAATAAACCACATAATTTTTTTTTTTTTTTGCGGAATACCAGTTGTATTAGAAAACCGCAGGTCATCTCAGGGGGGGGGGGTGCGCACCCCCTGCACCCTCCCCCTAGATCCGCCCCTGATTATACAGCTTAGTCACTGAACAACTGGATCTTTCTCCTGTTCAAATACCAACCGTAGTTTTTTTGTTTTTGACATTTTAAGGAATCCTGAGAAAAGAAAACTCGAATTCTTTTACACAGCTTTCTTTGTAAATTTTCTAAATTCATTTGCTCGACTGACATTTACTTTTGTATCATTTAGTTTAACATATAAACTTTAAAGCTGAATTTATCCAGATTTTTTTTCAGTGTTCAGCTGATTTTATTCAGCCTTCGTTCCATTTGTTCTGTAATGTTGTGTAATGAGTTGATCGGTTAGTATAAATAGAGCACTATCTCTGTTTTTTGATTTACATGCATTGAGGATTTACATTCCTGTACGATTTACATTTTGGATGTACATGCCTCTATGATTTACGTCCACGAGCTGAAGATTATAGCTGTTGAGGTCCAAGTTTGAGTGCTGTCCTGTTTTCCAGTTATAGCAGACCCTATAGTACCGTGGAACAGTGACGAGTTCCTTTACCAGTAGCCAAGCGAGTTGCAGAGTTAGTTTTCCCCCTTGTTGTTCACGCGTCGAAGTCGCTCGAATTAACTTAACTCTTATTTCCCCAATTTGTGCTTGGAAGGGCAAAGTCTATATAGTCACCCCACCCAATTTAAAATTAGATTATATTGTAAAAAAGAAAGAAAAAGAATTTGTTAGAAAAAGTAACACATATAAATTGTTAATTTGTATTTCCGCAAATCATATCGTTCTAGATTCGTTTTAGATATCCTATTCCTTTCACGGGTTAAGATAAACTCAACAAATTGGTCTGCTCCTAATGTATGGGTCTTCGTAGCTCAGTTGGTAGAGCTCTTAAGCCCGAACGCAAAAGCCATGGGTTCGACTCCCGTTAAAGCCCCCAAATTTTTTAGGGTTTATTTGCAATTGCTTTAAAACTGCTGTTACAACATAACGGCGACGATCATATCTTCATTCAGGCTCCTGCTTCATTTAAATCTATCAGTTTCTATTACTACTACTAGTAATAGTTGACACTACAGCTGCCCCGTTCTGTATATTGTTGGTCAATAGCCGTATTCTTGCTCGTTGTGTAGCTCTTTGAAATATACCGATTCATAAAATGAAGATTTTCACACGTATTCAATACAATAGGTGGGATAAATACACGAAACGGAAGGTTCTATGCACAGTTTTAGATAGATTTACACAGCTTTGATCAAAACATTCTCAGTTTCGAGAATAGTTTATTCTAAACCATAAGAAAAGATTTAATTAGAAGTTAAATTTTTCGCTATTTCTCTTTGACTGTTTACAATTCAGTTCATTTTATTTGCCGGAAAGTAAGCCTTAGAAATTAAAAGGACGTTTGATCAATTCACGCTTGCGCATTCTAGTCTTATTTGAAACTTTATAGCGGAAGGACATCTGTGAGCAGGGAATACGTCAGCACAGAATTTGATTGTCGGCAAATTTCTGTTATCGTCCATCGTTCTGCTAGTGATAAGCTAGCCGTTTTTCACTCGTCTTGCTTGTTTGGGGCTGATTCTTATTCCGGTCAAAGAGAGAGAAAGAGTGTCCGGCAAGGTTTCCAATCAAAGATTTGTGAACTCGTGTCTGGCAAACTCTCCAAGTGTTTATGTATACAGTCCGGAATATCCCTAAATTTAAGGACAGTTGTGACGTCATGGAGCTATTGTTCTCGAGGAAAATGGCGGATAGATCACCTAAACGACCACAGTCACCGTTTCGAGGCTCTCAGGCATATTTTTTAAGACTTTTCATGAAGCATACACAATTTTTTTAATTGGACAGCGCATAGGAAGCCACACTGGAAGTGTCTTGTAAACTATTCAGCACATTTTGTGGCTTATTTCTTCTTTTAAACAACGCGATGTAGGCGAGATTTTGGTTGGTTTTCAAGGTAGGTGAACAAGTATCTATTATTTTTTCGATCCACAGATTTTCTACGAAGTTCTAGATATTTTTCCACGATTGTCATATCCATTAACTTTTATCATATTGAATGTGGGGTGGTAGACAACCTAGAATTTTGGTAAACAATTTTTGAATTCCGAGGTCCATGAAACACGAACGTGTTCCTCTCCCGGGTTTCATGCAGACATGGCAGAGCCGTGTTATTACTTTTTTTCGCATTAATACAAGCCTTTGCCTTTTTTCTTTTCAAGGCCAAACAACTTTATTAGTCTTATGGATATTCACGTCCAACATCTCGCCTCACTTTGCCGAATTTGCGGGGATAAAATTAAAGATCATAGCATCATAAGCGCAAGGTATAGATACTAACCGCTTTGTTTCTGAGATTCATCAAATCTGGAAAGATTTGATGAAGATCCATAGTTAAAAAAAATTCAAAGGAAGAAGGCAATTTTCAACTGTATAAAATGATGTATTTCGCTACTCATTGAACATGCACTGATTATTTGGGATAAAATTAAAACATTGCAGGTACGACAGCAAGCAAAGAAAGTACCAGATGCGTGAAGTCAACAGGAAATAACACAAAAAAACAAACAAGAAAAATTCATAAATTTGAACTACTTTTTATTCTTGTTATGATGACTGGTTCTTTGATTCTTGTCCTGTAGAAGTTAATAGGTAGTACCATTCCTGTTTTGTACGATCTCAGCAAATTTTCACACACTCTCTACTAGTCTTCCGGGACCAGTTTTCTCCCATCAAAAATCTTCAAAGCCACGCCATCCAGTGAAGCCATGACCTCTGCGATCGTCCGGAATCAGTTTGAACACCCCAATGATTCCTTGCAATGAATAATACTCTTATTCTCTTACATCAAATGTTTTCTTTGAAATAATGTGAAACCTAGACGAGTACTTTAAGCTTATCTTAAAATATGTCCGCCTCCGTCTGCTGTTGTGAAAAGTTTTGATCACTGGATCGGTGTTTTGATAAACACAAGGGCGCCTTCCTACCTGGTTGAACAGTGTCGCGTGACCAGTTGGCCCTGTCCTTATTCCGGACTGATATTCTCGGATTGCACTGTCACGCAATGAAAAATAAAAATGCAAACCATTCAATATAGAAAGTCTAGAATCTGGGAAATGAAAGAAGATAAATATACAAAAAGCCTTGCTAAGAATCCGTCTGTGCAATATTTCAAATGCGAGATATTCGGTAAAAAGGTTTACGTAAACTTATAAAGCTTTGTATGGAAACGCCAAGTTGGTGTCCCTTTCAGGGACACCAATATGGCCTCCGGATACCGAAAAAAACATCTGTTTTCGAGTTTTCCTACTAATGCGTAAATTCTTCGCTTGAGGAACTCATAAATATTAAAAATAATATTTATTCTGAGACAAGGAATGTTTAGACAGCAAAATCTCCCAAACTAGGCCATGATGTTTTTAGCCCACATAAGAGCTCTCCTAGCCGTCAGCTGAATGCCGCGTCACGCAAAAGCCTGGAAATTCAAGCGTCCGGTATCGCAAAACGAAGCACCCTTTCGAACCAAAAATTTGTTAACATAAAGGTGTTTAGGTGCTTTAACGCCTCGTGAAAGTAGAAACTCAGAAGAATCGATAATTTCTTAGGTTTATTTTTGGTGACGTCAAATGCAAGCCAAGAATATACACAGTTATACGCACTTTATAACTTCATCTGCGCTTAACGAGTGTCTTTTGGTCCATAACTTTCAAAGCAACTGCTCCACAGAATGTCACTGATAACACGTAACGCAAAAGAGTACCGAAGTATGACTGCACAATTAATGTCAAAGAATCTACCTAAGCGGTCCCTTCGGGATTTTCTGTCTTTACGTCATCCTAACCATTTCGTACTTGCGGGCGCAAACAATAGAAACGTCAATCATTACCTAACGATTCCTCGCGGCCCTGTTCAAGCAAAGCGAGATTTTTTTCTGGCATACCGACTGTATATTTCAACTGTAAGTATTTTCCTTAATATACGCGCGAGTTAATAGTAAGAGTGCCTGCTCGGGAGGGGGCAATAATTATTATCATGATTATTGTGCACTACCACTGTACTGGACTTCATTAAAACGGTAAAAACTTAGTATTTCAATAAGACGATTTTTAATATCCAGCTTGTGCGGTCCTGGGAACTTGTTAGGGGTCACGTGACCCCTGTCATGTTGTTCTGTTAGTCCGAACCATGTGCTTGTTGACTCGTTGAGTTCCGTGAGAGTATTTAAGCTGTTTAGTCGCTCAATATACCACATTGTTGGTGACGAGGAACGTATACGGACGCCCACTGCAAGGTAGACAAGGGAAGGGAAGTCTACGTGAATCATGCTCACGTTTGGGAAGTTGGACGGGTACAACGAAACTGAAGATTGGCGCCATTTTACATCGAGCGTGTAAACCATTTCTTCGAAGCGAATGAAATCACAGATCCTGACAAGAGAAGATCCATTTTTCTGACTTGTGTTGGAGCGAAAACCTATAAACTGGTGCGAAGTTTGGCTGCCCGAGAAGATCCAAAGGATAAAAGCTATGAGGATTTAGCAAAACTCCTCCAAGACCATTTCATGCCTAAACCGTCGGCTATTGTTCAGCGATTCAAGTTTAACACACCCTCCCAACAACCAGGTGAGACCATTGCAATGTTTTTAGCTGAATAAAGACACCTGTCTGAACACTGTGAATTCGGAATTACGTTAGATGAGATGCTTCGTGATCAACTGGTGTGTGGTGTTCGTGATATCAGAATACAGCGCCGATTATTAGCTGAACCCAAATTAACATTGAGGCGGGCGCTTAATTAGCTCTCGCCATTGAAGCAGCAGATAAGGATGCTTCAGAGATACAGAAGGCAGACGGTCAGGGACGGGATGCCTCTGTCAACAAAGTAGACGTCAAAGTTAATAAGGGAAGCGAAATTAAGTGCTGTCGTTGCAGCGGCAACCACTACCCCAAAAGCTGTCATTTTAAAGATGCCAAATGCTATTTTTGCAGTAAAGTTGGCCATTTAGCTCGATTGTGCCCAGCTAAAAAGAAAGGGAAACAACCACAGCCAGTTAATGAGCAGAAATCAGACAACTCCAAGCCTACCAATCTTCTTGAAGATGCCGTGCAAACACCAGGGGAGGAACAGGTTGTGGGTGCATATTCCTTGTTTAACTTTGGCAGTCCACACCCATCACCCTACAAAGTACAGCTAAGTGTTGCTGGGCAACCCCTGGAGATGGAAGTTGACACGAGGGCCTCCTTGTCTGTGATTGGCGAAGAACTAGACAACTACATTTTTTCAGCACGTCAAGCACCCCAACTTGTAGAGTCAGGAATTGTCCTTCACACATATACCGGGGAAGAGGTCAAATCTAAAGGGTCTTGTTCTGTAAATGTGTGTTATGATGGGGTTGAATACTCCCTGCCGCTTTTGGTTGTAGGCGGCAAGGGGCCTGCTTTGCTAGGTAGGAACTGGCTCGAGAAAATCAAGCTGAATTGGACCATAATCAAACAACTTTCTTCACACAATAAGCGACTGAAAGAGATTTTGCAAAAACATGCTTAGCTGTTCGAGGAGGGGCTTGGAACTCTACAAGGGACAAAGGCCAAAATCCATGTTCACCCCACGGCTACCCCTATCTTTCATAAAGCCAGACCAGTACCGTATGCTCTGAGGGCGAAAATTGAACAAGACCTAGAAAGACTTGAAAGGGCAGGGACCATTGAAGCAGTCCAGTATTCCGAGTGGGCCACCCCGATTGTCCCTGTCATAAAGAGTGATGGCACTGGAAGAGTCTGTGGAAACTATAAGCTCACGGTTAATAAAGTGTCAAAACTGGATGGCTATCCTATCCACAAGCTTGATGATCTGTATACGAAATTAGTTGGAGGTCAAACATTTACTAAGCTAGATTTAAACCATGCCTATAAACAGAACAAAACCCCACTGAGCTGAAGTCGTTCCTTGGTATGCTTAACTTCTATGGTAAGTTCATACCTAACCTGTCGTCCATTCTGGAACCACTACATAGTTTGCTGAGGAAAGATGTCGTTTGGAAGTGAGAGGTGGAACAGCAAGAAGCTGTTTAGTCGCTCTGATACACCACATAGCTATTTCGAGAAACGTTGTCGGGAAAAGTGCTCACGACAATCCCGAAAGGTATTGAGGGTGGTTTTGAGTTCACTGTTCTTCAAAGAAATTTGAAAGATTGAATGGCATGAGAGGCCATGGACGTATGTGAATGCTAAAGGAAAGCAACAAAAGTAGGTTCGACGGCTACGATGTCTGGAACAGTGTATATCCCATATCACCTTTGCGATTGTCGCGCTCACATTTTTTCCGACAAGCTTTCTCGAAATAGTAAATAGATATTTTTTTTATTGAAATAAATTAGGATGACTGTTATGTATAAAATTCCATGTTAGTTATTACTTTTCAGATATGAATCGTTCATCCCAGTTAAACGTTCCATTATTTCAGTCACTGGACGAAAAAAAATGGATTTGCATAAATTTGATACTTGCAAATATATCGCAAATATTTGAAAACGAGGAGTAAATATGGGGTAATGATGGTAAATGTCACTTCGCATATTAAAAAACAGAGGGTTCAGATAACGAGGCCAAGAGAAAATTTGCGCAAAGCCATTTTTTCGTTCTGTGAGAAATTCGACCTCGAATTTCCCCGAAGTCAGTGAACTATTATATTCGGGTAATTTGTATGCAGGTTTTTGCTCGTGATTTTATTTCTCTATGTATTCAGCTGTGTGTATACAATTAAAAAATATGCTTTGTGAATATGAATAAGTTTCTTGTTCACAGATTTTTGACTGTAAAGAGTTTACCTTTTTTCTTTCTCTCAAAGCACATTTAATATTTATTACACAAGGGAAGTTTATTACTGATAAAACATGTCTTAGCAGCAACTCATTTTTTCGTCCTGTGAGACATTCAACCTCAAATTTCCCTGAAGTATAAACTATTATACACTGAAAATTGAAAATATCTGTTTCAGCCCCAAAGTGTCAATTCAGCCCTGCAGGCCAAAGTCTGATTCAGCCCCTCCTGGAGCCCTTTGAGCACAATTTAGGCCAAAAAAGCTCTATCAAAAGGCTATTCCAGCCCACAGTAGGGCCCATTTCAGCCCTGGGACCAAATCAGCCCTAGCTAATTGGACTGTATTGGCCCTGATTTAAGGGAGCCAAATTAGACCCAAAAACTGTATTTTACTCACCGAAACGGCCCTATTTTTAGGGCTAAAACAAATCTTTCTGATTTAGAATGTATTGGGGCAATTTGTATGTAGGTTTTCAGTTGCACGTGATTGTATTCCTCCATGTATTCAGCTGTGTGCCACAATTGAAAAATATGCTTTGTGAATATTTGTGAGTTTTTATATTGAAATATTTGTAAATAAATAGGATATGTTATGCCCTTAGATACAGGTGCGTTTAACTCTAAGAATTAAAACGATTTTTGTTTTCACACATCTTTGCTCGCCACGCAAACTAGCCGCGCAAGCGATAAATTAATACAGCAATTATTAACGTCTCCGAGTTCATTTTTCTTCGTATAAAGAACTATAATTGTCGGTTGCCCTGACAAAATCAAACCTCAAACTACAATAGCCACCGGTCAGGCCATACCATACCAAAGGAAAAAAAAATTAATTGCAACATATACATAATTCAGATGCTCAGTAATCAACTATGTCAAAGAACAGATTTGCCTTATTGCGTCTCTAACAGCCTGTCTTACTTCTTTGATTTTCCAGCAATAAAGCAATGGGTTTAATGCTGAGTTTAGAAAAACAAAAGTAAATGAAAAAGTCTTAGCAAGATAAACTGATGAAGAAAACCTGACGCTTTTCAGATCAGTTAAAGCCTGTGTTATGCCAAATGGAAGATAACAAATAAATAATGTAAACTGCACCCACAGTGCACTGTACACTGCCTTTCTGTATCGAGCTATGTTCAGTGGAATTGCTTGCCTCGGTTGTTCTTGAGCCACAGTGACTTGAATTTGGTAATGACGGAGCATGAAGAAGATTTTCATGTAAGAGAAAATTATGATGGATAAACAAAAAGACAAATGTATGTAAAGAAGCAATAAAAGCAACTGAGGATTCCAAATGTAGCTTGTTGTGGCGACAATGGGCAAAACCCACATAACGATTACAGCTATATAGGCACCTCTCAAAGTTACAATTTGTCTGTATCTGAGGCCCAACCACAAGGCGAGAAGTCTGTCCACGCTTATTGCAGTCAGTACTAACAAAGACACCGCACACAAAATATAACTGGCGATTAAAAGCGCAACGTTAACATTATAGCAAATATCCCATCTTTGGCTCTTCACCGACATCAAGTAAGCAACATTCAGAGGCTCGACAATGATTCCCACCAAGAGATCAGTTATCGCTAGGCTGCGTAGCAGGAGTTTGGAGGGCGGATGTAGTGAAGATTCTTTATGTAGAGCAGCTAGGATCAGAGTGTTCCCTAGAAAACCTGTAATGGACAGAAAAGTATTAAGCACTAAAAGGACGATTAGCTCGTCGTTAACTCTGGCAGTGACATTTGCTGAACAGTACAATTCTCTGATCGAATTCTCAAGGGTTGGCACTGCCATCTTTCTTCACTGATGTTGAGAGGTTCGTGTAAGTGATTATAAGATTTATGTTTATATTGTCGCTTCTCTTATCTTCATGGTTAGTCAAATATTAGCATGTCAAGGCGTTCATTTAATTTACCAAGTTCCTTTGGCGATATTTCACGCTTGACATGGGTCATTCCTAACCCCTTTGGTACACTCACTCCGGCGATTTATAAGTCAGGTTCCTTACTTCGATAAAAATATTGAACTTGGAGAGCACAGGATATTGGCTACCAACAAATTGCCCCTATTCGGAATGCTAATTACCTCCTATAATGATTAATGATTACAGCTTTCTTCTTTCAATATAATAAAATTGAATTTGACGGTGAGTAAAAAAGGGAAAAAAACTAACGAAACGAGTTGAAGAAAGTTGTGTATCGATACAAAGATTGTATTTTATCGTTGATAACGTTCAGTTTGGGGTAATGAATCAAATAAACATTCAACTAATTTTTAGTAGAAGGTCATATGAAGCTAAGAGGGCTATCCAAAATCTTTGCCAGTGATGACCTAAACTTAGAAATTATCTTGTTCCTTTTAAGTATCGCGTTTAAGGTGACTAACTTAATTATGAGCCAGTTTTAGTATTTTTCTCACGTGCTCGCGTCGCGTCAGAAGTGGCCAGATAATTCTCGATTTTTGATATGTATAAGTTAAACCATTCTCGCTTTCAACTGAATGACTGAAATTTATTTTGAAGTTTTGATTGGGCGATAAGAGAGAATTTTTTAACTATGGCGTTCAGTCTTTCTGTTTGCACAAAAATCGAGCGATTTCCACGAAACTTAAAATTCTTGAGTTTAAGACTGTTTATTTCATCTGCCAAGTTTAAGGAAATTTGTTCGACTGTGATCTGCGCTACAGGACAGGTTTGAGAAGCAACAATTAAAATACAACATTGACTTGGCCAAACATGTCACGAATCAAATGCCAATTTAAACAATTTTGGAGGGCAGTTACGTTCAATTTTTGATAAATATGTTACATAAATTTGGGGCTCGAAGCCCTAATGCTCCTTGTGTGATTCCCTCTTAGAACAGAAGGAAATTTGCTTGGAAAATAATAAAGGCTACGGCTATATGGCCGGTAACCGGTTAACATTTTCAAAACACTAAATGACGGGAAGTCCAATATTTTTTTCAATAATTTTGACAAATCGAAGATTCCCAGCTAGACCAAACTATCATACGTCGATTTAGACTCGATAAACTTAGAGACTTAGTGTCTGATCAACAAATGTTGTCAAAGTGTAACTCTCTTCAATTTTAAGGGAAAAAAATAATTCACTCGAATATGAGCGGATTCGATCCCGGAGCATAGGGTCTGCAGGGGCGGATCCAGGATTTTTTCAAAGAGGGGGTTGCAAGTATGAGAGTTCGAGGCAAACATCCCAGGGCCAAAGGAATGGGGGAGGGGGAAGTTGGGCGTAGATTTTCGATATTTTGATTTCAGAGGTATAAATTTGTCAAATTTGAGACAGTGTTATTAAGGACTAAGAGTACAGTGCAACAACGATAGATTTTTGTCTCTTTTTTTACCCGCCTACTCAATCAAACAGACTGACATGAAAGATCTCGTCTTCCTCGAATCACTCAGAGTAGTACATGGCGATTTACTGGGAGATCAGAGAATCGCTCTTCAGGCGTTGTTGACCTAGAGCAGGTCTTGGTTCATTTCATCAGTGAAAATGACGGCTCAGATTCTGCGCTTGTGATCGGTAGCTATTGGTGCTGAGCAACAAAGCGTGTGGCTTATACTACTTTCGATTTGGTACCATTCCCGGGGGAGCGGATGGGGGATACTTCCCAGTAATAAGCTAATGGGGAAGTGCCGCTGGATGGGGTAGCATTTTTTTCACGACCAGATTGACTAAAATAGTTTCATTTTTACTGAAGTTGCTAGAATGGAGTCGCACATTTTCAGGATTTTCGGCGTAATCCGAAAAACTTGGTAAGTAGGGATTTAAAAAATGGGAACATTCGCGGTTAAAGACTGAGGTGACAGAAAGTTATTGGGATTGCGGAAATTACGTTTACCCAAAAGTGGCTAAGATGGGCTAATTCACCACAGAATCGACTTTTTAAATAGGGTTAGGGTTGTGAGAGGCCAGTGGCAGTCATACCCATTTGACCCAAGTACCTCCCTTGGTCACCAGCATAATGGCTGCCATGTTGGTGTTCCACAATTTCAAAAAAAAAAACGTGTGGGAGTTAAATTCTTTTCTTATTTAAACGCTTTCTTTTGATTTGCTCCAATAAATTTGAATAGATGCTGGCCAAACTCTCCATAGTTAATGTCAGTTAACTTTCTGTTGGTAAACTAACCCCTTGTCAAATTAAAACCTCTAATAAGAAGCAGTATTATGACTCTACTAGCTATGATCATCTGTAATTGCCCAGATTTTCTCTAGGTATTTTCAACTGCTAGAAAAGTTTTCTTCAAAGATCACCAATGCCACCGTTAACTGTTTTGAAGTATCCCATGACTTTCATTGCAGTCCATAGGCGGAAATTCAACGGTGGTCAGGGGAGACCCTTGCCTTGCAGACCCTTGCAGACGCTCTAAGTCTTCTACAACCTTCCACAGATAGTTTAGACGAGTGCGTGGGCCGGCTGCAACGCAGGCTAGCGGGACCCCTGGCCTCACCTTTTCCTTTCTTTCCAGCGATATGCAGCCGATTCCGAATTGGGTGCCTCGGCTTTCCTTGAGAATGTGATCCTGTTTTTGAATTTGATTGAGGAAAATGTACGAGAATCGAAATTGATTGTGGAAGTGCTAATGGGGGTACCCAATTCTCAGTTAACTACTATTTTTTCGGCCAAATATCAGTTAACTACTATTTTTTTGGCCAATTCTCAGTTAACTACTAATTTTCGTTAGCTGTCAACTTTCACTTTCCTACAACGAATATTATTCGTCATAGCCCCAATTTTCCTTCTTTCAAGTCAATCACTTTTGGGAGATTGAACTCTGCCACTAGTACAATTTATTAGTAACTGAAAATAAGTCGTTAATAACCAAAATAGATCCAGATTCACCAGTCATGATCTCGTATTGATCTTCCTAACATGGTCATGCATGTCCTGCCATAAACGACTTCAAAATTCACCTTCTTCAGCACTTTCATTATCTGATCGAAATCGCAGTACTTATCTGGTTCCTGCATGTCTTGTATCTTGTTGTTGGCCTATGTTTCAACCCATTTCTAATCCTTGCAATCCATTGCAACAGACGACGAGAAACATTATCAATGCCAAAATATAGTCTTCATAACCAAACCGGACCATTATTTTTGGAATTCGATCGGTGAATTTAATCACTGTTTGCACCGATGAGAGAGACATAGTTGAGAGTGCTGACAAAAGCATGACATGACAAGGGATAATTCGACTTTTCGCAAGTGTAGCCTACTTCGAACTCGTAGTTCTTTTAAGCGATTGCTTTACTGTGGTTCCAAAGTCTTGGGCGTATATAGTTCAAAGCACTAAATGTTTTGTGTTGAAGTGAGAAACCAGAGTAGGCTTTCAACCTGCCTTGTCAGAAGTCTTTTGTACCTCGAAACAGATTTTGTCGACATCCTCTTTCGCGTCCCTGAATGCTACCTCTTTCGCAGACGTACTTTTTTTCGCGTATTTCAAAAGCCTCATAAAGATATCCAAGGTTATCAGTTAACTACTGTTTTTTCGGCCAAATATCAGTTAACTGTTAACCCCATTCGCACCCTCTGGAAAGTGGATGGAGACAACGATGAATGTATTTAGGAAAGCGGTAAAGATAAAGGGACTCCAAAAGTTAAAAGGCTTGTTTTGCTGAAAATGAACAATAAAGGATTTATTTATTATATTAACCAAAAGAACTTTTCTTGCAAATCAAAGCTGGAAATCCCCGAAATTTCTAAGAGATCAGGTAAACTGAGTTAAGGCTGTAACATATTATTTTCCAGTAGTTAATATTAGTAATTGTTCAATTTTTGAAATCTAGTATTTATGGATGAAGTTGTTTTTGTTTGACCTTGCATATCATTCGCTATCAAGTGGTAAACCCGTCAAGTGGCCAAGTCTCTCCATCATGTCAAACAGGTTATTTGTTTCGCTCTAGTGATTACAGTCCCCTGCCGGTGTATCATCGTAACAGCAAGCAAATATTACACAAGTCAATTAGAAATCTCCTGACGCCTTCATTCTTATTAGTTCTACAAAACGACGAAATAAATGTTGGGACGCTTTCTTTTGGTTTGGTGGACTGGAATGAATTTTCTCAGTTATGTAAGGTAGGTGTCGGTTTAAAAACGATAATACAAATTACCTCGTAGTGTTTGTAGATGTAATTACCCGGTCCTTGTCCACAGTTGCTTCACGGCAGAATTTCGACTTAATTAGCCCGATCTTTTGTTTATTCCTGCTAGATCATAAGACACCAAGGCTATTATGTGTTTAAATCTCAGCTGCCGATACGACCTGACAACGTTTGATGACATTTTCCGTACAACCCACGCAACTGTTCTGTGCATCCCTGTTTGTTTTTATCTTATCTTTCATGATAATATTTAACCATGGCAATTTATGAAACTTCAAACAACTGAAAAAAAATTCTTGACAAGTTCTTATCAAGCTGAGTTCTAAATGTCCCAGGAAGAGAGCCTGGCAGTTTACCCTTTCGTCAGCGATCGTCAGCACCGATCTAAAAACGGATGTGCTCGGCTGTTTTGCTGGTCAGAGGTATCGAGTCGGAAACTCTAACAACGCATGCGTGACGATAGCAAGCAAAAGAAAATAAATACTTATAGAGAACAGATCAGCCGTCCTTATACATGGGTCTCTTCCAGTCTATTTTTAGCTGAGTCGTTGTCTTTCTTTGAAATCAACTTTCACAGTACATGTAAAGCAAAACTAGCGGAGTCATTTGGGTAAAAATACCATTTTAGTAAAATCCAACTAGCGGTCTATTATCATTGCTGCGTTCTGATTGGTCGAGCTTCTACTAGGCTATATGTTCTTGCTGGTTTTCAGTGTCACGCCATCCAAAAAAGATCAAAATAAAAATCAAAACCGTTCGACAGATAAAGTCCAGAATCTGGGAAATGAAAGGAGGTAAATATACAAAGACCCTCGCCAAGATTTGGGTCGAAGGAGTCATTCGTGTACGAGACATCCGAGGAAATGTTTTACCCAAATTTATAGAGCTTTGTATGGAGACGCCATGCTGGAGCTCATCAGGATTAGCTCCAACATGGCGGACGGAAACCAACGGAAACATCTGTTACCGAGTTTTGCTACTAAAGCGTGAATTTACTCCTAGAGGAACTCATAAACATGAAAGTAGTACTTTTTCTAACACTTGAACTGATTAGATAGCAAAATTCTTCGAAAAAAGTCACTATTTTAACCTAAATGACAGCTCTCTCGGCCGTCATGAAAATGCTGCGTCACGCAAAAGCTTAGAAATTCAAGCGTACTTTAAAGGGAAAATTTGTTTGAAAATTAGTTTTCAGCTGCTCTGATACACCATGAAAGTAAAATCTCAGTAGGATCGATAGTTTTTGTAGTTTGAATTTTAGTGACGTCATGTGAAATCCAACAATAGCCCCCTAGTAAAGAAAAGCGCCGGCTTTTAAAACCGAAACAATGGCTGCTGAATCGCGTTTTGCTAGCGAAAGTTGTTTTGTCTCGTTATTTCTGACCAACTAGTTGGATTTTACTAAAACAATGATTCCTCGAGCCCGAATAGCCACTGAGTCAATAGCCCATCCGGCCTTCGGCCTCATGGGCTATTGACTCAAAGCCCATTCAGGCTCGAGGAATAATTGGTAAATATTCTGCTGTTGTTTTAGATCGTCTTTGTCAACATCATTTAATTCAACTGAATGCAACAGCACCGACTCCTTGGTGAGGCGTCTAATGTCTGGTAAGAGTATATAATATGGTAACAGTCGAAGAATAAGCTGTAAAAACATTTGGCTAATTGTCTAAAAGATTACTATCACACGTTGGATTCTTTATCAGCGTTATTAAGTCGTTAAGGACGACTTTGGTTCTTGCTGCGGCTCAGCTCCAAGCTTCCACACTTAAAAGTCTTTAAACATAATTATCATCTTCTGACAGTCGCAGACCTACTTCTTCCTCCACACGTTTCCCTTTAGCCAATGAAATGGTTTTAGTTTTCTTGGCTGCCAGTCAGATGTGTGTTAGCACAAGTGTAATTCCTTGCTACCCCCCTCTAATCCTCCTAAGGTCGTCAATGAAAAGGGCGCGAGATATGCCAATGTCAACCCGTTAAAACAACCTGTACCCTTGTAATGCTTTTAATTTCCTCGACATGGGATTCACACATAATGATGATTTATACTTAACCGCTAATTGAATGTCTTGGGGGTTAACAAAATTTTAATATTAAGATTAACCTAATATATGTTATTTTTAACTATATTATCATATCATTATTAATTATTATTATTATTATTATTATTATATATTATCTGATTGGTATTATCATTATCATTATTATTATTATTATTATTATTATGCTTCAATAAGACCAACACAATCATTATTGCATAGTAAACTTGGACGTATAGAGACTATGCACATAGTATATGACTATAATTATTATCACAGTCATCACAGTAGCTTTCCTTAATGCTATGATCTGTTCGTTACCTAATCGGTCTAAAACAGCAAGTTGTTATTATATCGGTCTTGTGTGTCTCGATAGTGCTCGCCCTGATCCTCGATGACTGGTACGATACTCGATGATACCTGACGATAAAAAGACCTTGCGAGAATCGTGTATCGAGTTGAAACGTCGTCAGGGAATCGAGATCCGAAACACGAATGTAAAATGGGTTCACTCTTTTTAAGCTCAAAAGCTTTGCAGCAGTCCCGATCGTCTCTTGAGGAGAATATTGTTAGCGATTCAGTTAAAATTTTATGTTCCACTGTTTTTAAATGTTTTTGCAAACGGACTTCGTTCGTTTTAGGCTGAATATCAGTACGTGTGGCTACGGTCGATTTTTTTTAATTCTTTAAAATTTTTCCATTGAATTGAAATATGACCGTTTTCTCTATTCGCTACTTTCACACTCCCATAATACACCTTGTTTACCGCCCCAAACGTTTTGCAAAAGCATTGTTTCTAAATCCACCGTACCTAAAAAGTACATTTACCCACAGTTCTTGACGGATGAAAACCATAAAATTACTCATAAAAACGCACGGAAAAGTTTTATAAACTTCAAACCTAGGATAGGCAAATTAAACAATACGCTTTCTGAATATTTATGAACTCTTGAAGGCGAGGTTACGGATTAGCTCTTTAGAGTCATGTGAATTCTCATGGGGTTTTTCCCCTTGTTACCAGTAATTACAACGCAATTTATAATAACAGCTGGAAGAATTATCAGATCGGTTATCAAAAAGAGATAGGTCATTTGGCTGAGGGTTGACAAGGGCCTTTCTCCATGAAATAAGAAAACTCTACAATGTATACTTGGTTTATTTTACCCAGTGTAACTTTTCACCTTAACCGGATTGCTAAATATATTCTAAATAAATTACCACATGCCCGTACAAAAAGATGCATTAGGGACGAACCATTAGCAAACTTATTGGGCGGGCGAAGTACAAAAAAAATATTCGCGCAAGGGAAAATTAAATGAAAAAAAATTCATGCACGCCAATTGACCACCCCCATCCCCCAAAAAAATTCCTGCCGCTCGAAAATCCCCAACTTTTTTTTTTCATGGTCCGTACCTTAATCTTAAATTTATGACGGAATAAATATCTTTCATCATCCGGCAAATTAATGCAAAAAATTAAAACGGGAATCAATTAAGAGCAATGAACGTATCCATAGTTCTTTTTATGCCATGGACTATCCTTTCTTTAAGAACTTTTTGGGTGGCTCTCAGTAAAAGTCAATACTGTTCAAATTATAGGATCAAACTTTAAGCCGATTGCAGAATTGTTGATGTGCGTGTTATGCGTTATACCTAACTCAAAGACTGCCTGCATAATTGCACAATGCTAGACAAAGAGAAACGAAAACAAGCCTCCTTTTTTAAAAATTGTAAGATACGCATGGGAAACCGGCTGTATTTTTCCTTCAACATATTTAATTGTTAGTCAACTAGCTGGTCAATGAACGGTAGATTTCCCTGACTGTGTCTTTAACAGCCTGTCTTACTTCTTTGATTTTCCAGCAATAAAGCAATGGGTTTAATGACGAGTTTAGAAAAACCAAAGTAAATGAAAACGTCTTAGCAAGATAAACCGAGGAAGAAAACTTAGCGCTTTTCAGATGTGTTATGAAGACCTGCGTTATGCAAAAAGGCAAATAGCAAACAAATAATGTGACCTGCACCCACAGTGCACTGTACACTGCCTTTCTGTAACGAGCTATGTTCAATGGCAATGAAATTGCTTGCCTCGGTTCTCCTTGAAAAACGTTTTTCTTAGCTTCAGCTTGATATTGATGGAGAGTGAAGAAGATTTTCATGTGAGAGAAAGTTGACGTGGATATACATACTGACAAATGTGTGTAGAGAAGTGGCGAAAATATAACGGGATTCCAGAAGTAGCTTGTTGTGGCGACAACGGACAAAGCCCACATAACGATTACAGTTGTATAAACATTTTTCAAAGTTACAACTTTTCTGTATCTGAGTCCCAGCAACAAGGCGAGAAGTCTGTCCACGCTTATTGCAGTCAATATAAACAGAGAAACTGCACACAAAATATAGCTAGCAACAAAGAGTGCCATATAAAAATTGTAGCAAATATCCCACCTTTCGTTCTTCACAGACATCAAATAGGCAACGCAAAGAGGCTGAACAACGACTCCAACACAGAGATCAGTTATCGCTAGGGTTCGATACAGAAGTTTGGACGGCGGGTAAAGTGAATTTTTCCTGCGTAGAGCCGTGAAGATTAGAGTGTTCCCCAAAAATGCAGTAATGGACAGAAAAATGTTTAGCGTGGAAAGGACGATTAACTCGTCATGGACGTTGGTTAGTTCTACTGAACAATACAATCCTGTGATGGCTTTTTCAAGCGTTGGGCCTGTCATCATTTTCTCTTCAATATTGAGTACGTGCAAGTGATCACGAGCTTGATAACGATAATTATGGCTTCTTACATTGAAGATATCGTATTCTAAATATTTCATCAATTCATGTTAATCAAATTGTTAGTCATGTCGTTTCAACTTTCTTTCGTGGGATATTTTATCTATTACACGTGTAATAAATACGCCATTGGGATACTCATTACCCCGGTGATTACGAGAACAGATTCATATTTTCTATATAATAACATTCATTTATTCAATCAGTCAATCTATCAATAACTTTATTAGCAAGTCGGAAAACTTCTAGCACGCCACATAGGGGGCACTAATCGGGGACAATCGACTTTGAATTTGACGGTGATGGAAGGAAAAAAAATGTAAATTGATTGTATATAGTATTCAGTAATGTAAATCATATAAACCTCAAATACACATCGAAAGCAAATCACATAAATGTCAAATACGAAAAATGATCTTTCATGCTACTCGATTAGGAAATATTTACTTTTTTAAAACACAGTTTTTGTTCCTGCAAGACAAATTTGTCTGTTAATGTTCATAGTAATAAAATTTTATGTTGGTGTCTAAGAACCTCACGTCAAATCATTGAAATAGTAATTACTCGAAAACTTATTAAAATAATTAGCAAATGATCTATATTCACATAGTTTTTACACACTGGGCGTTTATTTAATTGCTAGAAACGTTTTTTCTTTATTCAATTATCAGCAAGTAAAGCATTAGTATCACATGATCCATGTTCAAAAAAAACCTGGAAACTAGAAAAATTTGAAGCCCATTTAACGTTTAATACTTTTTGTTCAGTTTTCGCGCAATTTATCGAATCCCGGCTATTCTTTTTTCTCCACACAAAATTTAGGTGGGAAATTTAAGACCCCATCTATTGCTTTAAATTTTCCCTTATACTGTACTCGTTGGACGTATTATTACGAGCTCCCTATCATTTTGTGACAATCAGAACTTAACGTAATGCGCCCTCAAGGCCTAACAAACTACCCGGCTTCACTTCATTTTGCCAGTCCTTTCTTTTAAGCCACTTTTTGTAGCGGCAGTAGCCACAGTTCGGAATTTCTATGAGCCATGTTGTTTGCTACTTTGGTCGATTGAAAAGGTTGTGTTTTATGGAAGTTGTTACCCCTAGCTTCCTGACATGTCGCGTATTAAGAGTACAACAGTTTATCTGCACTTGTCCTCCTCACATTGTAATGTAAACAGTACGGTCGGACGTCAGCACACAATGGTCGGAACTTTTTTTATTCACCAACCTTCAACGTCTTTTGGGGAGCGCACGTGCGTACAGGTAGCTGCGCCCATGTAAACAGCTGTCTACTTTTCCACTAAGATCCTCGATGCGACATTTGTAGTTAATGCTTCTCTCTTTGACGTTAATAAGGAGTACATTTTCTTGAATTCTACTTGAAAGAAACCGTGTTTCAGCAGTGATTCTTTTTCTGGTTGAGGTCTAACTCCAGTGCTTTCAACGAAAATGGTTTCTACTCACATCTCAGGAGCCTGCTGACCTTAGTGCATTGCTTATTGATTTACTTCTTCTTTACATCGCGGATAAACTCACGTGGGCCAAGTGACTTCATCCGCGATGTAAATACTCCGCTGGGGAAGCTTCAAGCTGAGAGCCGTCCTTGTGATAGCCATAGGTGACGGGTGTCAGTTTCCTAGTGATGCGCTGCTCTTTGCTTTTGCTGTAGTTAAAGTTTAATTTAAGCCAGCAACATTGGATCAGGTGGCTAGCTCAGATAAGTCCTCTTAAAGTTGTCCTACATCGGTTGTTCATGTACACTCTTTGAAAACGTACCTTTGTATCATCGCGAAGGTGGCCATCTGGCTTGATCTAACTGTATCAGGTAGAGAGTTCACATATAACATAGGGTCCAGAATCGAACCCTGAGGGAACCCTGACGTCATAGGTACGGAGCTGGATGTCGCATCCAATGATAGTTTCCCAAAGAAGCTGTAACATGTTAAACCACTTTAGTCTATAACTGAGGACGATTTCAAATTTGTTAATTTACTGGTTAATAAACTTTCTACCTGTTTCTCTGTAATTCTCTTTGCCATTTGATAAGATGATGTTAAGATTGAACAGAGAGAAGCGAAAACATGGTGCCTTTTCAGTATTGTTAGCTTTATGCAACATTTTGAGGGCACACCCGTACTGATCTCAATTCAGTTGGCTGAATTTTCATTGCCGATCAACTAGTTCGATAAGCAGCATATGAAATGTCTTATTGTTTCTTTAACCGCTTGTCTTACTTCTTTGATCTTCCAGCAATAAATGAAAGGGTTTAATGAAGAGTTTAGAAAAACCAAAGTATATGTGAACGTGTTACCAAGGAAACCCGATAAAGAAAACTCAGAGCTTTCATAGTGTATCAAGGCTTGAACGACAAATGGCAGATAACAAACAACCAATGTTACCTGCACCCACAGTGCACTGTACACCGCCTTTCTGTATCGAGCTATGTTCAATGGAATTGCTTGACTCGGTTGTACTTGAGGAACCTGGCCCTGATGGGCTTGAATTTGGTGATGATGGAGAGTGAAAAAAATTTTTATGTAAGAGAAAATTATTGTGGGTAAACAAAATGACAGAAGTGTGTAGAGAAACGGTATAAATATATCAGGACTCCAAAAAAAGCTTGACGAGCCAACAATGGACAATACCCACATAAAGAATACAGATATATAGACTTTTTTCAAAGTTACAGCTTGTCTGTATCTCAGCCCTAACAACAGGGCAAGAAGTCTGTCCAGGCTTATTGCAGTCGCTGCCAACAAAGACACTCCGCACAAGATATAACCAGCAAAACGAGCGACCGCATAAACATGATAGCAAATATCCAATCTTCCAGTCTTCAAAGACATCAAATAGGTAACAAAGAGGGGTCCCACGATGATGCCAACACAGAGATCAGTTACTGCTAAGTTGCGATACAGGAGTTTGGACGGCGAATGAAGTGATTTTTCTTTGCGCAGGGCGGCTAGGATAAGGGTGTTTCCCAGAAATGCAGTAATGGACAAAAAAATATTTATCACTGAAAGAACGATAATCTCGTCATGAACTTCAGCGGTGAATTCTGCTGAACAGTGCAATTCTCTTACCATTTTCTTGTTTTTAACAAGATGTGTTAGTTCTGCCATCTCTCTTCTAATGTTGAGTAGGAGCGCTGAGTGAGTTTTGCTTTGTCATATATGGCTTCCTATTACCAAGGTCATAGTGCTAACATTTCAATCGTGTCAGTAAAAATGCAAGCAAAGTGCGTGGTAACTTCCTTTGGCGATCTTTCATGTTTGACATGTTTAATCAATATAAACCCACGGTTTTCATGCAATTATAAAGAATATCCTACTTCTTATTGTTCTTTAACCCCTAAAAACATAACTTTCTTGTAAGCTTCCTTCGAGATGTTTAAATTGAACTTATAATGGGGCGGGCTACAGGACAAAAGCCAAAAAAAGTAATAACCTTTTCAATGGATTGTATATTGTTGTCAATGGTGCCTGTTATTTGAATTAGGTCAAATTGTTGTCAATGATCATAGAGCAACAGGAAATGAAAAGGAAAGTGATCTTGTGCGACAGTCGGGAAAGCCGTATGGGGAAGTGTTTACTTTATAACGCTTTTCTTGTTCCAATGAAGCGAACGTGTCCGTTTATGACAGGTAGCTTTGTGTTGGTGACAAATAAACTCATGTCAAACTTATTAGAAGACTTGAAATTTATTAGTCTAAGACTCTACGAATCGGAAGAACGTCATGTTAAAGTATTTTAGCACTGCTACGGTTCAAAATTGAGCCGTTTTGTTGAAAAATAAACAATAGCCGTAACTAAAAAAAGGAAATAAAAAATAGCTGTTGCTTGGCTTGAAAAAGAAAGGGTTCATAGACTCATGGCTAAAACATATCTTAGCTTCTTCTTTTAGATCTCTTCTAAAGATTGATGTGAAAACATTGATTTTTACCTATGTTATGATTAGGACAACTACTCAATACGTTTGGGCCCTAATTGTTTCGAACTTCCCCAGATCTCTGAGTCACATACTCAATGACTCGACCTCAAACTGAATTCCCTTCCATTGTCATTAAACAGAAATTATACTTCTGATTTTTGGACCTCCTGATGATTCAAACCGATTTTTCCCCCAGATGATTCGAAAAACGGGATTCCATGAGGATCCGCAAGCGACTTTTTTTTGCCATCAGCATGATTTCTTAGTTGCTACGGACGCTTTGTTTTCAAAAGGTGACAAGAGAATTTCCTGCTGTGGGAATTTAATTAGTACATTAATTTCTGGCCAAAAAACGTAATCCGATAAGGTGTCAACCCTGTCATATGCCACTAGTATAGGTAATAGCATGATTTGTAGTGATATTTGGCATAAATACCACGAGTGATATTTCGAAATTGTTTTACGTAATTTCACGAGCCGTTAGGCGAGTGAAATTTGAAACAATTTTGAAATATCATGAGTGGTATTTACGCCAAATATCACCTACAAATCATGCTATTATTTGTTTATACCACTACCCGCAAAAGGTTTGTAATTTTCACATGTAGGTATTTCAAATTAAGCTGAAATATCACTGCTCTAAGCCAATCAAATTGCAGAAATTTCTCATGTAGTGGTATAACAGTAGTAATCCTTTTGAAAGCTCAGAACGTTTTCAAGATAGTAAAAACCGGATGAAAATACAACGCTATCCATTATAAAACTTAAAATAAAGCAAAATTAAAACAATTTTGCTTATAGTAAAGTGTATGCCTTGCAAAACCTTCAAGTTGCGTTCTAGATAATTTTTTGCCAGACTTCAGCACGAGGAATCCACGCGCCAGGACGCGCGGACAGCAATGATCAGGAAATAAAGCGGAAAAACGAATTGTCTTTTCAAAAATATATTTTCCCTTTCAAACTGAAACGCTTCAAGGCTAAACGAGATTTTACCTATTGCGACTGGCCGGTGCTATCTCACGATAGGCGATCTGTAGCGAAAACACGGAGTCCAGTGTAAATATTGAGCCGCTTTTTAGGCATGCGGTTGCCTGCAGTCTTTATTTATGCGTCGTAATGTCCAAACAAAGAAACAAATCAGCAAGTCGAAAAAAGGATTGTGCAAGTAAAAGTATAACCCATCCTACAATGGAATTAATTGGATTTTACTTTATATGGTATGCTTTTGGTATATCGCGCTAGATCTGCCACGATACTTTGTCAGAAGATTCCTGAGAGTGAGAGCCACGAGTGATGGCGGTGTACATGTGTGACGATCCTCGTCTATTCTATTGAGCCGGGTTTTTTTCTCCTTCGCTGGATACCGAAAAGACTTGGTATCATAGCTTTGAATTTCAGCCTATGTAATGGAAAGCTATGCATGTTCGGCTCCTCCGATTCAGTCAAGAGTTTTAGTGAGGAATTTAAGCAGTCTGACAAGATGGCGTTCTTGCTTGTATGAGTTGGTTCTCCGTGCCGTCGATGGAAGGGGCTTTTTGGTCCGCTGTCGCTCGATATCATTCGCCACAAGTCCCTTAGCTAAATCCTGTTTGTAGAAGCGGATTTCAAGAGGTGGTCGACTGGATCATTTCATTTTGATTCAAGGGTTCTGTCCATTGGCGCCAAAATCGAATAGCTCGCCAATTCCCCAAAATAGCCCGCCAATCCAAAATCTCTGTACACATCCTTCACTCAGGAAAAAACCAGGTAACAATGGGTATGACTCGCTTTTATTAAATAACAAAGTCAGTATACCAACTTGCATAGCAAATTGTGAGAAATGAGGTCAGTTAACCAGTTTATTGTTTGTTGAAATATCATTTTCTTGTAATTATTGTGGGACATAATTTTTGAAGCCCATTGTTTCTCCCTTATTAAAATTCAATTTTTTTCTCCTTTCACTTTAATTCCTGTCACTTTTCAATGGCTAATAATGTTTTTTTTTTTCATAAAGGATGATCTCAGAAACTGTCTTGCAAATGTGATTAGGCATACAGAGGTCTTAAAGAAAAGTGGAATTTTTTTGACAGAAAACACTACAATATGTTTTTTTAAAGGGCAAAATTTAACTTTAAGAAGAACTTCTTCTTTTTCATCGATCTGTATGTATTCAAGAGTGGGTGTTTGATACGGCCATGATGTTCTGCGACTCCTAAGTGCAAATTGTGAAATGCAACAGAACACTAGGTGTGTCGCCGGTGTTTCTGTGAGTTAGCAATTCATGGCATTATTAATTCACCTGCAAGCTTATCTAATAGTCATCTTGAGTGAGTAGGTTTTTGATAATGCCATGATGTTCTGCGACTCCTAAGTGCAAATTGTGAAATGCAACAGAACACTACGTGTGTCGCCCGTGTTTCTGTGAGTTAGAAATTCATGGCATTATTAATTCACCTGCAAACTTATCTAATAGTCATCTTGAGTGAGTAGGTTTTTGATAATGTCATGATGTTCTGCGACTCCTAAGTGCAAATTGTGAAATGCAACAGAACACTAGGTGTGTCGCCCGTGTTTCTGCGAGTTAGAAATTCATGGCATTATTAATTCACCTGCAAACTTATCTAATAGTCATCTTGAGTGAGTAGGTTTTTGATAATGTCATGATGTTCTGCGACTCCTAAGTGCAAATTGTGAAATGCAACAGAACACTAGGTGTGTCGCCCGTGTTTCTGTGAGTTAGAAATTCATGGCATTATTAATTCACCGGCAAACTTATCTAATAGTCATCTTGGGTGAGTAGGTTTTTGATAATGCCATGATGTTCTGCGACTCCTAAGTGCAAATTTTGAAATGCAACAGAACACTAGGTGTGTCGCCCGTGTTTCTGTGAGTTAGAAATTCATGGCATTATTAATTCACCTGCAAACGTATCTAATAGTCATCTTGGGTGAGTAGGTTTTTGATAATGCCATGATGTTCTGCGACTCCTAAGTGCAAATTGTGAAATGCAACAGAACACTAGGTGTGTCGCCCGTGTTTCTGTGAGTTAGAAATTCATCACATTTTTAATTCACCTGTAAACGTATCTAATGGTCATCTTAAGTGAGTAGGTCTTGGGAATGGGTTTTTGACATTATACTTCTCTTACTGACAATCGGTCATTTAGAAAATATTGTTGTTTACAGTTACACTGGATCGATCATAAAGGGTTGTTATTGATAATGGCATGAACTCTATGCTATTCTATTTGTCCTTTCTGTTGAGTTTTGTATCTTTTTCTGTGCATTTAGGATATGGCTGGATTCTATTGCGTTTTGCCTTAAACTGTAGGGGAATGAACAAGTAATAGTTTTCCTTCGTATTGAAACATGTATTTATTGACCTAGTATTATCATTTTAACAACTACCGACCTTTAGATGCTCCAGAAGGCTTTGTTCAAGCAATAGCCCTTGAAGAGCAAAAAATCAACTGGAGGCACCATGAACTTTATAAGTTTATGTGTCTAAAAGCTTTTCGCTCATATGAAAACTCATATCATAAAGATTTAAAAATGTAGAAACTTTTGAAATCTAATATTAATCAATCCTTTTCCTTAACTTTGACCATTTTTAGGCTTATGACTGCAATCTTTGCAGGCATAATACTTTAATACCTACGGAAAAAAATGGCGCTCCAGTTCAAAGACTCACTTGTTCCAAGAAAAACTTAATGGACTGCATCAGCGTCTAAAAAATGATCTTGAGTGAAAACAAAAGAAACTAAAATCTTTATTTTTAGAAAATAATTACCCAATATACATGGACCATCTTCTTGACCTCGAAATGTGTGTCGCGGAAAAAATAAGATTCACTCAGTAACAGTTTAGAACGCTCCACGCGCGGCATAGTGACCAAAGCGCGACAAAGAAAACCCCTGTTGTTCAAGTAAACGCTAAGGACCTCTAAGGTCACGTCTCACATTATTACTAGTTTGTAAGTCGTGTTTATTTCAAACAATTACGAGAGTTTTTCTAGACTGCTTGCAGGCCGCCTTTTTTTGCATAGACCATTTTCATGACCGCTAAATGTAAGTCTCAGTGCAACCTCGTCCCCAGGGCTTTTCCCTTAAATGGGTGGGGCGGGAAAAGGCCCTGGCATCGGCTGGTCACGTGCACAGCCTAAATATTCCTGAGAAGCTAATTTATATGCAACCCGCTGGTTTTGCGCTGACAGAAGTCGAACGGAGCAACAATGGAAAATAATAATATCGCGAACTGTATGTCAATATTTTCGCGTCTGTGCGATTCAAAAGCTTAAGATCCCTTTAATTGCGTATTATTCAAATGCTACAAGAACCGGCTCTACGTTGTCACGTACAAAATATGTCAAATGCTTCAGAGTTGAGACAAGCTGTTATCGAGTAGTACTTCGACTGAAATTCATCGTGACTGTACGATCAAGCAGAAAGTGATTTTGACCAATGTCAAACAAAAATGCGGGCCTTTGCCTCTAGGATCTGCAGTGAATTTAAACAAATTGGACTTAATTGAAATAGAATTGTTCATCAAAATACTTTATGATGGAGTCTGGTCTTCTCTACAACCCGACCATGAAACAAACAAATCTCCGCGCCGGATGCAAGTCAGCCCTCCAGCCAGGAACGATGACAGGTCGCCGATCTGAAACATTTTAAGATCTCTTATATCTTTTCTCTTCCGAGGATAAGTACAAAGGATTTTCCTTATATCAAAGGGAAGATTGACCGATCGATTGGAATCAACTACAGCTCTGTCAATTTTAAATGGACCCAAGTCTTTCTTTGTTACCAGTCGTTTGATACCCTGGGTGCCAGAAACTTTTCATGCGCGGTTTCCGGTTTCGGTCAAGTCTCGCAGAGGTCAATGAATTTTTAAAAAGACAGGTCATACAAGATAAGTCTAAACCAACGCGTGACGCTATGATATGGCTGATAGTTAAGTTGAATAGAACTAGGTTGTGTACGGCGGTCCACTTCGCAAGAAATAAAATAAAATATCAAAAGAGTCGAGAAAACGGACTTTTGCAGTACAAACTTTATGCATGTACGATAGCTTGTTTGTCATTTATATCGCTCTATAAAGGAAGTTTTACAAATGTTACCGCTCGCTGTCCCCTTCATAGAAATCGGAGGAAAGCAAAAAATTACCATAGCCAGTATCTGTGACAAAAAAGAAATCTTGTAAAACTTTTCGTTAATCGTCAAGAGATATAAAAGGCCGCCCAAGATCGTGCGCTGTGAGGTTACGCATAATTTTAGCTTTTCACATAGCGCTAATTTATTACACCCAGGATTTTAGGGTGTACGAGGGGACACGTGACCAGCCGATGCCAGGGCCTTTTCCCGCCCCACCCGTTTTTTAAGGGAAAAGCCCTGGGGACGAGGTTGGTCTCAGTGCGGCGGAAAAAATACAATTTTAGAACGCTCCATGTGCGGCATGGTGACCAACGCGCGACGAGGGAAAGAAGGAAAACCCCTGTTGTTCAAGCAAACTCTGAGGTCACGTCTCACAACATTACGAGTTTTTAAGTCGTGTTTCGGCTGGTCCCTCATATACCGAAAGTTGAAATCGTTAATCATTACATACAGCAATTCTAATAGATCACATTTAAGAAAGTCTTTCTAGACTGTTTGTAGCCCGCCTTTTCTCTTAAAATCTGTTTAGTTCTTATTCCAGCTAGCGAGATTGTAAACAACAACTTTAGAATAGAGAATTTACCCTGGGTGCCAGAGACTTCCCATGCCCGCGCTTTCCGTTTTCGGCCAAAGCTTTTCAGTGAAATCAGTGAAGGTCGAGACGCCCGCATTTAGCAGTTCGCGGTTTTGTAAAGGAAAATAATAGACTTCTCGCAGTTTATAGTCGCTCAAGCAACGAGGCCTTCCCTTGGCAAAATAAATATTGTACTAAAAGATTTTCGTTAACCTTCGCAAACTGACTAAAGAATTCTATGTAAGATTTGGTTTCGGAATAATTGTTACGGCGTGCATTTAGTTTTCCGGCTCGCTTTTAGCTAAATATTTCATTCACATGAAAAATAGTTTTTAACTCGGCATTTGCAGCTCACACGCAAAATTGTTCACGCGTTTTACTCGCCGTTTGTCGCGGCTTGCTTTGAAAGGTCCCACGCGCTTTTTTCTGTGTTTCCATTGAGTGCAATGAATCAAATTTCTAATTAATTTGGTTAAGCTGTCAAACGATGACTTGTGAATAAAATGAAACATTCAGTCGTGATGATTTAGGGCCTGTTTACATGAAGGTGGGGGACCCCAGGTAGGTGAGGTAACGTGTTGCGGGTTACCCCACCTAACATGTAAACGTGATCACATTAAAATGAGAGATTGTATGGACAGGCGGGTTACCCCACCTAAGCGGGTTACCTCACCTACCTAGGGTCCCCCACCTCCATGTAAACAGGCCCTTAGAGAGGATCGTATTCTATGAGTTGTCAACACGTCTTTTGTTTTACATTGCGCAATCGGTCATTTCAGATGACCGACTTCGCCGATCTCTAAGTCTTGCGGGTCCTCATGCTGTATAACACTATTAGTATTTGTCTAACCAGTCACGTACGAAGTACAACACAAGCGTAGAAAGGGTATTTATCGGCCCGGAAACAGAAGAATAAGTTAGGGCAGTGGAGTTATAAAATACAGTGAAATCTTCTACAAATACCATGTACGTTCTCTTTTAATCATTTAAGTTTGCCTTCGTTATCTTTACTAAAGTGTTCAACTATCTTTTGAGGGCGAAGCAGGGTTATAACAGAATTCTTTAGACTAGCTTTCTCCTCATATTCTCTCTATTTTTTAAAAAGTAAATAACAGTTAAATATGCTGTCTTGGTCATGATGAGCCATTGAGCACTCAACCCGTTATAAGGTCTGTTAACCCTATCATACCAGGTCTTTGTTTTGCACCTTGTGGTACAGCCACCAAATGAACTCCTCACATTTCCATGGCCACCGTCTAAGCATAACTTGATTGACACAATGACGTATTTGATGCCATGATTACGTCATTTTGTTGAACTAATTATTGGCAGAATGAAAAATTCCATCAATTTTTCCTCTCAAAATGAAAATTACATAAATAGTAAGGCATGTGACAAGATCAAGACGTTGGCTGACACATTAGTTATCTTTAACAATAGCAGTGATGCCACGATGACGTCATTTATTAGAAGGATCTTGAATCATTCACCATCTTTGATCCGCCATTTTGAATCAATTAAATATCTTCAATTTTGCTTAAAACCCGTATAAATCGAGGTAATCAGGGGTAAATATTGATGTGTATAAGAAGGATGCTTAGAGAGTAAGAAAATCTACAAGTTGTGAAATTTCGAGAGAAGTTAACACTGTTAAGAACTAAACCTAGTATCTGTCATTGGGACATTTTAAATTCATGTTTTTTTCTCAAATCTGTCACTAAAAGCCTGGATTACACTGAACGTGATAATAGATTTGATAAATGTAACTTAAGTGTAATGCTATAATTCATTAAGTAAAAATAGAAATAGAGACTTTTTTAAATTTTCTTAAAACAAGAAAAGTTTGTCGCTATTGTGTTTTTTGATATAGTCCTTCACTGTATCGTACGTGAGATCAACAATTTCCTTTCCTAGTATATTTAGTTAGGATCATAGTAATGACGTAATGACACGCAATTTAAGCACTCATCAAAAAACGTCTGACCACGTCCAACCAACTAATTAACATAATATTCTGTGCTCAATTTGCTAATTAAAATATAAACAGTACAAAGACCTTCAAAAGGACGTTGAAATCTTGTAATAAATCCCACGTGATACTTACTACAACATGACTGTAATTTTTTTAGTATGCTTTAGTATCTGTACTATTCAAGGGGACATTACGGTTGTTTTTTTTTTTTAGAAAATGATGTTGATTTGGGAAGGAAACAAATAAGGGTAGAAAAAGTATACACATAAACCAGTTAGTCCCCTAAAGGGATCAAAGGCAGCTTGTGGTGTTGTGGACTGTCTGGTATTTGTCTACTAATTATTCACCTCATATCTTAATTTTAAACAACCCACAAATCTATTAGTTTCCAATTTTCCCAAAATTTCAAACATCCCCCTAATTTTTAGACATTTAAAACATTCGAAACACTGATCATCCGAAAATCCTAGAAAATAATTGAATTAAGGACTCCAACGCCGAGTCGTTTTTTAATTGAATGAAATCTTGGCTAGATATTTAAGAAAAAGGTGGGAGTCAACGAAAAATAATGCTTTTAACCAGACTGCCCCCTAAATATTCAAATTTTGTTAAAATGCAGATCAATTCAGTGAAATAATGCTCTTTAAACAGCTGCTATGTTTGACCCGAATCTTCATTGATTAACAAAATTTTACAGTACGTTATCCTACCTGACATGTACTAATTGTTTGAAAAAAATACTGAAAATTCCATCTTGTTTTTAAATTGTGAATTATGTGTTTTGCTTTTGGTACCAGTAGGCTGACCCGAATTTTTCATCAGAGATATCAACACTGTACTAACATTAAAAACTCAGTGTTTACTTTTCCATAAAGATCGAAATAAATCTCCCCGATGTGACAGTTACATTTGAGTTATGGCACCAATTTCACATAGAGTCCTGATTTTTGTCCATTTTAATCAATGATTGAAAGAAATTGTGTCTATTAAGACATTCTCTTTGTGAGATTAATTTCCGTGGTAACAAAGAAGACTTATTACGTACTTAGAGGAGTACTTTTTCTGTCAATTTTTCGCTGTATTCAGATAGTATTGAACTATTCGTCCTCCTCGCTTGACTTTCCAAACATAGTTCGTCTTGCCGGTTGACGTCTTGAGTATGAAGATGACGAGGATTATCTTACAGCTTTACGAAACTTCTTCTGATTTGCTGTTTAAAAGCCAGGGGTTACACGATTTTTAAGATGATCGAGTCTACATTACGTTCTATATATTTTATCCTCGTTAACCAACATATTGAAAGCACAATGAGATTGAAGATAATAATTGACTTACTTGTCGATGAAAAATAATGTTTGCAAAATTTCCTATTGTTTCATTGCTTTATTAACGCTGTACGAAATCTTTAGCTCCGAGATCGGGTTTCCATTACGCGATATACCCTTACTGCCCGACGTCCAGTTAATGAATACAACATAGCATATAACCTAATTCGATGAACAGAAAAAGTGTCTGATTGTCTCTTTAACTGCTTTCCTTACCTCTCTGATCCTCCAACAATAAAGAAAGGGGTTTAATGACGAGTTTGCTAAAACAAAAGAGAGTGTAATATCCCCCGCGAGGTAAACCGAGGAAGTTATCTCACTTTTTTCAGGCGTCTCAGGCCTTAAGGCCATAGCTATACCAAAAGGCAGATAACAAACAAGCAATGTTACCTGCACCCACAGTGAATTGTAGACTGCCTTTCTGTATCGAGCTATATTCAGTGGAATTGTTTGGTTCCGTTTTCCTTGAAAAACGCCGTCTTGAACTTGAAATTGCCTTTGTCGTAAGGTAAAGAAAATTTTAGCATAACACAGGCTTGAGATGACTACACATAGTAATATAGTTAGAAACGAAGACCAGCCAAGTATTAGAGGATCCAAAGCGTAGGTTGCTGCGCCAATGAGAGCTGAGAAAACCCACATAAAAAATACACTTACATGTGCTTTTCTCATAGTTACAATATGTCTGTATCTGAGCCCCAATATAAGGGCAAGAAGCCTGTCCACACTTATGGCAGTCGATGTGAACAAAGACACTGAACACAAAATGGTGCCAGTGATTTGACTTGCGTCATTTATGTAATAGCAAATGTCCCATCTCTCTGTTACGACGGACATCAAATAAGCAACAAACAGAGGCTCCGCAATGATACCAACACATAAATCAGTTACCGCTAGGTTACGTAACAGGAGTTTGGACGGCTTATTGAGTGAAGTCCTCTTGTGCAGGGCAACTAGAATTAGAGTGTTCCCCAGAAATGCAGTTATAGACAGAAAAATATTTAGCACTGAAACAAATATAAGCTCACCGAGTCTTTCCTCCTTAAGTTTTTCTGAGCAGTACAGTTCTCCAACTGTTTTCCGACTTTCCTCTCCGGTAAAATTTTTTTCCATTGCCATCCTTATTCTGCAATGCGACCTTGGACCATAAGTCTGGCGATAAACTTTATTTCTTCTTGAAGGTTATTCAAATTTAATTTGAATTATTACCGCGGATATTGTGTTTATCAAAAAAGGTCAACTTAATTACCAATCATCATGATTCATCTGTTCGTAGTCGAACGAATTCGGCATTGTACATTATTTAATATGTCCGGTGAATTTTGATTAATAGACACAGGGGATAATAAACATTGCAATTACATTCTTCTCACGAACATAGCTTCTTTCATATAGTTATAAGATACTAATTATCCAACAACGCAGGTTAATTTTAATTTTTAGTATTCTTCTCAGGAAAGCAACAGATGGTACTAATCATCAAAGAATGGATGTCAATATTGATGACAAGACTAATAATCCTGAGTTTCGATGGGTTCTTTCCGGCTATAGTTTCCTTCGTGATGTGATAAGTGACTATTAAATCGTCTTCTGGTCATTCTTACAAAATTACATAATTATACAAGATTTATCTAAATTTTTCTTTTATTTTTTCCTTTAGCTCATTTACTCTAGGGACCGGGCTACTACCTTCCAAAGAAAATTAATTGATATAGCAGAGAAAACCGAGAAGTTTTGTTACAAATTAAGTACTTTGAAACTTTCGTAGAAAGTCGGTAACTTTAACTGTAACATGTAAAGCCTGGGCCATCGGGCGAGTAAGAAAAAGATCTGCATGCAAATTTTTATAACATAATAATCTTCATGTCCGTCATGCAAAGTTGACAGCTATGAAGGGCCGCGGGGGACGGTTCTATTAGCTATGATCGAATAAATTCAAAAGGCAAAATTTTGTTTGTGCTACATTTTTTTAAAAGCTTTATTTCTCGGCTGTTTTAGAGGCTATTTTGATAAAATTTTACACAGACATTGTATGATGATGGAAGTTTAGGCGAATTATTTTTTATTTGGTAGATGGCGCTTTAGGGGAATGCTTTAAGCCACACTGTTTTACCAAAAAAGGACATCGTGATCTTGTGTCCAACTTTGTGGAAATAATGGAAGACAGCATTCTGTGATTTTGAATAAATGATCGGTCAAAACCTCTAGTGTGTCATGTATAAGGCGGATTTCACAATTTAAAGTTAATTGCCAGCAAGATATAATCGTTTAAATGAGCAAAATCTGTCATCTCTGAAATTAACGCCTCATACTTTTTAGAATTGCGCTCTATTCATGACAGACTACAGTCTACCAAGTTTACCTCTCTACAGTGCCAGCTCGTGATGTCTTGTACCTGCGCTGAAAGTTTCAAAATTGTCGGAAGTCAAATTATGAGTCTCCCGAACGCGTCCCGACTAACTTGATACGAGTTCCGAGCAAGATACGTAATTATGGTTAATTTCATTCTACGCTTAAATTTTGTGAAAAAGCTGCAATGTTTTCAAAGATTTTTCGGAAGAAAAGAACGTACGAGAGTTTTGGTATCAAATTTGGTTGAAATTTCTAAAGAGCCTCTTATCTTTTATTGATTTAAAAATCATGGCTGGAAAACAAGGTTTACTACCAATCAAAGCCCGCGGTTTGTTACTTTTTGAATACAGCTATTTAGAGGAAGATTGTCGAAAAAAAAGTGTGCACGCGACAATCCCAAAAGGTAATATGGCATCTGACACTATAAAATAGCTGTCGAAGCTTCTTTTGCTGCTTTCCTTTAGCACTCGCAAACATACGTCCATGGCCTCTCGTGCCATTCTTTCAAATTTCTTTGAAGGAACAATGAACTCAAAACTACCCACAATACCTTTCGGTATAGTCTCAAGCACTTTACCCGACAACCTTTCTTGAAATAGCTGTAAACATTTTGTTCACAGTCTCGGTGCCACACGTGCATAAATTATGCGCTCATATTTTATCCAGTTATGAATATCTCGTAAACCTGTCTATATCAGTCGTTGTACTTCGTGTACACTGTTTTAAATCAATGCATCACAAATTAAAGCATCACAATAAGCCCAAGGTGTCCCCAGCGACCCTAAGACTCTCTATATATTTGGAAACCTTTCAAGGTGCTTATAAATAAACTTGAACAGTGTATAATTTAGTAAGTATTTGAAATTGGCTTTCCTGGCCCAGTCTGCGATCAAATCCCATGACCCTTGCTCGAGCCTGGCACGATCGCTACCTTTCCCCTTGTATTCTCTCAGGAGCCATTCAAATTTGATGGGCTCCTGATGCTCTCTAATTGTTTTACAAGCAATACAGTTATATTAAGGTTTTCCTCCATCTTACAACGATTACCCATCACGTACTTTTAATACCGTTATTAGTTCTACAAAATATGCTTCAAAATTTGGTTAATCAATGCAGGTGATCACGTGATTAAGTGCAGATAATGTTAAATTACTGATCATGAGCATGGGAGAATTTCTTAGAGTAAACGAACAAAGTTTGAAGAAAAGAAGTGTTTAATGGTTCTTCATCGTATCATACGTGATGACATGAACAATTTCCTTTGGGAATATTTTTAGTTAGAATCATCGTAATGACACATAATTTAAGCACTTATCAAAAAACTATGGAAACGGTTTGACGGGCTGTTCTACCCTTTCCCCACCCAGAAAATTAACATAATATTCTCTGAGTGCTAGTCAATCGATATACAGTACAAAGACCTACAAGAAACGATAATGCCACGTGATACTACCACTTGGCTGTACTCCGAGGGTCGCCGCTTAATGGAGGTTCAGCTGTATTGCGTAAAAATGGTTCAATTTCCTTAGAGTAAACAGGCAAAGTTTGTAGCCAGACATTAGCGTTGAATAGTTTTTCATTGTACCGTACGTGAGATAAGCAAATTATTTCTTACTATTTGTGTTTGTCAGATCATCGTGATGACAAAAACCCTGATTTGCGCTGGAAAATTAAGCAGTCATCAAATTACATATTCTCTGTTACTATAGCAACGGTTTGATGTGTTATCAGAGGATTGGTGTGTTATTCGATTGTGCTAACTTCAACTGAAATCAAAATCTGACCAATATCAGTGATCGCGCTTATAATATCTTATTAGGAAGAAAATTCTAGCTAGCTTTTCTTCCCGACTGATGATTTAGAAACAAACTGAAATCAGTTAAGTATATTAATATTGAACTAACTTGATGAAGAGAAAAGTTGTCTGATTGTGTCTTTAATAGCTTGCCTTACTGCTCTGATCTTCCAGCAATAAAGTAGTGGGTTTAATGATGAGTTTAGTAGAAGTAAAGTGAGCGTCATGAGGTAAACCGACAAAGAAATCTCTGGTATAGTTGTCGCAATTCCAAACGGCAGATAACAAACAACCAATGTTACCTGCACTCATAATGCACTGTACACTGCCTTTCTGTATCGAGCTAGGTTCAGTGGAACCTTTATAACTTCAGTTGGTCCTTGAAAAGCGCTATCTTCGAGACGTACTTTTCTTCGTCGTAGTACAACGAAAATTTTAGTGTAACACAGGCTTGAGATGACTACACATAGAGATATTGTTATAAACATTGACCAGTCGAGTATAACAGTGTCCAAAGAGTAGATTGCTGCACCAGCAACAACGGACAAACCCCACATAACAATTACACTTATATACGCAATATAAGTCGCAACTCGTCTGTATCTGAGGCCCAACCACAGGGCGAGAAGTCTGTCCACGCTTATTGCAGTCAATGTGAACAAAGACACTGAACACAAAATGGCGCCAATGGCTAAACCTGCGTAGTCTAGTTCGTAGCAAATATCCCATCTTTGTTTTAACAAAGACATCAAATAAGCAACCAACAGAGGCTCCGCAATGATACCAACACAGAGATCAGTTATCGCTAAGTTGCGAAACAGGAGTTTGGACGGCGGATAAAGTGAAGTTTCTTTGGGTAGAGCAGCAAGGATCAGAGTGTTCCCCAGAAATGTGGTAACAGACAGAAAAATATTTAGCACTGAAAGAAATATAAGTTCGCCGAATATTTTCCTTGTAAGTTCCTCTGAGTAATAGAACAGTTCTCCCACTGTTTTCTGGCGTTCATCTTTTGTAAAATTGTTTGGTATTGCCATCTTCAAATCTTCACTGCTATCCCGAACACAAGACTGTAGTGTTGAATTCATTCACGTACTTTGTAAAGTGAATTTTTCCTGCGTAGAGCCGTGAAGATTAGAGTGTTCCCCAAAAATGCAGTAATGGACCGAAAAATGTTTAGCGTGGAATTTTAAAGCACTATTAACTCGTCATTGACGTTGGTTAGCTCTACTGAACAAGACAATTCTGTGATCGCTATTTCAAGCGTTGGGCCTGTCATCATTTTCTCTTCAATATTGAGTACGTGCAAGTGATCACGAGCTTGATAACGATAATTATGGTTTTTTACACTGAAGATATCGTATTCTAAATATTTCATACATCCATGTTAATCGAATTGTTAGTCGTGTCGTTTCAACTTTCTTTCGTGTGATATTTTATCTATTACACGTGTAATAAATATCCCATTGGGATACTCATTACCCCGGTGATTACAAGAACAGGTTTACATTTCTATATAATTACATTCATTTATTCAATCAGTCAATCAATCAATAACTTTATTAACATGTCGGAAAACTTCTAGCAAGCCACAAAGGGGGCACTGATCTTGAATTTGACGGTGATGGAAGAAAAGAGAGAAAACGAGTAAACGAATGTAAATTGATTGTATATAGTATTCAGTAATGTAAATCATATAAACCTCAAATACACATCGAAAGCAAATCACATAAATGTCAAATACGGAAAATAATCTTTCATGCTACTCGATGAGGAAATATTTACTTTTTAACACAGTATTTGTTCCTGCATGACAAATTTGTCTGTTAATGTTCATAGTAACAAAATTTTATGTTGGTGTCTAAGAACCTCACGTCAAATCACTGAAATAGTAATTAGTCGAAAACTTATTAAAATAATTAGCAAATTATCTATATTCACACGGTTTTTACACACTGGGCGTTTATTTAATTGCTAGAAACGTTTTTTCTTTTTTCAATTATCAGCAAGTAAAGCATTAGTATCGCATGACCCGTGTTCAAAAAACACCTGTAAACTAGAAAAATTTGAAGCCCATTTAACGTTTAATACTTTTTTTCAGTTTTCGCGCAATTCAATAGCGAATCCCGGCTAATCTTTTTCCTCCACACAAAACTGTTTAGGTGGGAAATTTAAGACCCCATCTATTGCTTTAAATTTTCCCTTATACCGTACCTAGTAACGGTTGGACGTATTATTTCGTGCTCCCTATAATTTTGTGACAATCAGAACTTAATTTTCGGGTGCGCACGTGCGTACAGGTAGCTACGCCCATGTAAACAGCTGTCTACTTTTCCACTAAGATCCTCGATGCGACATTTGCAGTTAATGCTTGTCTCTTTGACGTTAATAAGAAGTACATTTCTTGAATTCCACTTGAAAGAAACCGTGATTCAGCAGTGATTCTTTTGGTGGTTGAGGTCTACCCCCAGTGCTTTCGACTAAAATGGTTTCTACTCACATCTCAGGAGCCTGCTGACCCTAGCGTAGCGCATTGCTTATTGATCTACTTCTTCTTTACATCGCGGATGAACTCACGTGGGCCAAGTGAGTTAATCTGCAATGTAAATACTCCGCCGGGGAAGCTTCAAGCTGAGAGCCGTCCTTGTGATACCCATAGGTGACGGGTGTAAGTTTCCTAGTGATGCGCTGCTCTTTGCTTTTGCTGTAGTTAAAGTTTAATTTAAGCCAGGAACATTGGATCAGGTGGCTAGGTCAGATAAGTCCTCTTAAAGTTGTCCTACATCGCTTGTTCATGTACACTCTTTGAAAACGTACCTTCGTATCATCGCGAAGGTGGCCATCTGGCTTGATCTAACTGTATCAGGCAGCGAGTTCACATATAACATAGGGTCCAGAATCGAACCCTGTGGGAACCCTAACGTCATAGGTACGGGGCGGGATGTCGCATCCAATGATAGTTTCCCAAAGAAGCTGTAACATGTTACACCACTTTAGTCTTAAACTGAGGACGATTTCAAATTTGTTAATTTACTGGTTAATAAACTTTCTACCTGTTTCTCTGTAATTCTCTTTACCGTTTGATAGGATGGTGTAAAGATTGAGCGGAGAGAAGCGAAAACATTCTGCCTTTTCAGTATTGTTAGTTTTATGCAACATTTTGAGGGCACGCCCGTACTGATCTCAATTCAGTTGGCTGAATTTTCATTGACGATCAACTAGTTCGATAAGCAGCATATTAAATGTCTTATTGTTTCTTTAACCGCTTGTCTTACTTCTTTGATCTTCCAGCAATAAATGAAAGGGTTTAATGACGAGTTTAGAAAAACCAAAGTATATGTGAACGTATTACCAAGGTAACCCGATAAAGAAAACTTAGAGCTTTCATAGTGTATCAAGACTTGAACGACAAACGGCAGATAACAAACAACCAATGTTACCTGCACCCACAGTGCACTGTACACCGCCTTTCTGTATCGAGCTATGTTCAGTGGAATTGCTTGACGCGGTTGTACTTGAGGAACCTGGCCCTGATGCGCTTGAATTTGGTTATGATGGAGAGTGAAAAAAATTTTTATGTAAGAGAAAATTATTGTGGGTAAACAAAATGACAGAACTGTGTAGAGAAACGGTATAAATATATCAGGACTCCAAAAAAAGCTTGATGAGCCAGCAATGGACAATACCCACATAAAGAATACAGATATATAGACTTTTTTCAAAGTTACAGCTTGTCTGTATCTCAGCCCTAACAACAGGGCAAGAAGTCTGTCCAGGCTTATTGCAGTCGATGCCAACAAAGACACTCCGCACAAGATATAACCAGCAAAACGAGCGACCGCATAAACATGATAGCAAATATCCAATCTTCCAGTCTTCAAAGACATCAAATAGGTAACAAAGAGGGGTCCCACGATGATGCCAACACAGAGATCAGTTACTGCTAGGTTGCGATACAGGAGTTTGGATGGCGAATGAAGTGATTTTTCTTTGCGCAGGGCGGCTAGGATAAGGGTGTTCCCCAGAAATGCAGTAATGGACAAAAAAATATTTAGCACTGAAAGGACGATAATCTCGTCATGAACTTCAGCGGTGAATTCTGCTGAACAGTGCAATTCTGTTATGTTTTGCTTGTTTTTAGCAAGATGTGTTAGTTCTGCCATCTCTCTTCTAATGTTGAGTAGGGGCGCTGAGTGAGTTTTGCTTTGTCATATATGGTTTCCTATTACGAAGGTCATGTGCTAACATTTCAATAGTGTCAGTAAAAATGCAAGCAAAGTGCGTGGTAACTTCCTTTGGCGATCTTTCATGTTTGACATGTTTAATCAATATAAACCCACGGTTTTCATGCAATTATAAAGAATATTCTACTTCTTATTGTTCTTTAACCCCTAAAAACATAACTTTCTTGCAAGCTTCCTTCGATATGTTTAAATTGAACTTATAATGGGGCGGGCTACAGGACAAAAGCCAAAAAAAGTAATAACCTTTTCAATGGATTGTATATTGTTGTCAATGGTGCCTGTTATTTGAATTAGGTCAAATTGTTGTCAATAATCATAGAGCAAAAGGAAATGAAAAGGAAAGTGATCTTGTGCGACAGTCGGGAAAGCCGTATGGGGAAGTGTTTACTTTATAACGCTTTTCTTGTTCCAATGAAGCAAACGTGTCCGTTTATGACAGGTAGCTTTGTGTTGGTGACAAATAAACTCGTGTCAAACTTATAAGAAGACTTGAAATCTATTCGAATCTACGAATCGGAAGAACGTGATGTTAAAGTATTTTAGCACTGCTACGGTTCAAAATTGAGCCGTTCTGTTGAAAAATAAACAATAGCCGTAACTAAAAAAAGGAAATAAAAAAGAGCTGTTGCTTGGCTTGAAAAAGAAACGGTTCATAGACTCATGGTTAAAACATATCTTAGCTTCTTCTTTTAGATCTCTTCTAAAGATTGATGTGAAAACATTGATTTTTACCTATGTTATGATTAGGTGTTCAGCTACTCATTACGTTTGGGCCCTAATTGTTCCGAGTCACATACTCAATGATTCGACCTCAAACTGACTTCCCTTCCATTGTCATTAAACTGAAATTATATTTCTGATTTTTGGACCTCCTGATGATTCAAACCAATTGATAAAAGCTTTTCCCCCAAGATGATTCGAAAAACGGGATTCTACTGTATAACACTATTGGTGTTTGTCTAACCAGTCACGTACGAAGTACAACACAAGCGTATAAAGGGTATTTATCGGCCCGCAAACAGAAGAATAAGTTAAGGCAGTGGAGTTATAAAATACAGTGAAACCTCCGAAGCATAATAATTATTAGTACAAATACCATGTACGTTCTCTTCTAGTCATTTAAATTTGCCCTCGTTATCTTTACCGCAGTGTTCAACTATCTTTTGAAGGCGAAGTAGGGTTATAACAGAATTCTTTAGTCTAGCTTTCTCCTCATATTCTCTCTATTTTTTTTAAAGTAAATAACAGTTAAATATGCTGTCTTGTTACGATAAGCCATTGAGCACTCAACCCGTTATAAGGTCTGTTAACCCTATCATATCAGGTCTTTTTTTTTGCATCTTGCGACAGGGGATGGCCTCCTGGAGCCCCCTTCTATAACATAAAAATCGCTGGTGGTACAGCCACCAAATGAACTCATCACATTTCCATGGCCACCATCTAAGCATAACTTGATTGACACAATGACGTAATTTAATGCCATTATTACGTCATTTTGTTGAACAAATTATTGGCAGAATGAAAAATTCCATAAATTTTTCCTCTCAAAATGAAAATTACTTAAATAGTAAGGCATGTGACAAGATCAAGACGTTGGCTGACACATTAGTTATCTTTAACAACAGCAGTGATACCATGATGACGTCATTTATTAGAAGAATCTTGAATCATCCACCATCTTTGATCCGCCATTTTGAATCAATTATTAATAAATATCTTCAATCTTGCTTAAAACCCGTATAAATCGAGGTAATCGGGGGTAAATATTGATGTGTATAAGAAGGATGCTTAGAAAGTAAGAAAATCTACAAGTTGTGAAATTTCGAGAGAAGTTAACACTGTTAAGAACTAAACCTAATATTTGTCATTGGGACATTTTAATTTTATGTTTTTTCTCAAATCTGTCACTACAAGCCTGGATTACTCTAAACGTGATAATAAATTTGATAAATGTATTTGTAACTTAAGTGTAATGCTATAATTCATTAAGTAAAAATAGAAATAGAGACTTTTTTATTTTCTTAAAACAAGAAAAGTTTGTAGCTATTGTAGCCAATAGTGTTTTTTGAAATAGTCCTTCACTGTATCGTACGTGAGATCAACAATTTCATTTCCTAGTATATTTAGTTAGGATCATAGTAATGACACGCAATTTAAGCACTCATCAAAAAAAGACTATGGCAAAATACGGTTTGACATCCTGCTCTGACCACGTCCAACCGACTAATTAACATAATATTCTGTGCTCAATTTACTAATTAAAATATGAACAGTACAAAGACCTTCAAAAGGACGATGAAATCTTGTCATAAATCCCACGTGATGCTTACTACAACATGACCGTATTTTTTTAGTATGCTTTAGTATCTGTACTATTTAAGGGGATATTACGGTTGTTTTTCTTTTTTTTGAGGAAATGATGTTGATTTGGGAAGGAAACAAATAAGGGTAGAAAAAGTATACACATAAACCAGTTAGTCCCCTAAAAGGATCAAAGGCAGCTTGTGGTGGTGTGGACTGTCTGGTGTTTGTCTACTAATTATTCACCTCATATCTTAATTTTTAACGACCCCCAAATCTAATAACTTCCAATTTTCCCAAAATTTTAAAAATCCCCCTATAATATTTAGACATTTAAAACATTCGAAACACTGATCATCCGAAAATCCTCAAAAAATAATTGAATTAAGGACTCCAACGCCGAGTCGTTTTTTAATTGAATGAAATCTTGGCTAGATATTTAAGAAAAAGGTGGGAGTCAACGAAAAATAATGCTTTTAACCAGACTGCCCCCTAAATATTCCAATTTTGTTAAAATGCAGATCAATTCAGTGAAATAATGCTCTTTAAACAGCTGCTATGTTTGACCCGAATCTTCATTGATTAACAAAATTTTACAGTACGTTATCCTACCTGACATGTACTAATTGTTTGAAAAAAATACTGAAAATTCCATCTTGTTTTTAAATTATGAATTATGTTTTATGTTTTTGGTACCAGTAGGCTGACCCGAATTTTTCATCAGAGATATCAGCACTGTACTAACATTAAAAACTCAGTGTTTACTTTTCCATAAAGATCGAAATAAATCTCCCCGATGTGACAGTTACATTTGAGTTATGGCATCATTTTCACATAGAGTCCTGATTTTTGTCCATTTTAATCATTAATTGAAAGAAATTGTGTCTATTAAGACATTCTCTTTGTGAGCTGAGATTAATTTCCGTGGTAACAAAGAAGACTTATTACGTACTTAGAGGAGTACTTTTTCCGTCAATTTTTCGCTGTATTCAGATAGTCCTCCTCGCTTGACTTTCCAAACATAGTTCGTCTTTCCGGTTGAAGGCTTGAGCATGAAAATGACGAGGATTATCTTACAGCTTTGCGAAACTTCTTATTTGTTGTTTAAAAGCCAGGGGTTACACAATTTTTAAGGTGATCGAGTCTACATTACTTTCTATATATTTTAGCCTCGTTACCCAAAATATTGAAAGCACAATGAGATTGAAGATAATAATTGACTTACTCGTCGATGAACAATAATGTTTACAAAATTTCTTATTGTTTCATTGCTTTATTAACGCTGTACGAAATCTTTGGCTCCGAGATCGGGCTTCCATCCGCGATATACCCTTACTACCCGACGTCTAGTTCGTGAACACAACATAGCACATAACCTAATAAGATAAACAGAAAACGTTTCTGATTGTCTCTTTAACTGCTTTCCTTACCTCTCTGATCCTCCAACAATAAAGAAAGGGGTTTAATGACGAGTTTGCTAAAACAAAAGAGAGTGTAATATCCCCTGCGAGGTAAAGCGAGGAAGTTATCTCACTTTTTTCAGGCGACTCAGGCCTTAAGGCCATAGCTATACCAAAAGGCAGATAACAAACAACCAATGTTACCTGCACCCACAGTGAATTGTAGACTGCCTTTCTGTATCGAGCTATATTCAGTGGAATTGTCTGGTTCCGTTTTCCTTGAAAAGCACCGTCTTGAACTTGAAATTGCCTTTGTCGTAAGGTAAAGAAAATTTTAGCATAACACAGACTTGAGATGACCACACATAGTAATATAGTTAGAAACGAAGACCAGCCAAGTATTAGAGAATCCAAAGCGTAGGTTGCTGCGCCAATGAGAGCTGAGAAAACCCACATAAAAAATACACTTATATGTGCTTTTCTCATAGTTACAATATGTCTGTATCTGAGCCCCAATATAAGGGCAAGAAGCCTGTCCACGCTTATGGCAGTCGATGTGAACAAAGACACTGAACACAAAATGGTGCCAGTGATTTGACTTGCGTCATCTGTGTAATAGCAAATATCCCATCTCTCTGTTACGACGGACATCAAATAAGCAACAAACAGGGGCTCCGCAATGATACCAACACATAGATCAGTTTGCGCTAGGTTACGTAACAGGAGTTTGGACGGCTTATTGAGTGAAGTCCTCTTGTGCAGGGCAACTAGAATTAGAGTGTTCCCCAGAAATGCAGTTATAGACAGAAAAATATTTAGCACTGAAACAAATATAAGCTCACCGAGTCTTTCCTCCTTAAGTTTTTCTGAGCAGTACAGTTCTCCAACTGTTTTCCGACTTTCCTCTCCGGTAAAATTTTTTTCCATTGCCATCCTTATTCTGCAATGCGACCTTGGACCATAAGTCTGGCGATAAACTTTATTTCTTCTTGAAGGTTATTCAAATTTAATTTAAATTATTACCGCGGATATTGTGTTTATCAAAAAAGGTCAACTTAATTACCAATCATCATGATTCATCTGTTCGTAGTCGAACGAATTCGGCATTGTACATTATTTAATATGTCCGGTGAATTTTGATTAATAGACACAGGGGAAAATAAACATTGCTATGACATTCTTCTCACGAACATAGCTTCTTTCATATAGTTATAAGATACTAATTATCCAACAACGCAGGTTAATTTTAATTTTTAGTATTCTTCTCAGGAAAGCAACAGATGGTACTAATCATCAAAGAATGGATGTCAATATTGATGATAAGACTAATAATCCTGAGTTTCGATGGGTTCTTTCCGGCTATAGTTTCCTTCGTGATGTGATAAGTGACTATTAAATCGTCTTCTGGTCATTCTTACAAAATTACATAATTATACAAGATTTATCTAAATTTTTCTTTTATTTTTCCTTTAGCTCATTTACTCTAGGGACCGGGCTACTACCTTCCAAAGAAAATTAATTGATATAGCAGAGAAAACCGAGAAGTTTTGTTACAAATTAAGTACTTTGAAACTTTCGTAGAAAGTCGGTAACTTTAACTGTAACATGTAAAGCCTGGGCCATCGGGCGAGTAAGAAAAAGATCTGCATGCAAATTTTTATAACATAATAATCTTCATGTCCGTCATGCAAAGTTGACAGCTATGAAGGGCCGCGGGGGACGGTTCTATTAGCTATGATCGAATAAATTCAAAAGGCAAAATTTTGTTTGTGCTACATTTTTTTAAAAGCTTTATTTCTCGGCTGTTTTAGAGGCTATTTTGATAAAATTTTACCCAGACATTGTATGATGATGGAAGTTTAGGCGAATTATTTTTTATTTGGTAGATGGCGCTTTAGGGGAATGCTTTAAGCCACACTGTTTTACCAAAAAAGGACATCGTGATCTTGTGTCCAACTTTGTGGAAATAATGGAAGACAGCATTCTGTGATTTTGAATAAATGATCGGTCAAAACCCCTAGTGTGTCATGTATAAGGCGGATTTCACAATTTAAAGTTAATTGCCAGCAAGATATAATCGTTTAAATGAGCAAAATCTGTCATCTCTGAAATTAACGCCTCATACTTTTTAGAATTGCGCTCTATTCATGACAGACTACAGTCTACCAAGTTTACCTCCTACAGTGCCAGCTCGTGATATCTTGTACCTGCGCTGAAAGTTTCAAAATTGTCGGAAGTCAAATTATGAGTCTCCCGAACGCGTCCCGACTAACTTGATACGAGTTCCGAGCAAGATACGTAATTATGGTTAATTTCATTCTACGCTTAAATTTTGTGAAAAAGCTGCAATGTTTTCAAAGATTTTTCGGAAGAAAAGAACGTACGAGAGTTTTGGTATCAAATTTGGTTGAAATTTTTAAAGAGCCCCTTATCTTTTATTGTTTTAAAAATCATTGCTGGAAAACAAGGTTTACAACCAATCAAAGCCCGCGGTGTGTTACTTTTTGAATACAGCTATTTAGAGAAAGATTGTCGAAAAAAAGTGTGCACGCGACAATCCCAAAAGGTAATATGGGATCTGACACTATAAAATAGCTGTCGAAGCTACTTTTGCTGCTTTCCTTTAGCACTCGCAAACATACGTCCATGGCCTCTCGTGCCATTCTTTCAAATTTCTTTGAAGGAACAATGAACTCAAAACTACCCACAATACCTTTCGGTATAGTCTCAAGCACTTTACCCGACAACCTTTCTTGAAATAGCTGTAAACATTTTGTTCACAGTCTCGGTGCCACTCGTGCATAAATTATGCGCTCATATTTTACCCAGTTATGAATATCTCGTAAACCTTTCTATATCAGTCGTTGTACTTCGTGTACATGGTTTTAAATCAATGCATCACAAATTAAAGCATCACAATAAGCCCAAGGTGTCCCCAGCGACCCTAAGACTCTCTATATATTTGGAAACCTTTCAAGGTGCTTATAAATAAACTTCAACATTGTATAGTTTAGTAAGTATTTGAAATTGGCTTTCCTGGCCCAGTCTGCGATCAAATCCCATGACCCTTGCTCGAGCCTGGCACGATCGCTACCTTTCCCCTTGTATTCTCTCAGGAGCCCTTCAAATATGATGGGTTCCTGATGTTCTCTAATTGTTTTACAAGCAATACAGTTATATTAAGGTTTTCCTCCATCTTACAACGATTACCCATCACGTACTTTTAATACCGTTATTAGTTCTACAAAATATGCTTCAAAATTTGGTTAATCAATGCAGGTGATTACGTGATTAAGTGCAGATAATGTTAAATTACTGATCATGAGCATGGGAGAATTTCTTAGAGTAAACGAACAAAGTTTGAAGAAAACAAGTGTTTAATGGTTCTTCGTCGTATCATACGTGATAACATAAACACTTTCCTTTGGGAATATTTTTAGTTAGAATCATAGTAATGACACATAATTTAAGCACTTATCAAAAAACTATGGTAACGGTTTGACGGGCTGTTCTACCCTTTCCCCACCCAGAAAATTAACATAATATTCTCTGAGTGCTAGTCAATCGATATACAGTACAAAGGCCTACAAGAACCGATGAAGTCTTTTCATATAATGTCATGTGATACTACCACTTGGCTGTACTCCGAGGGTCGCCGGTTAATGGAGGTTCAACTGTATTGCGTAAAAATGGTTCAATTTCCTTAGAGTAAACAGGCAGAGTTTGTAGCCAGACATTAGCGTTGAATAGTTTTTCATTGTACCGTACGTGAGATAAGCAAATTATTTCTTACTATTTGTGTTTGTTAGATCATCGTGATGACAAAAACCCTGATTTGCGCTGGAAAATTAAGCAGTCATCAAATTACATATTCTCTGTTACTATAGCAACGGTTTGATGTGTTATCAGAGGATTGGTGTGTTATTCGATTGTATTAGCTTCAACTGAAATCAAAATCTGACCAATATCAGTGATTGCGCTTATAATATCTTATTAGGAAGAAAATTCTAGCTAGCTTTTCTTCCCGACTGATGATTTAGAAACAAACTGAAATCAGTTAAGTATATTAATGTTGAACTAACTTAATGAAGAGAAAAGTTGTCTGATTGTGTCTTTAACAGCTTGCCTTACTTCTCTGATCTTCCAGCAATAAATGAACGGGTTTAATGATGAGTTTAGTAGAAGTAAAGTGAGCGTCATGAGGTAAACCGACAAAGAAATCTCTGGTATAGTTGTCGCAATTCCAAACGGCAGATAACAAACAACCAATGTTACCTGCACCCATAATGCACTGTACACTGCCTTTCTGTATCGAGCTAGGTTCAGTGGAACCTTTATAACTTCAGTTGGTCCTTGAAAAGCGCTATCTTCGAGACGTATTTTTCTTCGTCGTAGTACAACGAAAATTTTAGTGTAACACAGACTTGAGATGACTACACATAGAGATATTGTTATAAACATTGACCAGTCGAGTATAACAGTGTCCAAAGAGTAGATTGTTGCACCAGCAACAACGGACAAAACCCACATAACAATTACACTTATATACGCGTTTCTCAAAGTCGCAACTCGTCTGTATCTGAGGCCCAACCACAGGGCGAGAAGTCTGTCCACGCTTATTGCAGTCAATGTGAACAAAGACACTGAACACAAAATGGCCCCAATGGCTAAACCTACGTAGTCTAGTTCGTAGCAAATATCCCATCTTTGTTTTACCAAAGACATCAAATAAGCAACCAACAGAGGCTCCGCAATGATACCAACACAGAGATCAGTTATCGCTAAGTTTCGAAACAGGAGTTTGGACGGTGGATGAAGTGAATTTTCTTTGGGTAGAGCAACTAGGATCAGAGTGTTCCCCAGAAATGTGGTGACAGACAGTAAAATATTTAGTACTGAAAGAAAGATAAGTTCGCCGAATATTTTCCTTGTAAGTTCCTCTGAGTAATAGAACAGTTCTCCCACTGTTTGCTGGCGTTCATCTTTTGTAAAATTTTTTGGTATTGCCATCTTCAAATCTTCAATGCTCTCCCGAACACAAAACTGTAGTGTTGAATTCATTCACATTTATTTAATTTCTTCTCCGGTTCAGCCTATCTAACTTTATTTAAATTCTTACGAGGGATATTGACAGCGTTTCCTCAATAAACTCGATTTTATTACCAATTCACCTTTTTTTGAAAATGTTAGTTTTAATCTCCGGAAAAATTTTGACTGCGCACTATAAGCAGAAGACAATAATATCGTTATTCAAATGGTTAATTTCAAACAAATTTTCCTTCAGTCATTGTTACAAGTTATTTGTTGTCCATTATTAACGCACGTTTTGATGTTTACATGTAGCTCTTTTCTTGCGAAAAAAAACATATGGCACTTATTATCAAAAACTGGATGTCAGTTAATATTGATGACAGTGCTAATATCCCAGAGTTTTAATTGGTTTATCTTCGATGGTATATGAAAAGCGAACATTAAATTGTCTCCTGGTCAAAATTAATTAACCGTATTACAATTTCTTGCCTTCTTCTTCGTTTCGACGATACACATCTCGTTTGCCGATTCTCATTATCAAAAGCGCTGACGCATGCTCGGAAACTAGCTGTCAGTTATTATTGATATGGCTTTGGTTTCACTGGTTTTACAACCTGCCAGAGAGATGTAGTCACACGCATAAAAAAACCCAGTTGTTTTTTGTGATTTTTATTCAAGCCCTATTGCGGTGAAAAAAAAAACATAAAGAAAGTGTATATCATTAAAGAGGCAGCGTTAAATTGGCAAGTTTCCCCAACGGCCCTGGGACGAGAGCCTTCTTTGTTAGCATGATTGCGAGAATGCGGGTCAACTTCTTGGCGAAAACAAAAAAAAAATAGACCTTGTCACGGCTTTCGACGCCATCTTGACGAGTAGGCAAACGCGTAAGAAATTACAGTGGTTGTATCAGAAATGAATTTAATGTTGAATAATTTCCGTAAAACGGCTGATGTGAAAAAAATATATATGAATTGTAAACTAAAGCTTCACTCCTAAGAATTCTACTGAAAAAATTGAGGGCGTTACATGCGGTAGAAGACCTAAAACCACTTTTGAAAATTTCCTATGCGTTTTTCTGTAAGAAAGTCCCGGGAAAAATTACAGACAAACAAAGGTATGGAAAATAAAGTAAGGTTCTGGAGAAATTTAAGCACAAGTACGCTCCCAAAATATTTTTGGACAATTCTTTGCTTTGTAGCCTAAGTTTACTTAGCCTAAAGTGATATTAAAAATTTGTTAAAATGTCAATATTCGGTTCCCTGTAATTAAGTTTAATTTCAGCTTCTTATTATTTTATTTTACTCGTGTGTTAGCAGTCTAATTGAGTTTAAACTGCCTAATATTATCATCTGTGTCTCATCTGTGTATGAAAGTTCATTTTTTTCTCGTGTGCATGACTGAATATTTGATAAACAATAAAAGCTAAACGTATAAATAAACTTATACCTTTCACGCCTTCTTTGTTCATTCCCGGATTTAACTTCGTTACAGTGCAATGAATGTATGCAGAACTTCAGCCCCATCCTGATAGATATTTATCCACCGAACGCACTATACTTGTTCGGTTTATTTCAATTACACAAGATTTTTCACCCGCAATGTTAGAAAATGTCAATTGAAAGGTAGGTGTTTTAACTCAATTAACAGCATTTTTTCGAAAACTACGTCCATTTCAATGAAAGTTATCCTTAAAGATGTTATAGCGATCACTGAAAGTAAACATGAAAATGAATTCAGGGTTTTACCATGTTTTGAGGATTTTCATCATTGATTGAGGAATAAAAAACAGAACGAAATTGGAGATAATAATAGAATAACTCGATGAACGAAAATGTTTTCTTTATTTATTTAGCTGTATTTATTTAAACTCACAATTTTCAGCTCGGGGATCCATGCAATATCTAAGCTTCTCTACCCGAATGATGAATTACTGAAACAAATTGAAATTAAGCATATTGATATACTGATTGACTAACTCAATGAACAGAAGAGTTCTCTGATTGTGTCTTTCACCGCTTTCCTTACTTCACTGATCTTCCAGCAGTAAATGAACGGGTTTAATGACGAGTTTAATTGAATTAAAGTTAGCGCAATGAGGTATACCAAGAAAAAAATCTCACCAGCTTTGGCAAAAAAGTTGTCACTATACCAAACGGTAGATAACAAACAACCAATGTTAACTGCACCCACAGTGCACTGTGCACTGCCTTTCTGTATCGAGCTAGGTACAGTGGTATTGCCCGTTTTACTTGTCCTTGAACGTGTATTTGGCTTCGTCGTAATGCAAAGAAAATTTTAGTATAACAGAGACCTAAGATGCATACACATATACATATTGCTGTAAACCTCGACCTGTCAAGTATAGGGGTCTGATCCAAATAGTAGAATGCTACGCCAATAAGAACGGACAAAACCCACATAACAATTACACTTAAATACGCTTTTCTCAAAGTCGCAACTTGTCTGTATCTAAGGCCCAACGACAGGGCGAGAAGTCTGTCCACGCTTATTGCAGTCAATGTGAACAAAGACACTGAGCACAAAATGGCTCCAATGACAAAATCTGCAAAGTGTAGGTAGTGGCTAATATCCCATCTTTGTTTTACCAAAGACATCAAATAAGCAACCAACAGAGGCTCCGCAATGATACCAACACAGAGATCAGTTATCGCCAGGTTACGAAACAGGAGTTTGGACGGCGAATGAAGTGAAGTTTCTTTGCTCAGAGCAACTAGGATCAGAGTGTTCCCCAGAAATGCAGTAATGGACAAAAAAATATTTAGCACTGAAAGGAAGATAAGTTCGCCGTATATTTTTTCCGTTACTTCCTCTGAGTGATACAGTTCTGCAAATGTTTTACGGCTTTCATCTTCTGAAAAATTTGTTTGCATTGCCATTTTAATCTAAAATGCTATCCTCAATACAAAGTGTAGTGCACGTTCATCAACATTTAAATTTTCTCTCTTGCGCAACCGATTCAAATGTATTAAAATTCTTACTGGGATATTGTATATCCCCAATAAACTCAACGTAATAACCAATTCATATTTTTATAAGTGACGTTCACTATATGCAAATATACGTTTGTAATCTCTAGTATACATTTTGACGGTTTGCTGCCGACAGGAACAAATGTTTCTAATGATCTCAAATAAAATTCCTTCGTTCATATTTACAAGATACTTGTTGTCAAGTAATAACGAACGATTTAATTTCTAGCTCTCATCTTGAAAAAGCGACATGTGCTTCTTATCATCAAAAAATGGATGTCACTATATGGATGATATTGCAGCGCCTGATATTGCTAAAATTCTAGAGTTTTGATTGGTTTCTCGGCCACGGAATGCGAAAGCGAACATCTAATTGTCCTCTGGTCATCCTCACAATTTAATTAACACTATTCAGAAGAACAACGAGAAACAGAGTACGTGTTCCCCAGAAATGCAGTAATGGACAAAAAAATATTTAGCACTAAAACAAAGATGAGCTCGCCGAGTCTTTCCCCCTTTAGTTCTTTTGAGCAATACAGATCTCCAACGGTTTTCTAACTTTCGTTTCCGGTAAATTTTTTTTCTATTGTCATCCTTCTGCAATGCGAGCTTGGACACCTCGGGCGATAAACATCTAATTCTTCTCGCAGGCTATTCATGACAAATTTATTTAAATTCTTAGCGAGGATATTGTGATTATCAAATTAACTCTATCTCTAATTCATCTTTGAAGGTTACGTTTTCAGCATAATAGGTTCTTAACGTGCTTTAATTTCACCACCAACAAAAATAGTTTCTTCCATAAAGTTATAAGATATTAATTGTCCAACAATGTTGGTACACGTTTATTTTCATTTTTATCTTTCGCCTCAAGGAACTTAAACATGGTACGGTACTAATTATCGCAAACTGCATGTCAATATTGATGACTTAATAGATTACTAATCTAGAGATTTGAGTCGTCCTATGAGGCTGATCGCTTAGTTCGTAAAACGGATAAGTGGCTATCTGATCTTCTTCTGGTAAATCTTACAAAATTAAATCAGCAAAAGTCATCTTTTTTTTCTTTTTGTTTCTTTAAGACCGGGCTACTGTCCGCTGGAGAAAAATAGTTATCTGGAGAAAAAATCTAGTAATTTTGTCACAAATTAAGCCCTTAATGTTTCATAGAGATAACCTTACGGTAACTTCAATTGTACCCGGTAATTAACTTTTGCCGTCGGCCAAAGGACCCCTGCTAATGGAAAGGCTGTAGGAACTGAGAGATTGTAAGCAAATTTTAAAACACCTATTGTGAAACTCATTGTTTTATTATTCGTCAAATTCAGGACCTATCAATAGGTGGTGATCATTATCATATTCATTATTATTATTATTATTATTATTATTATTATTATTATCATTTTCTTTCTTTTTTTATTTATTTATTTATTTATTTATTTATTTATTTATTTTTGTGGAGCGTCCGCGCCCGCACAGTGGAGCCCCATACCTAATTAGTCTTGCTTGCGTAAGCAGCGCGACTCATAATCTGCAAAGCGTTTTCCGCCCCGGGGGGTACTCCCTTATACAAGACAGCAAGACAGCTTTTAATCCGGGAAATTGCAGTGGTAAGTTCTACGCCATCATTACAACTGAAGGTGGTTTTTCAGTTTGAGTATTATCAGCATATAGATGAAACTTCATATCATGCCATCGTCTTAGGTCATCACCCAGTGAGGCCGTGTATAAGAGATATAGCAATGGTCCCAACACGGACTCCTGGGGTACACCACATCTGAGCGGGTGATCTGAAGAAGTAGAACCATCAATCTGAACTAACTGAGAAGGATCTGTAAGATAAGACTGAAGTCACGCAAGCGCAAACTTAGATCCCAGTCTATGTAATAAGATCTCATGATCGACGGTGTCGCCGGAAAGCTGCCGATAGTCAAGCAGTAAAAGAACGACACATTGTTTATTATCAACTGATTTGAACTCGTAAAAGCGCTGTCTCACAACTTTGCTCTTTCTTGTAAGCAGATTGAAGTTTATTATCACACAAATAATAATTCGACAGACGCCTATGGCTGCAACATTTTCAATAACCTTAGACAAAAACTTCAAGCATACAGGTCTAAGTTAGAAAAGATTTCAAAGTCCAGAGACTGTTTCTTTAGCAGAGATAATACTACCTTCTTCATGGAACTTGGCATTGAAGCTGAATCGAATGAGAGGTTTACAGCCCCCTGCTCTTTTGATAATAGGTTAGGTAATAATTCAGTGCTTTGGCTCTAACTATAATATTTCAATTCGCCATCATTATTTTTTTCCCAAGCAAGCGTTCAACTTCCGTTAAAGATATTGCGAGGTAGGGTTATAACAGACTTCTCTAGTCGTTTCCAGTTTATGTGAAATTCACAGCAGCTGAATTTGGTCCTTATCAAGGTATTTTTATAAGTTTATGGTGCATGATTAGAAATCACTATAATAAGATATCTGAGAATCCATGTCAGTTTGAAGAAAACTCTAAGCCTCATTATTTACACTTTCGAAGAAAAAAAACTGAAGACCGTTTTTTTAGAAACCTTTCAAGGTGCTACTAAATGAATCTGAACATCTTAGTAAGTATTTGGAATTGGCTTTATTGGCCCAGCCTGCGATCAAATCCCAAGAATAGAGTGACCCTTGCTGACCTAATGCGATTGCTACCTTTTCTCTTATATTCTGAATCTCTCTTAGACTAGTTATTGTACAAGCGAATTACTCACAGTTATTCCACCATCTTGCCACGATTACCCATCACGCACTTAATACCGTTATTAGGTCTATAAAATATGCTTGAAAATTTCGTTGTTTAGTGCAAGTGATCACGTGATTGAGGGCAGTAAATTTTGAATTACTGATCATGACCATGGGTGAATTTCTTAAGAATAAACGAGCAAGGTTAGAAGCAAACAAGTGTTAAATGGTTCTTCGCCGTATCATACGTAACAATTTCCTTTCGAAATATAATTGGTTAGGACGGGAGCCGATGGTTAGGATCATCGTAATGACACATGATTTAAGCACTCATCAAAGAGCTATGGCAACGGTTTGACGCGCTATTCTTCCCTTCCCCCACACAATATTAAATTAACATGACAATATTCGCTGAGTATTAATCAATCGATATACATGTACCGTACAAAGACCTTCAAGATCGAGACGATGAAATCTTTCCATAAAATGTCAGTGATACTTAGTCAAGCAATTTGTCTTTCAGTTAGTTTCTCTGTAGTTTTTGTTGGTACGCTACGCTGAGTGTTTATTTTGTTAAAATAGAGGTCAAGTTGAATCGAAGTTCTTTGAACACCTGCTAAACGTGACCTGAATTTTCATTAATTTATAAAATCGTACACTGAAAGAAAAAATTTCAACAAATTCCATATTATTTTTAAATATGTCCATTATGTTTTTGTTTCGGCTATCAGTAAGCTGACACGACTTTTTCAACAAGACTCCTCCAGCCACTGAAAGCAACATTTAAATTTTGTTTATGACATATTTTTGACATCTACACCTGATTTTATGGCCTATTTTAGGAAATGATTGAAATTAAGAAAATGTGCTTAACAGGTAGTTCTCTTTGCGAGTTGAATTTTGGGACGACACAGTTATTACAAAAATAAGGCCATCGAGTCTTCATCTAGTTTCTATATTTGGTTAAGCCTTATTAACTTACTTAGTAAGAGCACAACAACATTGAAGATAATATTTGACTGACTCGATGAAGAAGCATGTTTTACGAAATTTGTTATTGTTTTACTAGTTTTTAAATAACGTTTAAAAGCAGTTTTCGGCTCAAAGGTCGAATTACCTTAATTCTACGATGACTTAAGCCTTTGACCGCCGACTAATAAATGACATGAATTACAACCAAATTGAAATTAATAATACAATAATAAGCTAATTCGATGAACATAAAAGGTGTCTGATTGTCTCTTTAACTGCTTTCCTTACCTCTCTGATCCTCCAACAATAAAGAAAGGGGTTTAATGACGAGTTTGCTAAAACAAAAGAGAGTGTAATATCCCCTGCGAGGTAAACTGAGGAAGTTATCTCACTTTTGTCAGGCGACTCAGGCCTTATTAAGGCCATAAGCATACCAAATGGCAGATAACAAACAACCAATGTTACTTGCACCCAGACTGCACTGTACACTGCCTCTCTGTATCGAGCTATATTCAGTGGAATTTTCTGGCTCCGCTCTCCTTGAAAAGCGCCGTTATGAACACAAAATTGCCTTTTTCGTAATGTAAAGAAAATTTTAGCATAACACAGACTGGAGATGACTACACATAGAGAAATAGTTATAAAAGTAGACCAGCCCAGTATAAGGAAATGAAAAGAGTAGTTTGCTGCGCCAATGAAAGCGGAGAGAATCCACATTATAATTACACTTATATACGCTTTTCTCGTAGTCACAATATGTTTGTATCTAAGGCCCAACAACAAGGCGAGGAGTCTGTCCACGCTTATTGCAGTTAATGTTAATAAAGACACTCCACACAAAATGATACCAGAGATCAGATTTGCGGAATCTGCGTAATAGCAAATATCCCATCTCTCTGTTACGACGGACATCAAATAAGCAACAAACAGAGGCTCCGCAATGATACCAACACATAGATCAGTTACCGCCAGGTTACGAAACAGGAGTTTAGACGGCTTATTAAGTGAAGTCCTCTTGTGAAGAGCAACCAGGATCAGAATGTTTCCCAGAAATGCAGTAGTGGACAGAAAAATATTTAGCACTTAAACAAATATAAATTCGCTGAGTCTTCCCCCCTTAAGTTCTTCTGAGCAATACTGTTCTCCAACTGTTTTCTGACTTTCCTCTCCGGTAAAATTGTTTTCTGCTAGCTTCATTTTTCTGAAATGCGAACTTGGACCACAAACCGGCCCTAAACATTGATCTTATTTCTTCTCGCAGGCTATCCAAGTTTATTTAAATTACCGAGGATATGATATTATGATTATCAAATTAACTCAATTACTAATTCATCTTTGCGCAGTTGCGTTTTCGACATAAAATGTTCTTAACATGCTTCATCACCAACAAAAATAGGTTCTTTCAAAAATGTATTTTAAAATTGTCCAACAATGTAGGTGCACGTTTCAATTTTTAGCTCTCTTCTCAGGGAAGTTAATCACAAACTGCATGTCAATATTGAAGACCTAATACATTACTAATCTAGAGATTTGATTGGTCCCATGAGGCTATTATGGCTTAGTATACGTAATACGAAAAGTGACTATCTGATCTTCTTCGTCATTCTTACAAAATTAAATCAGCAAAATGTACCTTTTTTTCTTTTGTTTCGGTCCGCTGAAGAAAAAAGTTATCAGGACGAAAAATCGAGCAATTTTGTCACAAAATAAGCCCTTAACTTTCATAGAAATAACGGTCACTTAAATTGTGAAAGGTAATTAGCCATTGCCGTCGGCCAAACGACTTATTACGATCCCTGCTAATGGAAAGGCTGTAAGAACTGAGAGAGTGTAATTAAGCAAATTTTATTACGCCATTGTAAATTAATAATGTTATAATTCGTCAAATTTAGGACCATCAACAGGTACCGTGCCATTACAGTCATAATTATATTTTTAGTGGAGGAGGGTCCGCGCGCGCAGTGGAGCCTCATACCCAAAAGAAAATGGAAACCTATCGATGACAGAAAATTTGGTTATGACGTCAGCGTAAGAAGGCCCACCCGTACAGACTCTGTTAGTAGGAGTAAAAAAACTCTGATTGAAGTTTCCTGTGTTCGGCTTAGCACACACACACACACACACGCACTCCGCTTGGGCGCAATTTTGACAGGTGAATTTATGCATGAAAACTTATTCACGTAAAGAAAAGAAGCAAGGCTGATTTTTCAGTCGGGAATATGCATATTTTTACCAATATTTCGGAAGGCACGGCCTTCCTTCTTCAGGGTGTTACATACAGTAATGGGGTTAACCTAAGACTTCACAATTTGAAATAAAGAACGGCATGCAATATGATACTATAATTACGTGTGAAAATTTAAATAAGAAAAAAGTGAACGTTAAGGAAAACAAAAACCGTTGAAGTAGATGAAAGAAATTAGAAATGAAAAAATAGTATGAAATAAATGATAGCAAACAAAAGTAATAAAGTTGTATTACATTTCATCTTTCTTATTGATACCAGAAGATTCACGAGTTTTACCTCTTTCGATGAGGTATGCTTCTCTAGCTTTTCGTACACTGTCTTTATTAGATTTAATGAGTGATCATTACTAAGAAGGTGTTCTGAGACTGTGGCATCTAGAAATTTGTGGCATCTAGAAACTTGCCGGGAAGCATTTTTTCATTTCAGTTTTAAAATTATCCTGTCATTGTACTGCCGCCACAAAAATGGAAAACAACTACTATCAAGTTTCATCTTCTGTTTTTTCAACTGAATTGTTGATCTGGTTTTTCGCTGAGGAAAGTGCCGTAAAAGGATTCATCGATGGCTGCGTTTATGTCACTTCATGCAGGCTATTACGGAGGACTACAGGAAAAATCTTTTAGCATTTCAAATTTTTAAATATTCGTGTTCTTCTTCTACGGCCGCCACAAATGAAATACAGCTGCTATCAAGATTCTTCCGTTATTCAAAGATGGTTTGTTTATTTGGTTTTTGGGCTGAGGATAGCTTCGACAGGGAATTCAACTAAAGTGAAAGTTGAACATGGAGATAATAATCGAAGAACGCGATGAACGAAAATGTTTTACCAAATTTCTTTTTCTTTCTGTTTCTTTTTTCAGTTGTTTTTATAACACACAATTTTCAGCGCGGGGATCCATGTAATATCCAAGCTTCTCTAACAGACTGATGAATTAGAAACAAATTGAAATTAAGCATATTGATATACTGATTGACTAACTCTATGAACAGAAGAGTTCTCTGATTGTGTCTTTCACAGCTTTCCTTACTTCAGTGATCTTCCAGCAGTAAATGAAAGGGTTTAGTGTCGAGTTTAATTGAAGTAAAGTGAGCGTAATGAGGTAAACCAAGAAAAAAATCTCACCACCTTTAGGTAAAAAAGTTATCGCTATACCAAACGGTAGATAACAAACAACCAATGTTACCTGTACCCACAGTGCACTGTACACTGCCTTTCTGTATCGAGCCAGGTACAGTGGTTTTGCCCGTTTTACTTGTCCTTGGACGTGTATTTGGCTTCGTCGTAATGCAAAGAAGATTTTAGTATAACAGAGACTTGAGGTGCATACGCATAGAGATATTGCTGTAAACCTCGACCAGTCGAGTATAGCAGTATCCAAATAGTAGACTACTACGCCAATAAGAACGGACAAAATCCACATAACAATTACACTTATATACGCTTTTCTCAAAGTCGCAACTTGTCTGTATCTGAGGCCCAACAACAGGGCGAGAAGTCTGTCCACGCTAATTGCAGTCAATGTGAACAAAGACACTGAACTCAAAATGGCGCCAATGATTAAACCCGCATGGTCTAGGTCGTAGCAAATATCCCATCTTTGCTTTACCAAAGACACCAAATAAGCCACAAACAGAGGTTCCATAATTATTCCAACGCAGAGATCAGTAATCGTTAAGTTACGAAACAGGAGTTTGGACGGCGAATGAAGTGAAGTTTCTTTGTGAAGAGCAACTAGGATCAGAGTGTTCCCCAGAAATGCTGTAATGGCCAAAAAAATATTCAGCACTGAAAGAGAGATAAGTTCGCCGTACATTTTCCCCGTAATCTCCGCTGAGTAATACAGTTCTGCAAATGTTTTACGGCTTTCATCTTCTGAAAAATTTTTTTGTATTGCCATCTTTAAATCTAAAATACTAGCTTGAAAACAAAGTGTTAAGTGCTCATAAACATATTAAATTTCTTCTCCGGCACAACCGGCCTATCCAAATGTATTTAAATTATTACGGGGGATATTGATTATCCACAATAAACTCAACGCAATTACCAATTCATATATTTATGAGTAACGTTTTCACTATACGTTTTGTAATCTCTAGTACATTTTGACTGCTTACTGCAGACAGGGGACAAATGTTTCCGATAATTTCAAATTAAATTCCTTCGTTCATAGTTACAAGATACTTGTTGTAAATTAACGTCAATTAATTCAACGTTAATTAATTCTTAGTTCTCTTCTTGAGAAAACGACATATGGTTCTTATTATCAAAAACTGGATGTCACTATATGGATGATATTGTTAATATTCTAGAGCTGTAATTGTTTTTTCGGCCATGGAATGTGAAAGCAAATATCTAATGGTCCTGTGGCCATCCTCACAAGAAGCGCATGAAGCCAAAAAAAAAAAGCCCAGTCTGAATAGCGTTAAATCAGCAACATTTATCGTTATTTTTTAAAAAAACAATTCCATAATACACTTTTCGTTTGCTACTTTGTCATCGTTTTATCAAAAGTGCGCTTGAAGAAATTCTCAATCCAGGTAGTTTTCTTGCAATTTTACGCCCCATTTTCGTAACTTTAATTATAGCCGTAGGAAAAAACGACCTTTAGGGGTTCCTTAACTGACAAGGAGATTTGCCGAATCTTTTTTTCCCCTTTAGATTCACTCCGGCTAGGGACCGGGCCACCGCCTTCCCGAGAAATGTAGATCATTCTATACGCAGAAAAAATCGAGAAGTTTTATCACAAATTAAGCTCTAAGTAACTTTTTTATAGAAAACATCTTATGGTTACTTTAGAAAACGACTTGTTACGGTTCCTACCAAAGGCGTATAAGAAAGAGATCTGCATGCAAATTTTAAAGCATCATTAATTGTCAACTTCATGTCCGTCAAAATTGACACCATTCAATACGTATTAAGTATTTAACACATGAAAACTAAAGGACACGTTAACTTTAATCTATAACGAGAAAATGTTTTGTAGGACAAAAAATTAAAGTTTGCGGGCAACGTCTCCGTAGTTTACTATTCCGTCGTTTTCTATTGTTGAGACCAGGTTACTTTAGTTGTTGTTAGCGGGGTGGACAACATCAATTGGTGATTTACATATGAAAATTTTTAACCGGTTTTTTTGTAGTACTCGTTAAAAAAAACTACATTTCTGTTTCTCAAGAAATACAAAATCAGAAATGATGATCTTTGTGATCAGTGTAAGAACCCTGATGTGACTGGAGCATACCTTCTTGCAATGCCCTGTAAATCTTAAATTTTATCATGAAATCTTATCATGGTTTAATGTGCCCCATAATACTCTCAGAAATCTTTCCCCTGAGCAAATTCTGATGCAGAAATATATCTCTGGTCCTATAAATGATACCTCAAACGCCGACTAGAACTACTTATCCTGTTTATTAAAATGTATGTATATTAAGTTGTAAAATTAATGTGATACCACTTAACTGTACGCAATTTATAAATAATCTAAAAACACAACGGAAATAGAAAGATTAACTTGAAGTAATCATTATCTCTTTTAGTCTTCTCACATGTAATTAACTAATAATTAAGCTAATAATGTAAATTATAAGTAATGATATTGTAAATTAGTATTACGTATGTTGATGTAAGTAAAAAAAAATTATTCGCCGTCCAAACTCTTAATCATCCTATCGTGAAATTTGGCACTTGAATTCTTCGGAACAGTGCAGTCTCTTATTTTTTTCTAGTTTTCAGGAATGTGTTACCTAATTTTAAAAATACGCGTTTTTTCAAGGGAGCTGTATATTGTCATATTTCACTTAACTTCTTTAGTTTGTGGATCATCGTGCGGCTTACATTTTATCAGTATCAGTATGTCAATCAAAATGTTTATAAGTGCGACTGGTAACTTTCTAGTTGGAAGCGCTTTATGATGTCAAGTTATGAACCAAGAATGAAGGATGAGAAGTTCCGTTTTATCAGTATTTACTGTATTTAGTTTCAGTTTGTTTGTATAGTCATCCAGTTAAGTTAGTGATATCAGTAAGACAGCTCTTAATCCGGGAAATTGCAGTGGTAAGTTCTAGGCCATCATTACAACTAAAGGTGGTTTTTCAGTTTGATTATTATCAGCATATAGATGAAACTTCATATCATGCCATCGTCTTAGGTCACCACCCAGTGGGGCCATGTATAAGAGATATAGCAATGGAACCAACACGGACCCCTGGGGTACACCAAATCTGAGCGGGTGAACTGAAGAAGTAGACCCATCAATCTGAACTAACTGAGAACGATCTGTAAGATAAGACTGAAGCCACGCAAGCGCCTTTCCTTTTATATCAAACTTAGATCGCAGCCTATGTATCAAGATCTTATGATCGACGGTGTGTCCGGAAAGCTGCTGATAAATCAAGCAGCAAAAGAACGACATTGTGTATTATCAACGTACTGATTTTAGTATCTCATTTTGGACTCGTAAAAGCGCGTCTCACAACTGTGCTGTTTCTTGTAAGTAGACTGAGGATCTGATCGTTATCACACAAATAATAATTCGACAGACGCCTATCGGGCTGCAACGTTTTCAATAACCTGAGACAGGTCTAAAGTTAGAAAAGGTTTCAAAGTCCAGAGACTGTTTCTTCAGCAGAGGAGACAATACTGCCTTCTTCATGGAACTTGGCATTGAAGTTGAATCGAATGAGAGGTTTACGGCTCCCATCTCTTTTGATAATAGGTAAATATTCAGTGGTACAATAGTGATATGCTTTTGGATCCTTTTGCTCTAACTATAATATTTCAATTCACCATAATTATCTTTTCCCAAGCGAGAGTTCAACTTTCGTTAAAGATATTGCAAGGTAGGGTTATAACAGACTTCTCCTTCTGGTCTTTTCTAGTATAATTAAAATTCACAGCAGCTGAATATGGTCCTTATCAAGGTATTTTTATAAGTTTATGCTGCGTTATGGCAAATCATAATAAGATATCTGAGAATTCACGTCAGTTTAAAGAAAACTCAAAGCTTCATTACACTGGCTTTCGAAAAAAAAAACTTGAGACTGTTGTTTTAGAATTCTTTCAAGGTGCCACTAAATGAATTTGAACATCTTAGCCGGGGTAAGTATTTGGGATTGCCTCTCTTGGCCCAGCCTGCGATCAAATCCCAAGAATAGTGTGACCCTTGCTAGCCTGACACGATTTCTACCTTTTCTCTTATATTCTCTCTTACACTAGTTATTGTACAAGCGAATTATACTGTACTGACAGTTATTCCACCATCTTACCACGATTAGTCATCACGCACTTAATACCGTTATAGGGCTTATAAAATATGTTTACAAATTTCGTTGCTTAATGCAAGTGATAACGTGATTGAGGGCAGTAAACTTTGAATTACTGATCATGACCATGGGTGAATTTCTTAAGAATAAACGAGCAAGGTTAGAAGCAAACAAGTGTTAAATGGTTCTTCACCGTATCATACGTAACAATTTCCTTTCGAAGTATAATTGGCTAGGACAGGACCCGATGGTTAGGATCATCGTAATGACACATGATTTGAGCACTCATCAAAGAGCTATGGCAACGGTTTGACGTGCTATTCTTCCCTTCCCCCACACAATATTAAATTAACATGATAATATTCGCTGAGTACTAATCAATCGATGTACATGTACCGTACAAAAGACCTTCAAGAGACGATGAAATCTTTCCATAAAATCTCATTTGTCTTGCAGTTAGTTTCTTTGTAATTTTTGTCGGTACGCTGTATGAAGCTGAGTGTTTACTTTGTTAAAATGCAGGTCAAGTTTAATCGATGTGCTTTGAACACCTGCTGAACGTGAACCGAATTGAAAGAAAAAATTTAGCAAATTCCACATTATTTTTAAATATGTGAGTTTTGTTTTTGTTTTTGCTATCAGTAAGCTGACTCGACTTTACCAACAAGACTGTGCTAACCATAATTTGACATTTAAATTCTTTATGACATGTTTTTGACATCTATACCTCATTTCATGGCCTATTTTAGGAAAATGATTGAAATCAACAAATCGTGCTTAACAAGTAATTCTCTTTGCGAGATGAATTTAGCTTGTGTGGTTGCAAAGACGACTTAGTACGTATTTAAAGGACAAAGATTTGTGGTATGCTAGCCAGGGGTGACACAAGTTTTACGAAAATAAGGCAATCGAGTCTTCATCTAGTTTTTATATTTGGTAAGCCTTATTAACCGACTTAGTAAGAGCACAACAAGATTAAAGATAATATTTGACTGACTCGACGAAGAAGCATGTTTTACCAAATTTGTTATGTTTATTAGTTGTTAAATAACGTTTTACGCAATTTTCGGCTCAGAGATCGAATTATCTTGATTCATTCTTCAATATACTTAAGCCTTTGACTGGCGACTAATAAACGACATGAATTACTTATACAACCAAATGGAAATTAATAATACAACAAAAAACCTAATTCGATGAACAGAAAAAGTGTCTGATTGTCTTTTTAACTGCTTTCCTTACCTCTCTGATCCTCCAACAATAAAGAAAGGGGTTTAATGATGAGTTTGCTAAAAGAAGAGAGAATGTAATATTTTCTGCGAGGTAATAAACTGAGAAAGGTATCTCACTTTTTGCAGGTGATTCAGACCCTAAGACCATAGCCATACAAAACGGCAGATAACAAACAAGCAATGTTACCAGCACCCACAGTGCAGTGTAGACTGCCTTTCTGTATCGAGCTATATTCAGTAGAACTTTCTGGTTCAGTTTTCTTTGAAAAGCACCGTCTTGAACATGAAATTGCCTTCCTCGTAATGTAAAGAAAATTTTGGCATAACACAGACTTGAGATGACTACACATAGAGAAATAATTATAAACGTAGACCAGCCGAATATAAGGGAATGAAAAGAGTAGTTTGCTGCGCCAATGGAAGCGGAGAGAATCCACATTACAATTACACTTACATAAGCTTTTCTCATTGTTACAATATGTTTGTATCTAAAGCCCAACAACAGGGCCAGGAGTCTTTCCACGCTTATTGCAGTTAATGTTAATAAAGACACTCCACACAAAATGATACCAGAGATCAGATGTGCAAAATCTGCGTAATAGCAAATATCCCATCTCTCTGTTACGACGGACATCAAATAAGCAGCAAATAGAGGCTGTGCAATGATACCAACACATAGATCAGTTACCGCTAGGTTACGAAACAGGAGATGGGCCGGCTTATTGAGTGAAGTCCTCTTGTGAAGAGCAACTAGGATCAGAATGTTTCCCAGAAATGCAGTAATGGACAGAAAAATATTTAGCACTGAAACAAATATAAGGTCGCTGAGTCTTCCCTCCTTAAGTTGTTCTGAGCAATACAGTTCTCCAACTGTTTCCTGACTTTCCTCTCCGGTAAAATTGTTTTCTAGCTTCATTTTTCTTCAATCTGAACTTGGACCACAAACTGCCCATAAACATTAATTTTATTTCTTCTCGCAGGCTATCCAAATTTATTAAAATTACCGAGGATATTGTGATTGTCAAATTAACTCAATTACAAATTCATCTTTGCGCAGCTGCGTTTTCGGCATAAAACGTTCTTAACATGCTTCATCACCAAACAAAAATAGCTTCTTTCATAAAATTATCAAGTACTTTAAAATTGTCCAACAATGCACGTACACGTTTCAATTTTTAGCTCTCTTCTCAGGGAACTTACACATGTTACGGTACTAATTATCACAAACTGCATGTCAATATTGATGACCTAATAGATTACTAATCTAAAGATTTGATTTGCCCTATGAGGTTGATGGCTCAGTCCGTAATACGGATAAGTGATTATCTGATCTTCTTCCGGTTAATCTTACAAAGTTAAATCAGCAAAATGTACCTTTTTTTTCTTTTTGTTTCTTTAAGCTTCACTCTAGAAACAGGGCTACGATCCGCTGGAGAAAAATAGTTATCGGGAGAGAAAATCGAGCAATTTTGTCACAAATTAAGCCATTAACTTTCATAGGAATAACGGTAACTTAAATTGTAACAGGTAATTAGCCCTTGCAGTCGGCCAAACGACTTGTTACGATCCCTGCTAATGGAAAGGCTGTAAGAACTGAGAGAGTGCAAGTAAATTATAATACGCCATAATTAAAAAATTAATAATTTTATTATTCGTCAGATTTAGGACCATCAATAGGTACCGTGTCATTACTGACAGTCATATTTATCATTATATTGTTAATGGAGGATCCGCGCGCAGTGGAGCCCCATACATAAAAAAAATGGAAACCTATCGATGACAGAAAATTTGGTTACGACGTCAGCGTAAGAAAGCCCACCCGTACAGACTCTATTAGTAGGATTAAGAAAACTCTGATTGAATATTTCCTGTGTTCGGTTTAGCACAAAATTTTCGGATTTTCGGAATTTTCTTGGTCACGTTTAGCACAAAATTTTCCCACCCCTACCCCTACACTCCGCCTGGTCGCAATTTTGACAGGTGAATTTTCTTGGTTAACAAAAGTTATACTTGGTCACTTCTTCTTCAGCAACAACCTGTTTTGTCTCCCCGCGTGTTTTAAATTAGACAAACAGGCCAAAAAGCAATGGTACACAGAAGATGATTTCTCAAAATCTATTCATTAAAATTTTGTGATATTTGGCAGAATTTTTCCTTTTATCGTGTTTTAAATAATGAGAACTTTAAAATGGAAGTTGAACAGACGAATTTTGTGACACATTTAATAATTACAGTTTCATTATACTATTGATTATCTAATATCCCGTCTGTTAAAATTTGGTCAAATAAGTTTCAAATGGTAATGATTAATTATAGTAAGCTGTGTGCAAGTTTACAGGAAAATCTAATGAGCGAATTTTATGTAAACTGAGCAAAAGTGAAATTTTAAGGTTGTATTCAATCGTCCATGTTGCCATGGAAACTGCGAAAACGTCAAATTTTACCCGCAATCAAAATTTTTCATCAGTATATTTTTCACTTGCCAAGTTTCAGCATGTGACCTGCAACCTTTCTCTTGCCATGATTTGGCAAATGACATATACTCACAAACTGCCAAAACTGTGTTCAGACACCTTAGGCTGAGACATTACAATTTGAAATAAAGAACAGCGTGCAATATGATACTATAATAACATGTGAAAATTTAAATAAGAAAAAAGTGAACGTTTAGGAAAACAAAAACCGTTCAAGTAGTGATATGAAAGAAATTAGAAATGAAAAAATAGTATAAATAAACTGATGATAACAAACAAAAGGAATAAAGATTGTGTTACATTTCATCTTTTTTACCTGAAACCAGAAGGTTCAAGAGTTTTACCTCTCTTGCTGAGGTATGCTTGTCTAGCTTTTCGTACATTGTCTCTATTAGATTTAATGAGCACTAGTGGAATAAGTGCGATGTCGTTAGCAGAGTGATCATTCGTAAGCAAGTGTTCTGAGACTGTGGCATCTAGAAATTTGTTTGTCGACAGACTACTTGAATTGCCGAGAAGCCTTTTTTCATTTCGGTTACCTTTTAAAATTATCCTGTTTTTGTACTGCCGCCACAAAATTAAAAACAACTACAGTAACTATTAAGTTTCATTTTCTGTTTTTTTCAAAACTGAATGTTGATTTGGTTTTTCATTGAGGAAAGAGTTGCAAAAGAATTCATCGATGGCTGCGTTTATGACAGTTCATGCAGGCTATATATTACAGCGGACTACGGAAAAAATCTTGTAACATTTGAAATTTTTAACTATTCGCGTTCTTCTACTGCCGCCACAAAATGAAATACAGCTGCTATCAAGATTCTTGCAATATTCGAAGATGGTTTGTTTATTTGGGTTTTGGGCTGAGGATAGCTTCGACACGGAATTCAACGAAAGTGAAAGTTGAACATGCAGACTTTTTACAGCAGAGCACACGGAAAAATTCCTGACCTCGGTCCCGTTTTGCAAAACTATGGAAACTGATTCTAAACACAATAATCGGCCTAATTCACCATTCGGGTAAAATCCCTTTTAGACGGAAAAATTGAGCTATAAACAGAAACTGTGAATTGGAAGCAGCCAGTTGCAAATAGTTTCGTAAATGACAACCAGCCTTTATAAAACACTACATAAAATTAAATTTAATTGAAATTTATTATAGGCTATTATTCTCAAAGGGTTGGGGCGCAGTTGGGGGTGGGTGGGTTCAATGATACTGGTGTATGGGTAAGACTTCCTTTCCAAGACTATTACTGTGATCGAATTTGATTTATAATTTTCTCTTTTTGTTTTAAAATCAGTTGTTTTAAAATCTATTTTTTTTCGTTTTATGTACTGTAACAGTGTATAAAGGGACGCTTCGCTTTTAGCCATTGCTAAATCTATTTATATTAATTGCAATAACAACATCAAGATACAAGGATACAGATCAACCCACAACTACAAAAAGGAGAATGGAGAGAAAGAAAAAACAGATAGAGATTATTTACATCATAGCACTTGTACTAATCTTCATACAATAATATTCGTCATAACTTGTATCCCTAGCGATTTTAAGCGATTACAATAACTTTCTTAGTTTCCATTGTGCTGTTCAATTGTTTTATTATAAATTGTGTACAATTGAGGGCCGTATGTCATAAATGTTACAGCCATATCATCATCATAATACTTTTTAATTTTGACAGGACGCCTAGATCTAGTTGGCGTCTGAGGTTATCATTTATAGGACTAGGGCTATTTCAGTCATATGAAAATGGATTTAAAATTTAATCTACCTGAAGATGTATTCCACTCAGTTGGTTAAGATTGGTAAGTCACATATGACAAAAACTTCAATGGGCTTTAAAGTCACACTTTTGGTCTGCACCCGGAAAAAGCAAACTCTTATGCCAGCCACAATTAAGACCGTGACGTTTATGATATATTTCGTATTGCCAATGCGTGGGGTAAGTTAAAAAAATTTCTTTGTTACGGTTTTTTTTTTCAACCTTTTGGCTGACGAAATACAAGGTATTTCCGTACCCCTCATTTGATTCCTTCGTTGTACCGATGAGGTTTTCGCGCAATGGCTAAATTTGATTTCTGGTGCATACATGCTTCAGGTAAACAAACACGTGAGATGGATACAACGTTAAAAGTAAGCGTGACCAATCACAAATGCGGAATCAGTATTTTGTCTCGATTTTCGACACGGTTTTTCGGTAGCTATAGCAACGGTTTCACACATTATAAGAAGATTCATCTTTTATTAGATTGTATTGACCTGATCGAAATCAGGATCTGATTAATATCAGTGATCGGCTTATGATATTTTAGAGGAAAAAATAATCTTGCTAGCTGTTCTATCCGACAGATCGATGATCTTTGAAACAAATTGAAATAGGTCATAATAAGTACCTTAAATAATGATGCAGGTAAAGCAGGAAGCAATTTCTTTTTGTTATGGCGAAATACGTTTTCCTCACATAGGAATATTTTTTTCATTTTCGGGTAGAGAATGTATAAAACTAAAAAAAGGCAGGTCATGAAATTAAATGTCCTATAACTCCATTTTTAAAGGGTGTTTTTGGTGTTAAAAGATTTCGACCAGTCATAGGAGTTGCAAACAATAGCCAAGAAAAGTTCACAATTTTACATGTTCCTCACGCAGGATTTCTGTGTTACTTAGACTCAGGCGAAATTTTGTTATAAGGAAGTTGGTTAGAAAACAAAGGGCAGATTACTATACATGCTGCTTTGCGAAGAGTTCGTAAAATTTGATGTTTAAACCAATCAGAAGTGTGGTAGAGACAATTATAGTAAAGTTAGAACGTCATTGCGTTTAGGTCTTTCCTTCTCATCTGAATGATTACTTAATACTGGTAGAACTAACTTGATGAAGAGAAAAGATGTCTGACTGTGTCTTTAACAGCTTGCCTCACTTCTCTGATCTTCCAACAATACAGGAGTGGGTTTAATGATGAGTTTGATAAAAGTAAAGTGAGCGTCATGAGGTATACCGACAAAGAAAACTCAGGTATTGCTGTCGCTAAACCAAATGGTAGATAACAAACAACCAATGTCACCTGCACCCACAGTGCACTGTACACTGCCTTTCTGTATCGAGCTAGATTCAGTGGAATCTTCATAACTTCAGTTGGTCCTTGAAAAGAGCTATCTTCGAGGCGTATTTGGCTCCGTCGTAGTACAAAGAAAATTTTCGTGTAACACAGACCTGAGATGACTACACATAGGGATATTAATATAAACATTGACCAGTCGAGTATAACAGTATCCAACAAAAAGTAGACTGCTGCGCCAAAAACAAGGGATATAACCCACATAATAATTACACTTATATACGCTTTTCTCAAAGTCGCGACTTGTCTGTATCTGATGCCCAACGACAGGGCGAGAAGTCTGTCCACGCTTATTGCAGTCAAAGTGAGCAAAGACATTGAACTCAAAATGGCGCCAACGGCAAAACCTTCATAGTCTAGGTAGTAGCAAATATCCCATCTTTGTTTTACCAAAGACATCAAATAAGCAACCAACAGAGGCTCCGCAATGATACCAACACAGAGATCAGTTATCGCTAAGTTGCGAAACAGGAGTTTGGACGGCGGAAAAAGTGAAGTTTCTTTGGGCAGAGCCACTAGAATCAGCGTGTTCCCCAGAAACGCTGTAATGGACAAAAAAATATTGAGCACCAAAAGAAAGATAAGTTCGCCTTGTATTTTCTCCGTAAGTTCCTCTGAGTAATACGTTTCTCCAACCGTTTTCGGACTTTCATTTGCTGTGAAATTTGCTGTTGGTATAGTCATCTTTCTGCGATGCTACCCTGATGATGCTATCCTTATGTTCACGAACATAAATTTCTCCTATGACGCCGACTATTAAACTGAACCGAGTTTATTTAAATTCTTACAGGGATATTGTGTATCCCCAATATTACCAATTCATGTTTACTAGTATAGTTTTCACTGACAGAGTTACTTTTTTGATCTCTAGCAAATTTGGACAGCTTACATTACTGCAGGCTTGGGACAGTAATTTTGCAATTTAATGCTTCATCTGAAATAAAACGCCTTCGTTTATAGTTACAAGACTTTAAATAACTCACGCTTTAATTTTTAGCGCTCTTCTTGGGAAATCAACATATGGTACTTATTATAAAAAAAAACTGTATGTCAATTAATATCGATGACAATGCTAATATCCCAGAGATTTCGTAATTGGTTTATCTGCCATGGTATATGAAAAGCAAATAGTTGATTGTTTTCTTGTCAAAATTAATTAAACTTTTTAAAATGTCATGTCTTCTTGTTCATTTTTGAAAACAGAATTTGACGATGCACTTCTTGTTTGCTACTCAACCAATTTTCATTCAAAAGGGCATGCTCGGGAAATTAGTTCACTGTCAGTTGATTTCATTTACGGCTTTGGTTTCACCCCAGGGACCGGTTTATCGCCTGCCAGAGAAATATTGTTTCACGCAAAAAACCGAGTAGTTTTCTAACAATTTTTTCGAAGCCCTGTTTTCATGAAATAAATAAAAATACAGTAACACGAAAATAAAAATAAATATAGGGAAAGTTATCATTTAAAGCCCCTGTCGTCTGATAAACAACTCGTTAGGGTTCCTGCTAAAAGCTAAAAGTTCTAATAGCAAGACTTATCACTATTAAAGAAAGCAAGATTTATTTTTTAAAACATTCTTAAAATTAACGATTAGGCAAAATTGCATAATTGGAGGGAGAAGAACCGTTGCACTTTTTAGTAACGATTTGCGCAAACTCCTCACGAGCAAAAAAAGCTGAATGTTGTAGAGCGAACAAAAAGGAGAAATAAATAAATAAAATCAAGAGAGAATGAGCTAGATCATTCTCTCTTGATAAAATAAAATTAAATATAATATTGCAATAAGAATGTATTGGTTCTCTCTCTTTGATTGTCTTTCTAAATTTTCTCTCTAAAGTTCAATATCTTCTGTTCTAGACCGATAATTAGCAATTGAATAAGGCTTATGATGATGTGAAGAGTTATGCCGATCGAGGAGAATATTAAAGGCCGAGGTAGCCTCGGAGAATAGCTTAATTCTTCACATCAAACGAAAGACAAATTCAGTACTATTAATTGTTTTATTATTCCTTCAAAATATTTCTAAGTTCTTAACAGGCTTGCCTCCTAGTAGACTTTCTTCTAAACTTTGGCCTGTTTCTTGGCACAGTTTCGGATATAAAAAGATGTTTCTTCTTGCAGATACTGTACTTTTGAAAAATTCAATAACATCCATCGACCAATATCTTTTGCGTATTCTTGAATATATTTTGTACAGTTTTAGTCTTCGGATCTTTTAAGTTCACTCGCCTGGATACGAGGTTGATCGCTGGGATATTTACCGTGAAACGAGACTGCTGGGCAATATCCATGATGGTATTTTGCTCGGATCTTCCAGATTTGGTCAACTCCAGCTGCTTATGAAAAATAAACTTGGGGATTTGAGCCAATCGGATATGGGAAAATACTGAATGAATAATAATTTTGATTTTTTTTTCTTTCAGAGCTATCGAATACAAGAAATGAATTAGAACAAGCAAAATTTCAACTGGAACAAGCAAGGCAGAGAATCGTCAATCTTACCACAAAAGGAACGCAGACACATGAAGTCCACACAAATGATTATAAAAATGACATCAACAACAAGTAAGATCTTGATATACACGGCATGTCATAAACTAAATCTATAAAAACCAGTGTAACTTTAATGTAAGTACCTTCCACACTGAGTGTGTTAGCGTTGGAAATAATTGAATGAAACGCACGAATTTGGAAAGTAAAAACCTCAAAACTAGGCTTTCAGCAGCTCTACTCTGTTTAGGTTCTATCTGTATCTTGTGAATGTCTTGCGAAGTTAATTTTTACGTAGTATGATCTACTTTGCAGAATTCAATGTTTCTAAAATCATCATTTTAATGACCAGGGATATGCAAGTACCGATGGAATACCAGGATTTTTCCAGTGACGAAAATTTGGTATCCAGTGAAGATACAATTTTTATCCTTCACATGTGAAGATATCACGGTTGTCATGGCAACTTCAGTCTCAGCCAATAGAAAAAGAGTATTACAGCATCTCGCCATCGGTGTCTATATAATAAACAGAATATTATAAGCCCGCTTGTGGATACGAATTGTATCCTCTCGTGTTCATCTCGATATCCCGAGTGAGATATCGAGTTGAGTACTCAAAGATAAAATTCGTATCCACGCGCGGGCATGTAATATCCCCTATATGTCAGTGATCCACGAAAAAAGAATGGGTACAGGATAAAGATGCATCTGCGTGTGCGAGAAACTCGCCTCGTGTAAGGGACTCCGGATTCCGGGATCCGACAAGTCTTTGCTTGTATAATCCGGAATTCAGGAAAGTTTTGCTTGTGGAAAGCGGAATCCTGGGCTTTGGAATCCAGAAAACAGCTCACGGAATCCGGAATCTCAGTAACCATTGGAATCCGGAATCCAAGTTCCACTGACTATACGAATATGGAACTCCAGAACCAGGAATTTAGAATCCACGGTGTGGATTCCAGAATCCAAGACTGTCTTGGATTACCTTATTTGGGGCGAGGGAAACCTAAGGGGGATATCCTGGACTAGTGCGCCGGATCACGTAGGACATTTGTAGGAAAAAATAAGCAAACCATAGGAATTGTGACTGACGGATCGTGCCCTTTATCCAACAAGGTCACCCGTTTTGGTACTGAATGGTAGACTTTGTACTTTGAAGAATTGAACTGAGAACTATAAATCGACTGTATAAGTGACTTATTTCTATTTTTGTTACTACTGTTTCTTCTTCAAGTTTATTATTATTTTTTATTGAATCATTAAATCAATATGACGATTTGCTTAGTGGCATATATATATATATATACAAGAGAAGGAGTCCAACAAGTATTTACAGCAAATTACAATTGCTTTGTTACTTTAGATTTAGTGGCCACAAGCTTGTTCATCTTGATCTCGGAGGAGCGCCGCCAAAACTGACCTATCTACTACAGGTAGAAAATCACTCTGCTCTTATATACATATACAGCCGTCAGAATCATTTGCTTTATCAAATACTTCGTTTTCACTTGAGCCTTTTCTTCTTTGCTTTTGCCTATTTCTATATAGCCTGCCACAGATCCTGATTTTATCTTTCTTTTATGGCCCCACTAGTATTTCACATAAGACTCGGTTGGCAAATGGGGAAATCGTTATTCGCTAACAGCTCAGATCAGGATATTAGATCATGCATGTATATCGCGGCTGGAGACCTTCCTGGATTTTACTCAAAAAAGGGCTTTCTATGCCAGAGGTTAATTTGTGGAGTTCAGAGGAAATCTTCATAGTCTAAGATAAAGAATTTGGCATCTACGTCAAAAACTGCCTCTGTCCTTAACACCGCATCTAAACGCAGAGGATCACTTTCAGGTCTCCAAAGAGGATGCTTTGATTTGGAGACAAGTCAAATTCACTTGTCAAAGTTTTGTTCATTACAATTAACGAGGATTCTAATTTCCAGGTTACTCGTTCTGTATTGTGGATTATCGGTTAGGTGATACACTAACTAATAAAAACGCTTTTTTGTCATTGTTTTAGCTCTTTCCATTTTTCCGTAAATGGGGCGCCACAGGGCTCCTTATTGAGTATGCTGATACGTTCCCTTACTCTGGAGAGCTCGAGGTGATTCAAGGACCTGACGTATTTAGGTAACAACTGTTTAACTTAGAGGGCGGGTAGTTCTCCTAGGCAACGTTGACAGCAGTAGATGAATTATGTTTCGTATCATTCGATTGATGTATCCTTAGTTCTGTGGTAAAGACCCTGTTCATTGACTTTTTTTGTGATGTCACGTAGATACTAAATAAATAACTGCTTAGCCTGCGAAAACATCCGTTTCTCCTCGCTCTTCGTCGCTGAGGACGTTTCGCGCGGAGGAACGTCTGCGACTCAGCGACAGAAATTCCATACTGATGACGTAAAATCTGCCCAGAATCCGGTCAGAAGCGCTGATTGGTCGACGGAGCAGTTACATTGTTTTAGCTGTTGTTTACAAATGACAGACAAAAGACAAAAGGCCAAAAAGGTCAAATGTAGACACGAAGAATCTCTAACAAAACAGTCAATATTTGTGCAATATAGTCTTCTCTAGAAGAAGCATTTGAGTTTTGCTGGAGCTCGTGGACATATCAACACAACACTTTACCAAAATCGACCAGAAGACACGCAAAATTAGACAAATTTATATTTGGAACCTCATAACTACCGGATTTGTTATGTAAACATTGATTTGCGTCATCAGTATGGAATTTCTGTCACTGAGTCGCAGACGTTCCTCCGCGCGAAACGTCCTCAGCGACGAAGAGCGAGGAGAAAAAGGATGTTTTCGCAGGCTAATAACTGCTATAACATGCTTTTTTTATTATAATAACCATTGCAATCAATATTAGATTAAAAACAAACATAGTCGACCACAAAAACGAAGGAGTCCGAAAATGCACAAGAAAGTAATAAACGTTTCTCTCTGACATGGCACTGTTCATTTCGAAAACGCTGGTTCCAAAAGCAAATTTGACAAACTACTTTCAAATTAGTAATCTTTCATTTTTCCACTTTTTTCCATTTAATTACTCCAAATATTTTATAAAAATTAAAGGAAATCATGCAAGATTAATAAAGTGGGTGCTTTCTACTAAATATTAAACTGGAACCTGTAAGCGATAGCCCAGCAAATGATCACTTACGACCTTCATCACTTCCCCTTCATTATGCCTTTCATTCCTTCTTCTTAGCACCTCCTTAATGACAATGTTCTTTTTTTATCGTTACCTAGCCAAGACGAAGTTTTGTTCTTGATTAAAGAAGCACGGCGGAACGATCTTATCGTTATACCACTTGTACAGACATTCGGCCATCTCGAGGTTAGTTTCTTACACATCTCCTTCAGTACCCATTAGCTTCTAAGAGTATCCGATTCTTTAATTTGGGATTGGACTAAATTTGACAGCACTATATATTTGTAAATACTTTCATTTTTTAATGGAAATTATTTTTACTCTAAAAATGATTTAGCCTACGCGAGGCAAATATTATCTATGAAAAATAAATCTAATTGCATTTCTTTACGGTTTTTTTTTCTTCCTCAGTTTGTCTTAAAGCACGAAAAATTTGCCCACCTTCGTGAGACAGCAAAATACACAAACTCAATATGCCCCAAAAATCCAGGTAGGAGATGAAAGATAAAACAACTCAACTGGCAGAAATAGGTTAAACTACTCTTCATTCTCAGGTACCAACGTATATCTCTACCAATAACAGCGTTCTTTCCGGTCATACAGAGGTATATTAGTATGTGTAGAAGACATGGTTTTGGAGGGGAGGGGGGGGGTGTGAAGAGTGAGTAGAAGACAGAAAGAATGCTATTAGTAGTATTCTTAGGTCATTTCTTGTGTCTCTTCAGTGCATACAGCTAAGATATGTAAACTCCGAGTTAAACGCCCAAGTTGTATAGATTCAGGCGAGCATTCTAAGGAGCATTTTCATTTGATCAATGGGGTTAGAGCAACAAACCGTTTTGATGACTACCGCACAGATTGTCGAAACAGTTACTGTCAACAATAGTCCTATTCTGGACTTCGTTCACCGTACCCGGACGATTATGCTCAACCTACTTATGAAATGACTCCAGGGCCGGCTCACTAACCTTTCACAGTTACACATTTTTCTTTCAGAGGCAGTGGAATTGGTAAAGGAAATGATTAATCAGGTGGCAGACCTTCATACGGGAATCCAATGGTTTCACGTGGGAGCTGATGAGGTTGGTAATGAACCATGTGAACCATGCTTCTCTTTGTTTGTTTTTTACAAATAGAGGTAGAAATAATTGTTTTATCATTCATTCAAAATAATTCCTAGTTTAAAAACAAGTTAAAACATGCTTACCATCGATCTTAAGTTCATCTTTGATAGTGCCTGTTTATCAGCAGGTTCAGGAGATAAAGGCTTCACTTGTTCAGTTCTGCAAATATTTTCCAAACAGCAGATGTCGTCTGTCGAGTTGTCTTCTTGCTGTTCTTGTTATGTTTTTAGCCACTGATAGTTCGCCTATTTCTTCCTCGTGAAACGAGTGAAATGTTCCGCCATTTTGTATTCACCACCATTTCAACGAGACAACCTCGTCCCCAGGTCTTCGCAAAATTCTTCCAAATTTGGTCGACAGTTAAAGATGGTTATGATGAATTATACGTGGGATTTTAGCCTATCAGAAACAGAGAAATATTTTGAATGAATAAAAATAACCTTTCTTGGTGCATCCAAATGCAGCTAACAATTCTATTTCTTTATCTTTTCCGAAAAATTAGATACGTATTTTAAACCAGGAAAAAGCATCGGACAGACAAATTTTTGGACGCAGAATTCAGTCGCTCAGTAGTCAAAAATCACCCGACACATTTTTCAGAGGGCCACTAGTTTATTACTATAGAAACCTGTATTAGGCGGACACCCTGTATTAAGCGGACACTACAGCATTCCCCGAGGGTGTCCGCTTAATACAGGTTTCACTATAGTTTTATTAGTATTTTGTGTCACCCACTCTAAATAAAGTTCTTACCTTACCTTACCGTCTAACTGCCTGACACTTCAAGCTCTAACTGTTGAATTCTCCGTCTGAAAGTGTGTTTAGATTCTTTTTTGGGATTTGTCTTTCATTGCAAGGGAAGAGTTCCCTTGCTATTTTAACTGTACATTAAATTGATAACCGAACGCTCTCTATCCTGATTTAACTTTACCACAGGTGTGGAACCTAAAGACGTGTCGCGCGTGCTTGGACGATAACAGAAACAAAAGCATGATATTCTTGCAACACATGGTTCCAGTTCTACAACATGTGAGAAATAAGGGTTTCACACCAATCTTGTGGGATGACATGATGCGAGAGTGGACAATAGACTTCCTTAAAGGTTTGCTCTCTTTACTTTTGAACTCCTCAATGGATACAAATGCAGAGAGTCGTTTATTATGGTACAATTAACAGCGGTTTCGCCTTGGTTCGCATACGTAAATGTTACGTGCTTATTAATATGTGATCTAAATAAAATCTCTTTAGAGATTTCAAATCAAAAGAATTGTTGTTTGACCTCTTTTTCCTTAAGGTACGACTAAACGGGCAACGAAAACGCGCAACCTGTCACGTTGCAAAACAATTTGATTAGCGATGTCACCCGTTTTACCACCCACAAATAAAACTTGCAACGAATCAGGCCGTTGCAGGTTGTGAGAAGTTGTTACAGAAACTAGAGAGTAGCTGAAAATTTTTGCAACAAAATCTGTGTACGGTGCATGTTTTGCAACAAGTGACATAACTGATCCGGATCCGTGTATTGTGTGACTCCCGCTTAATTTTATCCAATCATAAGTCAGTATTCACACGCAAATCAATTTGCAACAACCTGATTTGTAGCAAGACAGGCTTGAACGTGGGTGGTAAAACTCGTTTGCAGCAATGTTGCAAAACAAGTTGCATGTTTATTTTTTCCGCTTTACTGTGTCTTTAAGCAATGCTCAGTTGCATTACAAATCGTGGTACTAAGTCAAAGTCCTTTTCTACTCTTTTGTGTCATGTATTACAGTGGTTGGCAGGTTAGCAGAGCCAATGATTTGGTATTACAGGACCGACCTTAGAAGTCATTTTCCTAAAGGTAAATTCGCCAATACAAACTTCGTCCACCGTAGAAACAAAACTGACTTTTTGATCGTGTTCTTGGGAGAGAGAAATGACATGATTTCCATTCAGGCCTTTGACCATGCACTACGTCACTAGCGGTTTTTCGCACTGATTTTCTTGATAAACGATATTTTGTCAGAACATAGCAGAACAGAACTCCTGCTTTCGCTTGTATGTTTTATTACTGTAGGTCATGTGATAATACTCTAGAGGACTTTTTCTTTCAAGTTTCGTCTTATTCACATGTATATGCACGCATAATTTAGTCAGTTTATAGTCTAACAAAATATAGGGGCAACTCCTCTGGCATTATCATTGGACAAACAATAGGTAACGGCTAAATCGATACGGAAGTGAAGGGGTGGAGGTATGGTGTGCTGGAAAAATTAGTTATGACCTTTGTGTATTTTAAATTCTAATTGATCCACAGAAATGTATCAACGATACTTTGAAGCGTTTCCTAAAATGTGGACTGCCAGTGCGTTTAAAGGTATAAGATTTTAATTTATCACTGATTTTTCATTTAATTCGAAGAAATTGCTAGTGGTACCACTAAGACACGGACACCCTAACTTAATTATATAACATCATGATATCATCATCACCATCATCATCATCATCATCATCATCATCATCATCATCATCGTCATGGTAGATGGAACACAATACAGGTCATCCTCCTTGTTAATATAAATTTATTGTTTAGGTGCCACTGGGCCAAGTAGTGACTATGTATCCATATCAAAACACGTCTCCAACAACCTACAGTGGGTGGATATAATGTCCAAGATTTCTAAGACGAATGAAGTGGTAGGAATCGCATTAACAGGCTGGAGCAGGCGAGTGTCACTTTGTACTCTTTCATTTAAAGCTTAACTAACCACAGATTCTCATTCATCAGAACGTCAATTTTACATGTGCTACATCTTGCTCTTCTTTAGAATAAAAAGGCTTCTACGACGTGTATTTGCCTTTGGTTGTGACTCACTGGTTTCATGGGGTTTCTAAAGGTGGAGATATCGACGCGGGAATCGCTTGTGTTGTGGACGAAAAGCACGTAATTAAAGACCTCTCTTCACACCAAAATTGGGTCCAATTTTGCTTGGGATGTTTTGACAAGCCCACACCAAGCCCTTGTGGGACTTATGTCGGTTTTGATGCCTTCATTTCATTGTAGATACGATCATTATGGTACACTATGTGAGCTGTTACCAGCAGGAATACCATCACTTGTTTTCTGTTTAAAGGCTGTGGACGAAGGTAAGTTCTTCCCTGTTCAGAAGATGGTCGTTTCAGTAATTCTTGGAAGTACTAATGTTAAGTCCATGGGGCACATTAAAGGGGGTATCTCGCAGTAATATTGACTCTGCCTTAAGCCTCCATCAGTGTATGCTAGTTTTAGTTCAGTTACCGAGAAAATATTTGGCTTAGTCAAATATGACGCGACGCTTAAGCAACGACGACGATTCAGCGTTAACACATGGAAACTAATCTGCGAAGTATCTACAGTAGAACCTCGGTAACTCGAACTCTGAGGGGAAACGAAAAACAGTTCGATTTAGCGGGAAATTCGAGCAACCGGAGTAAATTTCAGTGAAATTTTTATCAAGGGAAAGGAAATTTAGTTCGAATTAGCGGCCAGAAGTTCGAGTTATCCGAGTTCGAGTTGTCGAGGTTCTACTGTATATCCAATTAAATCAAACTTTGCCACTGCATCCCGTGATCCCACTTTACGTCCGGAGTGAACACAATCACTTTAGAAACTTGGTTTCTGAAGGCCTGTTCTCGAATCTGATATCATGGTGAATGGATTTTGTTCTTAAACGGAGTAAAAAAATACGATTGACTGATTGATTGATTAAGCTAGAGAGACATAATGGACATACATATAAATTGCAAACTCGTCCATACCGCCCGCCAATAGGACGAGCTAGATTTTATTAAACGCATTTTTATAAAAGCATTGATTACTATTGAGGGCATCAAACCAACCTTCTTTGAGCCACTTTTGCCTTTCCATTGGAATAAAGAGTGGATTGTTATAGATCACCCTCATATAGTTCTGTTTCACTCAAAAACTGTTGTGTTTTGTAAAGAAGAGATTAGTATTTTTTTTTACACTTTTCTCTCCAGGTCAAATGAATGAAGCCTTACGCATAGCAATTTCCAAGGAACTTGGTTTCAGTAACAGAATTAATCTGGACGGAACTGAATATTACAAGTAAGAATGTTTACTGTTGATAAACGTTTGTTGCATTACCATGCACGTACTGTCACGTTAACGTCTATAATTGGTGTCCATCGTCGAATGGCCGAGAAAGATAAGCGTTTCTCATAACCTTGTTCTCATAGTTTCACATAATCAATTCCCACTTGCCAAAATCGAATGCATTCGATTCTCACCCCTTTCCTCTATTCAAAGTTGCCACTGCAAGTATGAAGATAATCTTTGATTCTTGACAATTTTGAAAACGGGCAATTGGGGCATAAATCATGGTAGGACTAAAGATAAACGACATCTATGTTTTTTGGCGCAAGGAGCTACAGTGTCTCAATGTTGTTATGCAAATAGTTTTAGCTATAACTCGTGCGTATACATATCCTGCAGTGAAAAGAGAACATATGGGGACTTCCCAGGTCATGAGGTCTACGAGCTCATTTTAAAGCTAAAGGACATCCATCATGCGTTGGGGCTAGTCCACAGCACGTGAGTATAGATATGTTTATTTTACTGAATGACGACTCAATTTGGATAGAAATGAAAGGAAATGAAGTGCTTGTAAAATTTCGACTGGACTGCAGCATCAATACAATGATACTGTGCTGAGGATTCCTGATACCAGGGCCGTAGCCAGGAAGAAACTACAACCGAGGCGAACACACGGTCCGTTGTACGAAATCAGCCGTATGAAATCTTCTAATATTATCAGTCTGATAAAAAAAATAAAAATCGACAGTATTTGGTGCCTCGGTTCGCCTCATACTGGCTACGGCGGTGGATACTGTGTAACTTGCCCCCCGAGATGACCTGCAGTTTTCTAATACAACTGGTATTCTGCCAAAAAAAAAAAACTATGTGGTTTATTGGTGTTAAAGTAGAGCAAGAGACGAGTGCACGCCATCCTAAAAAGAATCCCGGATCCGCCCCTGTAGGCCGACACGTTTCTCAGTCTTACGTGCTTCGTGCTTGACTTTTTCTCGTGTTTATGATATGTTAACAGGTATTATGCAATTGAAAACCAATCATAATTCTCGTAATTTTTTTTATTTCTTAAATTATTAACTTTTTAAAAGTTTTTAAATTTTTAACTCTCAATTTTTAGGCATTTTTACATCTGTAATTTATTAAATGCAGGGCCCCACTGGAAACCATATCTGACGTGGGCTCCCTGTATTATATTATTACTATTATTATTATTATTATTATTATTATTATTATCATTATTATTATTATTATTGTCATTATCATCATTAATATTATTATTATTTTCTTTGCAATGTAGTGAAAAGGGGTGGATGTTGAAACGGCAGCTAGAAGAACATTCTCTCAGCTATTTTCGATTGCGTTTTGCACGCATGAAAAGTATGCAGTAAGTATTTTCACTCCCTTACCAGAGCAACACAGTGGAGATCCTTCTCTTGAGCAGGAATCTCATTAATTTGCGCAGGAATATGCCATGAATAGGCATCCATGAATAGGCATGTCATGTTCTGTTTTCATGCAGTGGCAAGAAATAGCCGGTTTGTTTGCACAGGAATATTAACGCCGATGATGTCATGAATATGGGCATCCCACTAAGAAAAGGGTGTTCTGTTTTCATGTTGTGACTAGAATAACCGGTTGGACAGGTTTAAACTTATTTTAAGATCAACGATCTCAAAATTTTGGATTGGCTGATTTAGATTAGGAACGGTGTTTAGCGGCTATCTGGAAATCAGATTGTAGTTTGCTTAGCTGTCAAGCACAAACCCGGTTGTGACTGGAATGGATACCTCAAAATCAGATAGTCATCTTTACTCAAAATACATGTCAGGAGTCTTATAACTTTGTAAATAACGGAAGAAAGAAAACGGAAGAAAACAATTGGTACGTAGTATCCGCATCATTTGATGTATAATCCACATCCGTTTCCACTACAACATCAACGGCTGACTGCCGACACTGGTTAATTTTAACGTACTTTAACTGGCATTTATAATTACATTATTGAAAGCTAAGCGTTAAGAGTGCTTTACCCTAATCACTGTACTTCGGTACTAAAACCTGTCTTCAACCCTTTTCCTTGCACAATCGTCTCTTACTTTTATTTCGCCACTTTTCTCAAAAATGTACCCAATAAATTTGCGTAAATGGTTCTCTTCGAGGAGCATAGCGTTGTGGAATAAACATAAGGTGTCCAACCTGATTTTAAGGTACCCATTTTAGTCACAACCAAACCATCACTGAACCACTGATATTCCCGTGTAAGGGGCTATGTCAGCTGGAGAGCATGCGCTCTGAGGTTATGCAAATTACTTTCAACTGTCAAAATTTTATTGTTTTTAACGCGTGACTTTATGGTAGCATTTTTTCGAGCATTTTAGTGAGGCAAAAGCATTGAGTATTATTCGAGCATTTTAGTGGCATTTTCCCCGGAAAATTAATTTTTCCGAGAAAATAAAATAGAAATTAACTTTTTTCAGGAGCCCATGCCCCATGAGCTCCCGCTTTTTTAAACAAAATGAAGACTAGAATTCAAATTCACAAAAAACCTAATAAGCTGTTTTTTTTGGCTGTATTTATGAACTTGTACACGTTGTCGTTGTTACTTGCAACACTTGCACGTTTTTGTAAGTGTAAACTTTGAAATTAATTAAAAAAACCGTTTGTATAATGAGCATTATCCGAGCAGTTTAGTGACTTTTTTGGGGAGACCGAGCATTTTAGTGGGAAAAATGGAGCATTTAGGTGGAGCATTTTAGTAGGGAAGCAAAAGCATAATGTACAAAAGCGTAGTGACTTTCTCCATGTGCGCTCTGAGGTTATGCAAGTTACTTTCAACTGTCAAAATTCTAATGTTTTTAACTCGTGACTTTCTCCGGTTCTCTGTCACGTCCAAGGCTCCGAATTTAGAGAGGTTAACAAGCGAAAAAGGGATATTTCGATAGAATTTACGGAACGTTTCTTCTCTGGTTATGCTAGATCAAGAATAAAATTGTGACGACAATTTTATTTGTAGTTTTGAAGTAAAAACGCATGCCATTCATAAAATAGAGCGCAAACAAAAATTCAACAACAACATATTCTCTTATTCAACAAAATAAATCGAAGTTGTATTTTACAAACGAGCTACAAAAGACGCTAGACCGAACTCTGTAACTCTGCCATTACAACGGCCGCTGATAAGAAGACACAGTAAATCCACGTAAAAACATTCCACAGGCAAACAATTTCAAAATAACGCTAAAAAATTATTCAGTAATCACCATAGAAAGATTCTTAATACAAAACTTCGCTAACTATCGAACGATGGCTGAGATTTAGACAGATAAAAACAGCCTTCCAAAATCTCCGACAGAACTTGAAAAAGTCGGGCCGACTTTTTCAAGTTTGTTCTCATTGGCTCGCGCATGCTTGTGGGGTGACATAGCCCTTTTAATATTATTATTTTTTCCTTTCAGGGCCGCTACTTCATACGCAGAATTAAGAGATGAAGCGCAGGCTTTACTGTCACAACTTTACAGCAATACCACAGTCACAGAATGGCTTAAGGATAAGATAGATGACAGAATAACAGACGCTCAATTTCAAATCAGTAGAATAGAAAGTGTTGAAAGCATGTTCGAATTCGAATCAAGATAACACAGACATGTCATAGACTTTATCCTCTTGGACCATTATACGTTTTTGGTAATCTGCCCACCTACCCTTCCCCCTAAACCAATATTTTGTCCTAAGTGAGAAGTAAGTGTTAATATTGGCTTAAGGGAGGGGTAGGTGGGCAGTTTCCGAGAAACGTATCCATCCTTTTTTAGGTCTTTCTTAAGGGACCAATCATAATTTAAGTTGGAGGGAGGGGGGGAATAGAAATTGGGGGGCCTTCAATTTTTTTTTTTTTTTGATGGAATATGGGGCCTTAAAATGCCAAAAGATGACCTTGGGGGGTTTTCAAGTTTCTTTTAAGTAGCATCCCTACTGAGCAGCATGATGTTTGAGTATTAAAGGACCTGATTTTGATTCAGTTTTACACAAAGTCCTATATTGTGTAATACTAAAACAATTTAATTAGCATTTTTACAAAAAGATTTAATGCTCAAATAGTAGGTGCATCAACACAACATCCATTATTGTGTAACACTGAAACAATTTCATCGGCATTTTAACAAATGATTACATGCATAAAGTCATGTTATGCAATCTCACTATCCGAAACATTATTTGTAGATGAGGTTGATGCGGACTCACTGTCTGTGTCACTGTCAAGTTTTTTACCATTAGAGCATGTACTGCTCATATAAAAAGCAGTAAGCTTTGGCTGATTATCTTCTTTCTTCCTTGAAGCGGTCCTGTCGGCCTCTCACCTTTCAATGGCTTGTCTTATCTCAATTATAACACAATCACTGATATATCCTTGCTCTATAAGCTGTTTGAAAGGCTCTAGGTGAAATCTCTTTCTCAGTTTAGTGTGAAGTGCTTCTCTGTTGTTAGTTGGCACATTGTTATTACCATTTGGGTATTATGTATAAGAAAGGGGGGCCCTTAAATCTTTTAACATGATTGAAGAAGGGTACATAAAAAACATGGGTGCTATTAGTGGGGGTCTGGAAAAAATTTGGAATAAAAAACAATTTCTCCTCCACTCCCCCCTCCAACTTAAATTATGACTGGTCCCTAAGAATGTGGCGGGTGGTTGGGAAATATTAGTCTCTATTAACTCTCCCCAGGCTTCAGCAGCTTTAAAAATCAAAGGTGACGACTGCATGCTGGACGTACTGAATGCCTGCTCTCCCCTCTCCCTCCACCTCCCTACGGCTACCCCTTCAACTGGATTTTCCATTTCTTGATCAATGCGTGATACTCGACTGATCTGGAAAAGTTCGAATTATTTCGTGTAGAAAACAATTCACCTACTGAATGTTTGCTATCTGTTTCGTCTAAAGGACGTCGAGATCTTCCCTGAAACTGTATAACTTCTCATCAGAAAGTACGCGAAGTTCCAAGTTCTGTGCCCTATTAGCTGTGCATGCTTACTACCTAAAAACCGAATCTCTAAGGTACCTCAGAGTATCCTAAACACTTCCGAACACTCGCCACCGATCTTTGCTCAGACAAGAAAATAAGTCTTGAAAACTTTGAGCAGGAGTCTCAGAACGTTAAACAATATTTAGTCATTTCCACTGCTGTCTAGTCATTACTTGAGCCTTGCATTTGTTGTGAAGAATTCTTTTGAGATGTGGAAGTTACGCATCTTTCAGCGAAGACCCCGACGTTCTTTGGACCACTTCGTGGCTACTTAATTAATGTTGCGTTCTGTTTTTCTTGCGGTTTGCGTTTTGTTTTATATTTCAAAGAACTTAGCCGTTAATACAAATTTTAAGAATTTTTATCATTGTATTGGTTTCTCTTCAACAGCTTTCTATACTTCTCTGATATTCTAGTAATGAAGCAACGAGTTTAACGAAGACTCAAATAAATCCTCAACCGCGCACAGATTAGTCTCCGTTGGAGGTTTAGTTCTAATAGAGAGGAAAAGTCGTTACGTCATGTTGCCATGGTGGCAAAATTTCTAGTTGACAACAAATCGAAAACGTCACTTAAAAAGTGAATTAGTACTGTTACAAACTTCATCGCCGTTATGAACTTTCATTAAATTTGTCAAATGTTGGAGAAATTGTCTGGGTCTCAATCCGGAAGGACCGTAGCTAAAAAGAAAAAAAAAAAAGAAAATTTATTCACCTACTCCATAAGGCGGGCGGGTGCAATTAGCAAGTTTCCTGACGCAGCAGTGCAATGACGGCTCAGAAATGTTCAAAAAAGCGTGATGCACGTGCAGAGTTGTTGTTTTGCTAATGTAAACCTATTGCTTTTTTCCTTTCTCGTTGCCGTCGCCTTCGTCCTTGCTTATGCTTCCTCTTGTTGTGATCCAGAAATTTTGCTTCCATGGTAACATGACGTCACACTTCTCCTCTCTATTTTCCAACCATAGGTGATCCAAACGTACTGTGCAAAGTGGGAGCTTGAGAGTACTTAAGATATTAAACAATGGAGACAGTTTTGTATTGAATATTCCCAAACAGAAATTTGCGATAATTTTGGCGATACTTAATGACCTGTCACTTGAATAGTACAATAAAGTTTGAAATAGAGAGTTCTCATACCTCTTGTAGTCGTTTTTGTCTGCTTTTGATGTTATTATTTATGTTTTCGTTGTCACACTACGCCACTACCTCCTTGCAAAAGTACAAAAGTCCATTCTATTTCTTGATTCCCAACTCGAACAGTAAGACCATTAAGGTGAGGTTACACAGGACGATTCGCAACGACGATTTTTAGCGCAACACCGCGTTGCAATGTGGGACCAATGTTGCAACTATTCGAAACAATGTCTTAACAATGTTGCAACACTGTATTGCACTAAAAATCGTCGTGGCAAATCGTCCCGTGCAACATTAACTTTAAGACCTTTGACATTACAAAGAAAATACATTTAGCTGTACTAGGGAAAAGAAATTAAAGATCAGTTTTACTCTTCGCATATTTCATTCGTCAGTAGTTGTTTGTAAAAAGAATAAATTGATCGCGGGTTGGCTACTTGTAATTTTACCCACCTGTTGTTAGGTTTTCTGAGTTATTACGGTGTTGTTTCCAAGTGTTGTGGGAGACTGTTCCGAAGTTTTCCGGGTTTTAGTACATGCCGCGAACGGGAGAGCTTTCGGTGTGATCTTGGTTGGAAAATCCGGTTGGAAAGTAAAGGGAACACGACTTTCTGGGTCGTCACAGCGGAAAATTTGCGGGAGTAATGGAATACCTCAAAAGGTAATCCTGTTTTTCCGGATGGAATGTTCCAAATGATTCCGTTTTCAGGTTTTCGCGTCCGTTTTTTCCGTAAATGGAACTGATTTGTACAAATGGCTAAGCCGATTCCGGGACAAAATTAGCAGCCCTGAATTCTGTTTACAATTTGCCCACACCGTGAACCGACCGGATTGCCCTTGAAAATGGTAAACAACCCTTGTCATCTATAGGTTGGTTTTCACTAGTTGAGTTGAGTTGGAGTCGTAATCAGAATCTTAAAGAGCTTATGATCTAGCAGCGTTCCGATTCCGCTTACGACTCCGTCGCTTACGTTCCGCTTATGATTTAGTGAAAACCAGATTGTCGGAGTCGGAAGCAGAAGCGGAAGAACTACACCAATCACAAATCGCGGGAACGTGCATTGTGATTGGTTTATTGGTTTGTCGGACGAAATGAAAACGTTCTGATTCTTCTGACTCCGATTCCGTCACGCTTGTGTCTCCGCTTACGACTCCGATTTTTTATTTTCACTGGGTTTTAAGCGCTTTTACGACTCCGCTTACGACTCCGACTCGAATATTTTTTCTTAACCAAGTCAGTGTCGCGAAAACGTTTTAATTAGTAATTGAACAACATCAGACCGAATAGTACTGTTCAGTACCTTACTTTGCAAGTTGTCCTAATAAGTAATTATTCAAGTTAGAAATTACTTTTTAAAATTTCATTGGCAGTTTAAAGAGATTTCAATATCACTCACGGCTAAGCAGTTAAATAAAAGGCTGGCATGAATTTTAAATTAAAATTTTCAAAGAGAACATAACTAGTTTCGGCACCCTTGACATAAGCCAAGTTCTGAAAAATAATTTAAAATAAGCTACTTATCGAAATACACAGTCCCAGTTTTTAATCACTTAAGTAACTGGAAGGTTTAATTGCAGCCTCTTGATGCTTCAGCCTACGACGTGAACAGTTACTTAGTGCTGAGCAGGGGATAAGCTATAAACCAGGTCTCAGTTGTTGAAATTGTTAATAACGCTATCCTACACTAGATAACGCAATTGGTTTCCTAAATACTTATCCGCTCCGTTGGATAGTGCTATCCAACGTTTGAACAAATAAGGCCAGAGCCATAATCTAATTTACACGACCCTTTAATCAAGTTTCAATTTAATCTATTAAATAAATCAACGAATGAACTAATGACGAAGGCGTTTTTCCGCATTCTTAAACAATAGTTATTAAAAGCAATCAGGCAACAGACAGGTTCGTTCCTTCTCCTGCACCTATCGCGTAGTCGATGACCGTTCGAGCGCCACGGACATAGCAACCCTCTCCCTCCATTTGATTTTGTTTTCAGCTTCTCTTACGGCATGGCAAAACTTCAACCCTGTCCAGTCAGGGTTAGTTCGTTCCAACTTCACGCAAACTATTAAAAAGTAAGCTGAGTTACTTTGCTTCTTTACATATTCTCTTTGCTTTGTTGAAGCCACTTTAAAGTCTGAACCAAAATGGCTTCAAAAATTTATGCTAAGACCAGCAAACTTTACATCAGCGTTAGTAACATGTTATTTTGCGGGAACAAACTACTTACAATAGCAAGTTTTTACTGCAATACATCCTAAATTTAGCTCTTGTCCGACAGTTATTTTCAAAGACATTCTTCCAGTGATAGCTTATCATAGCTGGAAAAATCAATAATCAATAATGCCTCTAAACCGTCCATATTCTGAACATGTAATTTCTTAAAAAGACATTGATCCTTTGGCAATATCGAACATCGTTTCGTCAGGGAGCGGGTACCTTCACGTTGCACCAACTGGATCTTACACAGCTGCAGAATACACTCC